TCATTAAGATTAACCATGCTTATCAACATCAATCCCACTTCACAGTCACTCAAACAATGCATTCAAATCAGCAAATCCCTTTAACATTCATTAAGCAAAAACAGTGAACCAAAAACATGCAAGATCAATCAACTCATTTGGTTTCAAGGGTTTATGGGTTAAGAGACAAAGAGGGTCTCTTTTGTATGGTGGTTTAGTAACAGGGATCTCTCAAGAAAGTGGCTTTGCTTTGGCAGAAGGCTAAGTGTTAGAACCAAAGATGATGCAAGAACAGCAGCTCGAGCCGCCTAATCCTAACTCGATCGAGTTCAACACTTAGAGCTTTTTAGAACAAAATCCTAACTACCCTTTTTGGCATTTCGCCTTTGAAACTGAGGAGCTTTGCTCACTTTTCTTTTAAGAACTTCCTAGGGAGAGGCTTCTTGAGGTAACATCTAGCGGTTTGGGATTTTCTAAACACTTAGGGAACTTTTCTTTCCTTTTTGACACTTGAGGCTTTGCCTTCTTTTCATTCTACTTAGAACCCTTTTTACTTTCCTTTTTTAACTTCCCAAACCTTTACTAGACCCTTTTAAACTGCCAACTCCCTGGACTTAACTAAACTCTTTTTCCTTTGGGTTTTTCCCAACTTTTTACCACTTTTCTGGTTTTTACACCCAACTCGATCGAGCTCGAGTTGGCACCCCCAAACTTAGCCTGAAAACAATCCCAAGAGAACTAGACAACTAGAACTACTGCCCCTGCCGGTTTAAACACAACACCTTATGCTAAGCAAAGCCAAGAAAGGTTCTCACATTCGCACAAGAGATAATAAGGGGTTTGAAATGAAAAGGCTTAGGTTTAAGGTGTGGTAACTGTCTCAAAGATAGAGATCAGCTATCTGGACAAGCAAAAGGGATATGAAAGGTAAAGAATGTCCAGATATGTATGTGGTAGCCATGAGTTGAAATCAAATGCAAGCATTGGTAATTAAAGATCAAGTTATGGTTCAAATAGATAGGGAAATGCATCAAATCACAGCAATGGTTGAATGAGATGTGCATGCAGTGATATGATCAAGATAAACATGGTTCTTGCTGCTCAATCAATCTCACCCTAATGCACAAAAGAATCTAAAAACAGGGCACTCAAGAAATCGCAAAAGATGGACAAGTTTTCAAAGTCAAATCAACAATGCAAGTGAAAAATGCAATCCTAAACAAGTCTAACAAATATGAATGCAAAAAGATGAAAATATTTTTGGATTTTTTGAAAATTTTATGATTTTTTTGGTTTTTCTATGCAAAAGATAAATGAAAAACTAAGAACAAAGAAAACAAGGTTAAATCATCTCTTGAACCCTCCCCCAAACTTAAATCACACAGTCCCTTGTGTGAGAAAAATTCAGTGAAAGATTCAAGAGGGCAAAACCAAGAAAAAACAAGAACAAAGCAAGAAAATATGAAATGGTATATACAAGGGTTGGTGTTTGGATACCTCAGTGCCCCCCAAAGAACTGGGAGACTAGGTCGTGGTCTGGAGATGGGAGACGGCCATCAGGAGCACTCCACTCAACTGGGTTCGGCTCACTCGATCGAGCTTGTGGCTCCTCTTCCTCTCTTCTTCATCTTCAAAGTGGGTGTGGCTTCCTTGGCCTTGGTGGAGCTTGTGCTCGCTCGAAGCTTGTAGGGGTCCATCTCTGAGAGAAGTCCTGGTACTGGGTTGATCGTACTCGAAATCCCGGATCTCAAACTGGGGCTCCTCAGTCAACTCGACCGTCAGCTCGATCGAGTTGAGTTTCCTCTGATTGGACTCGATCGAGTCCGGTGGTCGAGCTGGAGCGTCTGGCCTTAGAACTCTTCCTCCTTCTCTGCGTGTTGTCCTCTCCTTCTCTTGGCTCGAAAGAAGAGGCTCTGTGAGGCTCTTGGGCAGGGAGCCTTCTTGGAGTGGTGAGGAGTGACTACTCCTAGGGAATGTGGGGGCCTTGGACTTCTTCTTGCTTGAAGAACCAGAAACCTTCTTCTCCAAACTTTTGATCTTGCTCACCATCTTGTCCATGGACTTTTGCATCTTCTCAATGGCTTTCCCTTGCCATTTGTTGAACTTTTGGAGAAGTCCAATCCTCTTGTGGCAGCCACAACAGAGGGGTTCATCCTTGGAGCCTCATACTCCTCAAAGTAATAGCACTCAGGCTCACCCAAATCCGCTCTCCTGGACCTGATATTCAGCTCGATCCTCAGCTCGACCTCAGCTCGAGACTCAGCTCGATCGAGCTCAGGCTCGCAATCATCCTCATGCCCAACTAATGTGTACACAGGGGGTCTGAAGTCAATGTTCTCACCCCTTACACTGTGGTGAGCTCTGGGTTAGGCAGGAGAAACTTGGAGGGTCCAACCAATGGATGTGTGAACTTGAATTGGAACCTCCCATCTAACTCCTTGTGCTCAATGAGAGGTTGGTCTTGCAAAACTTGATGTCCATCCAACCTGGTTCAGTAGCTCTCCTATCAGTTGGGTTCACTCCAGCAGCACACAAGATAGGTGTGATGAGCCCTCCAATACTAAGCTTTCTTCCTCTTTGGTGCCTAGTGTTGTAAGCTGTGATCTTGTAGGTGAGGAGATGGTCAAGGAAAGGCATCAAGTTCCCTGTGTCAGATCTATCTCCCCTTATCCTCTTGCCATCGCTTGTGCGTGAGAGAAGGGCTTGATTCCCATGTCAAGAAACTTGAGTTCCCCCTCGTTGATTGTCCCGGTGCCTTCCTTGCAAAGAAGGTGTTGGCAAGTGCCTTGTGCACATATCTCAAGACTGGGCTCCTGATCTGAGCTGCCTTGGACCTTGAGGAAGAGTACACTCCATCAGCGATTGTAGCCCAAACCCTTTGGAGTTCCTTTTCCTTGAAGTTCCACTTGGTTCCCTCTCCATAGTTGAACCCAAACAAGATTTCCAGCTGCCTAAAGGTCACCATTCTCTTCTCTCCCTTAGCCAAGAACGTGATCCATCCCAATCCTTGGTCCAAATCAGCTCTATCTTCTTTCATACATGTGGTACCTCATTGAAGCTAGGAACTCGCAAGTGAGCTCCTTGTAGGATTCCATGTGGTAAGAGAAGAGCTTGGCCAAGTGCATGTTCTTGAGACCAACTCCACATCTTCAAAGATTCCAAGGGCCTTCATGTGTCAACATGTGGGTACTTGGTGTCCATGAAGTCCATGGAGAAGAGAGCATCATAGTGCTCTTGGTACATGGGGAGCTCATCCTCTTCTTCCTTGACTCCTCCTCTTCCATGGGCACATTCTCATTGCCCTCATGCTCACTCTCCTCAATCTCTTGATTGATCTCTTCACCCTCTTCTTCACTTGGGAGTCATCATTCTCCTCATGTGGGATGTTCACTCCAATTTCAAACTCTCCTTGCTTCGCTCTCACTGCTGAAGGATCATTCCTTCTTTTGGTTCTCCTTTCTTCCCTCACCCTCTCAACCTCTTCCATGTCCTCCTTGGTTTGTGTTTTGAGTATCCTCCTTGCTCCTCTTATCATCTCCCTCCTTGTGAACGCTGCTTGCTTCCTTCACCTCTCAACATCTTAGATTGGTCCTGAAATGCATCAAAATTCAAAGAATTAGAGTTGTAATGATCGGTTTGGTCAACTCGACACTCAGCTCGATCGAGTCAAAAAACTCGAGTGACAAACTCGATCGAGTTGGTGAAAACAGAGTATAACCAAACCTAATTCAAGTATTAAGAGCTGGAAAGGATGCTAATCAATCAAATTGAACCAAGAACAACTAGTAAATGGAACAATAAGCAATTCTAGTGAAAACATAGCAACCTTAACCATTACCAAACTCAAATTCAATTTCAAGCACATGCAACAAGTTTAAAGGCAAAACAGAGGTGAGGTGAAAATATGAAAGCAAATTCTCAATAACAAGTCCACAAGGGACACATGCAATCAAAAATCAAGAGGAAACAAGCAATAGGAAATCGAGATGGAAGAATCAAGGGTTTTAGGGTTCATACCTTGCTTGAATGATGGAATTGAAGAGCAGTAAACTAAGAACTAAGCAAAACAAGATGAAGAACAAATGAAATCGCAAAAACTTAAGAGAGAAAGATTGAAATCGATTTTTCTTGTGGTGAAGAGAGAGATGGATGATTTCAGAAATTTAAGTGTGGGAGAGAGAGAAGTGGATTCGATCGAGTTATGGGGAAGAGAGTTGTTTGAGATGTGTGGTTGAGATTAAAAGATGATAAAGAGGGAACAAGAAACTAGGGATTCTCTGATCAATTAGGGTAGTGGGGGACCAAAATCAGCTTGTGGGACCCACTCCCTTGACCAAGAAAACGGTTATGAATTTGAAATTCAAAAACTTACCTTGGTCGAGTTGTGGAACTCGATCGAGTTGCCCTGGTTTCTAGCTCGATCGAGCTGTCGGTCGAGCTGGCTCCTTGACACCTAAACTTAACTTATTGAAAGGTTAAAAACATAAAGATAGATAGAAATTGCATAAATAGAGTATGTACAAGGATAAACATGGGACTTCCTCCCAAGTGAGCTTGTTTAAGGTCCCATAGCTTGACCTTTACCTTCTTAGGCATTGGTTGAGCTAGTCCCACCATCAAGGGTGATAGTGAGGACTTGAGACAGAAGCTCCTTTAGCTTGGTTGGGTCCCTGGACTGTTCTGAAGTCACCAAGGCCTTGGCTCTAGAGAATGGCCTTGATCTCCCCTTGTACCTTATCTTGTACTCAATCTTCCCATTTTCAAACTTGGTGGGGAACAAAGTCATTGTGAGCTGAGATGGCTTGACTGAAGGGGCCTGAGCTGGTGGATCCTTTCTTTTATCTCCTGGTCTTGCCTTAGAGGCTGCATCCTCCCCTTCTTGTAGAGCCCTTCCTAGTGGCTCATCAAACAAAGCTTGAAGGCTCTCTTCATCAAGCACACAAGGGGCTTGAACAAGTCGCTCAGCTCTTGGCCTATCAGATCGTGGTTTCTCAACTCTAGCCCTCTCAAGACGTGGCTTCTCAATCCTTGGTCCTCTCTCATCCTTATCCTTCCCAACTCTTGGTTCCTTGTCAACCCTTTCCTTCACAACCTTTGTAGCTCCATGACTCTTAGAACTGAGATTGGTACTGTCAATTGTGGCACAAAAGTCTGAACCTCTAGGCTGCAAGCGATATGACACCAAACTATTCACCTTGTGAAGGATCACTTCTTGCTTGTGAAAGTCAATTGAAGCGCCAACTGTACTAAGGAAAGGGGTTCCCAATAACAAGGCAAATCCTTCTCTTCTTCCATTTCCATCACAGTGAGATCAGTTTGGATGATGCATTCTCCAATTTTCAAGTGATAGTTCTTGAACACTCCAAGAGGAGACTTAGTAGTTGCATCTCCAAAGATGATTGAAGTAGTAGGGCGCTGCAAGGCTCCAGCTATGCCTAGCTTCTCTGCCATGGAGAGAGAGATCAGATTGATGCTTGCTCCAGAATCCACTAAGGCATTGTCAATCTCAAGATGCCCAAGTGTGCAAGGGAGAGTGAATTTCCCTTGATCCTTGACCTTTGGTAGGAAGGTGGGTGAAGTAAGCAGGTTGAACTGATGAGTAGACTCTTGTAGGACCTCTGAAACTTTATCACTGTTGGCTAGAACATCCTTGACCATTTGCATTTGATCAAATGCCTCACTCATGCTATCCATAGAGGCAACTCAATTCCAATCCCACTGAGATCTCTTCTGAACTTGTGAATCACTTCCTTGTGACCTTGACTAAGTAGGCGAGACGAGGAAGCGGCAACCGGTTGATAAGGATCAAGCAAAACAGGCTGTCGGACAGAAGAGGTCGGACTCGATCGAGCTAGAGTTGGACTCGATCGAGCTGCCGATCGAGCTTGTCGTGCGAGCTCAACTGGTGAAGTGTGAATGGCCACAGTAGGTGCATGCACTTCTGGTTGATCAATCTGGACTCCAGGAGCCTCAGCAGCAACAATCTCTTCATCATTCAGCAGTAAACAAAAATCTTCAATGACCCTTTCTTGATCCTCTTCTTCAACAAGTCCTTCTTGAGTGAAGATGACCTTGCACTGTTCCTTGGGGTTCTGAATAGCTTTACCAGGTAGTTGTCCTTGCTTTGTAGCAGCAGCAACAGAAGAAGCATGATTCTCCAGAGAGTAAACCCTTGTGTTGAGGTTCTCGATCTTAGAGTTTATTTCAGCTAGCTTCTTGCTTGTGTCCACTACCCCATCAGCTTGCCCTTGAAGTAGTTGCTTTAGCATTGCTTTGAGCTCATTCTCTTGTGAAGGTGCAGGCTGGGGCGGTTGGTGGGGGAAGCCTGGTGGGATATTCATTTGTTGTCCAGGGAAAGTGCCTTGTGGTCCTTGGTAATTGTTCTTTTGACCATACCCATGTTGTGGTCCTTGACTCGATCGAGCTGCTTGTTGTTGAGGATAGACTTGGTCCTGAGGGTTAGCAACATCAGTGTTGCGGTATGACATGGCAGGGTTGGACTTGTAGTTATAGTATCCTTTGTTGTAACCTCCTTGCCCATTGCTCATGTAGCACACCTCAGCAAATTGTGTATCCTCCCCTTCTTGGACTGGTTCCATCTCCTCAGCAGACACAAAGTTGACTTTCTTCATTGTGGACTGAGCTAGGATCAGCTTATCCAACTTCTCATTCAATGCCTTAACATCTTTTCTCAACTTTTCGTCTGACTCGATCGAGTGGTGGGTCGAGCTCCGGTTGGTGCGATCATACTCTTCTCCATAGCTTCCATTTGAGTTAGCTATGTTCTCCACAAGTTGCCAGCCATCATCTACATCCTGGTTGAGGAAGTTCCCATTGCTAGCTGTGTCTAGCATCTCCCTATACCTAGGCAAGCATCCTCTATAAAGAGTGGAGAGTAGGATTCATTGTTGAATCCATGGTGTGGGCACTGACTTGTGTAGCCTTTGAACCTCTCCCAAGCCTCTGCGAATGTCTCATTGTTTCGCTGGATGAAGCTGGATATCTCTCCTCTAAGCTTGGCTGTGCGACCGGTGGAGAAAAACTTAGCAAGAAAGGCCTTCTTGCATTCATCCCAAGTGGTGATTGTGCCATGGGGCAAGCTCTTCTCCCATTGGTGAGCTTTGTCAGCTAGAGACATAGGAAAGAGTCTCAGCTTGATGGCATCTTCAGAGACACCATTGATCTTTGTCAAATCACAAAGCCTATCAAACTCATCAAGGTGGTCAATGGGGTCTTCACTTGGCAATCCATGGAACATCTTGTTCTGGACAAGGTTGATCATTCCCAGCTTGATCTCAAAGTTGTGGTTCTGCACTGGTGGTGGAACAATCCCTTGTCTCTGTTGGTGGCGGTTTGGAGCATCTCCTTGACCAATCGGTCGAGTTTGCCTAGCTCGACCGAGTCCATGCCCAAAGGGTTTCCATTCCCCTCTGGTACATCCATTGTATCAGCAACAAGCACCTCAGGTTCCTCTTGTACCCTCTGTGACCTCTGAACCCTCTTTCTACCCGTTGTAATGTCTAGCTCGACCAAGTCTTCAGTTGACCGACTCGATCGAGTTCGCATACACCTGCAAAAAGAGACAAAAACCCAGCAGTACAATAGAACAGGGGTGGTATAGCTTGATCGTCCAAGTGTGTTTGAAACTCAAATGCAACAAAAATATCCCAAATCGGCAACGGCGCCAAATTGATGATAGGATTTGTGTGTGGATGTGAAAAGAATGAAATGAGATGAGTGGAATGCAATCAGTGGTAATGATGAGTGGTAAGATGCAAACACAAACACAGTCAACAATTCCTCTTAACCATCATAGTCATTGAAGTATAAGAGGTTATCAATCCAAAATGGGAAACTTGTCACTCTATGAGAATATGAAACAACCAGAAAGTCAAGCAAGCAGTTATAGATTTGAAGTAACACTAACAACCTAAGAAATGAAATGCAGTGCAATAAAAGTAAACAAAGCAGTAAGTAGCTCGACCAAGGACTCGAGTCGAGTGGCAGAGTACCAGCTCGATCGAGTTTAGGGTCGAGTTGAGACAAAAAGCAGTAAAGGTGACGACTTTAACAAGATAAAGAGAGAATTAGGGTTCAAGACAGGGTTTTGCAATCAAAGGAATCTACACTTAATCAATCTAGCTCTTAAAACTCCTTGTATCAAGGCTTCTCTTGATATTGGGCTTCTCAATGCCTAGCCAACCCTTTCCCAAGGTGGAGGCTATCAACCAAGGAATGATCTCAGAAACAGGGGGTTAGCCAGTGAGAATCAAACCTTGGAGGCTATAGGATCATTGCCCAAACTAATCCATCCAACCCCTTAGACCTCTATTGTCTAGAGCAAGAGATATTGGAGCTCTTAGTGGATCTTTTCCAGCGAATGCCATCACTTTCGTGTGGGGAGTCGCCTAAGGACTTACAAGCCAGGGGTAGTGGTCATGTAGCCTTAAGATCTATCCAAAAGAGAGAGAATCTAGATTAAGACCATAAGCTAGAAGGATTAAGCATATGAAACCTCTAATCTATCCCATCTCAAACCCTAATGGGTAACTACTCACTACACATGAATGTAAACACAAGCAAATGCAATAAAAGAGACATCATAAGAAAGAGGAGATGAAATTAAACAACTTTTATTGAAATAAGCAAGTGCAAATACAAAGAGATTATCCAGGATCTAGGATTCAAGAAGCAAGAGCTTCAAGAACACAAAGATGGGATTAGATCTCTAAAAAGTAAAAGACAATAAATTAAAGAAACTAAAACAAAATAATCTAAAGCTTGGTGGTTTTTTCGTGGCTTAGAGCCTTTAAATACAAGAGGATTTAGGGTCAAAGGAAAGTCAAGGGGGAAGCAACATTTTTCGGGTTTGACTTTGACTTCCAGCTCGATCGAGTTGAAGCTTGGCCGGTCGAGTTGAGGAACTCGACCGGTTGGTCGAGTAGACGGTCGAGCTGGTCTTCAAGATGGCTTCTCCCTTCTTCCTTTGCGTATCCAGTTGAGCTGCTTCCATGTGCCAAGTCCCTCCATGCTCCTTATGTCCCATATGCTCCAGAATGCTCCAAAAGACCTATTTCAAAGGACCAAACATGCATATGTATGCAAATGCAACCTAAAACTAACATGAATGCATAAGAAGAGAAAAGGAACAAGATATGATGCAAATGGAAGCTAAAACTATGCAAAAGATGCATAAAAGATGTGCTAAAACTATGTAAAATGCAAGTACATCACCAACTATGTTTAAGGATGCTCATGCATTCATATCAAGATGTGATGCTTGCCAAAGAATGGGAAATATAAGCAAGAGGAACGAGATGCCGCAGAACTTTATACTAGAAGTTGAAGTTTTTGATGTTTGGGGCATGACTTTATGGGACCCTTCCCAACCTCTTTTGGCGACCAATACATTCTAGTGGCAGTTGATTATGTCTCCAAATGGGTGGAAGCCATCGCCAGCCCTACTAATGACGCACAAGTGGTCATCAAGATGTTTAAATCCATCATTTTTCCAAGGTTTGGAGTGCCTAGGATAGTCATAAGTGATGGAGGTTCACATTTCATCAACAGAATCTTTGCCAACCTTTTGAAGAAGCATGGAGTTACTCACAAAGTTGCCTCTCCTTACCACCCTCAAACTAGTGGACAAGTTGAGATCTCAAACAGAGAACTCAAGAGCATACTTCAGAAGACAACAGGCAAGACAAGAAGGATTGGAGTGCCAAACTAGATGATGCTCTATGGGCATACCGCACTGCCTTCAAAACACCACTTGGTACCACCCCCTTTCATCTTGTTTATGGTAAAGCATGTCATTTACCTATGGAGCTGGAGTACAAAGCAGCTTGGGCTATTAAGGAGTTGAACTTCAACCTAAAGACAGCAGGAGAAAGAAGATTGATTCAGCTAAATGAGCTTGATGAGATTAGACATCTAGCTTATGAGAATTCAAAGATCTATAAGGAGAGAACCAAAGCTTTCCATGACCGCAAGATCATCCCAAAGAACTTCGCGCCAAACGACCAAGTTCTACTATTCAACTCAAGGTTGAAACTCTTTCCAGGAAAGCTTCGCTCAAGATGGTCAGGACCATTTAGAATAAAGAAGTTCGCCCCTATGGAGCAGTGGTACTATGGGACCCAATGGGAGGAGACTTTACAGTCAATGGACAAAGGTTAAAACCTTACCTAGCTTCCACCACAATACCACGGAGACCACACTCGCTCTTGGCGACCCACCAGATCCTTAAGGAAGTGCCATACAGTCAAGCTAATGACTTTAAACAAAGCGCTGAATGGGAGGCAACCCATTGAAGGTCATTTCTTTTCATTTTCTTTCTTTAATTTTCTTTTGTTTTGAATATTACCTCTCACCTTAATGTGATTTGCTTTCACCAGGACGGTGTGATGGCGGGTTTAGATTGCCTCAAATTTTCACAATTTATAAACTTAATTAATGAGCTGCAAGTGCACAGCCGTGTTGTAGTCGGGGTCCGACACGAGGAGGAAGCGTTCTCGCTTAACACCTTGTGAGATCGGTTTGTAGCTAGCTCGCAATATGAGATGGTTTTGGACCTAGAATGAGAAAGATTGAGATGCCGTGGAGATCATCGTCAAGATCTCTGGCTCGGGATGGTCGATCGGGGATGACCGAAGATATAGTCATCGCTTTGCGGGAGAGGGTGGGAATCAGTGACGCGGTCAAGATTCTCGTTCCCTTACCTGACCAAAGGCCGATGGACGCTCCACCTGGATGGTTTTGCCTCTACGAATGCTTCCTCACGGAGTTTGGAATACGTTTTCCGGTCCTCCCGTTACTTCTCGAGTATGCGTATGAGCGGGGTGTAGCGTTGAGTCAGCTGACCCATGGTGTAGTGCGGCATATGGTCTTCTCGGCCGCTCTGGCGAAGGCAGCCGGGATGAAGCTAGACAGGGAGCTCTTTGAGCGTATAACTGATCTTCGTGCTGGGGTTAAGGAAGGAGGTTTCAAGCGTTTCCACACATCGATGAAACATGACATCGTTTTTGGTGATCATCGAACGAAGATTCATCACTGGACGCGCTACTACTTTTTTGTCAAGGTCGACCGTGCTTCGGTCGGGGATTTCGATCCTAGTCACGTCTTAACAGAATGGGTCCAGGAGCCGGGTAAAGTGGTTGTGAATTCTTCCTTATTTTTACGGTTGCTTCGTATGCTAACTTACGCCCCCATTATCTATATGCAGGAAGGATTGTCCCAAGGAAAGTAAATACTACTCTAAAGGAGAAGTTTAGAACTTTACGCGACTTGAGTAGAGAGACTTGGGCGGATGCGTTTGCCGAGACCGAAAGGAAGAAGAAGGAAAAGAAAGGAAAGGCTATTGCTATAGCGATTCCTCTCTGGTGAGTGTTTGATCATCGCCTTTGAATTTTTACGCCTGGTCCGGCTTTTAAATCGCGCTCCCTGATGTCTTCCAGATAAGTTGCCGGGTGTTGCTAGGAAGACAGGCTTAAGGAAAAGGGCTCCGGCTTTGGTGGATGATGATATCCTGATTTCTGATCCTTTATCCAAGCGGATGAGGTCAGATTCTGCGAGCTAGGTGATCTTCCTCAGTCACTGGGGTCTCTTGGGGGCGTCACCAGTGGCGATTTCTCTTCTCGGACTGTCGTGGCTTCTACTGGTCAGGGCGGGGATATGAGTATCCTGGAGTCTGGAGGTGACGGGGTGACGGTTCCGTCGGGATAGACTCCGATGCTGTCTCCTTTAAGTGGAAAGGTGGTGCTCCTTTAATGGATAATGGCGACTTTAGTGGAGAGATGGTTTGGGGTTGCAAACCTAAGCCATGCTGGGGGGTTCCGCGTGGTGAGCTTGAGTTCAAGGGTGCTTTCGATGAGGCTTCTAATAATCTTATTAGAGCCGGAGGGAAGTTTGCTGCGTTGATTCAACTTTATGACGGAGCGCTCAAGGGTGCTCGGAGCGGAGTTGATCAAATTAAAGCCGATTTGTTTGATAACTTTGATGGTGATGCGGCTGCAGTTAGGTTTCGAGAAGAAAAGATTGCTTTTGAAAAGAAGATAGAAGCTCTCAAAGGCGAGGTTGCGAAGGTGTCTGGCCTTGAGGTTGAAAATAATCAACTTCGGGACAAAATTACGCAACTGGAGGATAAAGCCTGTCGGGACATGGAAAATTCGATTGCCGAGATGGCTCGTCTTCGCAAGTCTCGGAAGAAGTGGGCTGAGTTGACGGCTGCTCAGTGTACGAATCAATGCATAATTGGTATACTCCGAGGTTGGACCGTATAGGCAGATACGTCAGTCAGCGGGATGCAGTGGAGAAGGCGGTGATTAGGATTCAAGTCGACGAGGCTCTTCTTTCCTATGTCAGGAAAATAAAGGGGGTCGAGCAGGATTTTGATGCGGTGGAGAAGATGCTTGCGGCCCGGTTGCGGGAGAGTAAGGCCGCCGGAGACTTGGTTGAGGATGACGAAGTTGAAGCTGATGACTATGCTCCGCCCCTAAGGTTAGATCTCATTTTTATCTTGCTGAATTTTGCTTTGACAGCGCATGGATTGTTCCACGGAATTTTGATCAATATGGGTCAATATATCGAACTTTCAGGCCTACCCTAGCTGAGCTGGCGTTTCCGGGATCCCCATCGCGTCATCAATCGAAGTAGGCGGAGAGGAAGTCGAAATTATCTTTCTTTTTTCTCTTTTGATAGTTTCCCATTTGCTTTTCGACATTACCCGGGAGGGCTTTTATCCTTAAACTTTGGGTTTAGTTTTGGACGTTATTTGGTGCTTTATTTGCTGCTTTGTTGCGAAACAAATTGGCTTAGACATAGTTGATAATTTCACAGCGCGATGAAAGAACCCAGCTTTAGGCCATGTCTTTTAATGAGAAACAATACGCCTTCAATCGGTTGGGGTAGGCTGGTTTATTCGATCGTCATCGGATAAGCGGCTTACCTATGCCGAGATGGCTTGTTAATCTCAAGTGTGTCGAACGAGTGCTTTCGTTTGACGGTGCGGATGCGTCGTGATGTTCTTCGAAGCTTTCGTAGTCTGTCACGATTCTCATTCGAGACACTGACCAATGCGTATTAGGTCTGAGGTGCTGTGATTCGGTAGATCACATGTTTTGGCGACGAGGTCTAGGGGCTCGATTTATGCCAACGATTCCATGGTCCGTTATGTGTAACGAGGTAGCGAGGTGCGTGCTCTCGTCTTTTGTGGGTGATCAGTCCACGGGTGCTGCGTTTAAGTGCATCCGAGCGTTGGGCCAGAACGTCGATAGTGTTGCGTTATTTCGGAATTATGCTTTGCGTGGTGCTTGCGTTGCTGATGTCTTCGGTAGGAGCTCAGTTACCAGCTGAAGGCAGAAGTCGTTACTTCTGGGATTCCTTGCCGAGACGGGAACCTTCCGAAGAGGTTCTGATAAGATTGCTTGCATAAAAATAAAAGAGCTATTTATTTTTATTAATTTATAGCTGTGCCTTTATCGAGAAAGACTGCCTACGTACCCGTGCCAGTGATATACCTCTATTTTACCTACTTTTTATGCTATTTTACTATGGTTTTCTAATGGTTTTCTAGTGGATTCTTGTGTTAAAAGGTAGTTTTTATGGATTTATAGTGCAAAGAGTCATTTTAGGTAAAAAGGTGCATTATGGAGCAAAACAGGAGATTTGGACTCTAAACCAGTTCAATGCCCCTGCATCAACTTTGGATGGAGCTAGAAAAAGATCTACTCAATGGATTTCATCAAGACCAGTTCCCTGCGTGCTCTGATTGAGTTAACTTTCCAACGCAACTGGAATGGCCTCATTTGGATGAGTAGAAAAGGAGTTATAGCCAAAAGAGTGAAGGCTGCTCCAGACAGCTATATCGAGAATCAGCGCCCGAACGCGCAGTCCGGCTGGCCGAGGAACGAATGTTCCGCGCTCGGCCAAAACCGTATTCCGTCCGACTGAAGTCTCGGCCAAAGTCCAAACCACTCGGCCGATCACACAGCACGACCCGGGAAACATGCCCGCGGTCGGCCAAGCTTCAACGCTTCACGCCACTCCGCGCACGACCAACGCGCGCGAGCCGGGAAACAAAGCCTCGCGGCCGCGCAACCCGTTCCGCGTACCACGGCCGATGCATCCGTCCGAGCCGGGAAAGAACGTCCCACGTCCGGCCGAGAAACCATCGGCCAAATCCATCCGTCCGACCGCCGACCGACCATGAAACATCCGGCCCGACCGTTCCGACTCGGCCAAAGACCCGACTGTCCGGCCGACCGTCCCGACGACCGTCCGAACGCCGCGGTCGACCCGAAGCCGTTTTTGAAGCCCAATCCGCACAATTCAAGCCCAAAGCCGGCGCCGACCTAGCTAGATTAGGTTTAGCCGCTTCTTATACTTAGAGCATTATAAATACTTCTTTTTAGCCTTGTAACTCAAGAAGGAGAGAGACCACAATCTATTTTACATCTTAATAAAGTTTTGCTTGCTTTTACTTTGTTCTTGCTTGTTACTCTTTCTAGAGAGGATTCGAATCTCTGTTCTTATGAATATGAATTCGTTTCCTTCTCTATGTCTGAGTAGTTTACTTGTTAAGTGATAGGAAGTCAAAGGATAGCATTCATGAATGCTTGATGATTGATCACAATTAGGGTTTTACTTATAATCTCCATCTTTGCTTATACTTAATGCTTGTTGTTAATCTGGCCAATTAGCATATGCCTTTAGGTTGATTTGAGCCTCGACAGTGCTGTATCATTCGCCTGAACTAGTATTTGGTGGGCAATCTCTTTTAGACTGCGACAGTTGATCTACTTGTAGGTTGTGAACAATTGATCTTGATCGAACTAATGCTTGATTTAATCACCTAGGGACATACCAAAAGTTTAGCGACTAGGTAGATTAACAAAGGGGTCGGAGCCTCGACAGTGGAATGATCATACCATAGTGTTTCAAGTTCTAGATTAGCACCTAAGTGCGGTAACCCTAATTGATTGATTTCATGCTTCTTGAATTGCTTATCTCAAGACTATCCTATTGCTTAGCCTTTCTCTCCTATTGAATTCTCACTTTTATTACTTGCATGCTTTACTTTCTCTGCACTCAACCAACTTATACTTTTGCCCTAGCTTGTTCTCAAACTCATAACTTGTAGTGTGCAATCTGGTCCTTGTGTTCGATACCCGTTTACTACTTCTGACCTGTGCACTTGCAGAATCAGGGATAGGAAAGGGGAAGACCTGATCCCGCGATCAAGTTTTTGGCGCCGTTGCCGGGGACCAATTCGCACCTACAAGCTCTTGCAAGAGAGCTAGTCTAGGGTTTTCACTTTTCCTTTTTAGTTTTGTTATTTTTCCTTTTTCTTTGATTTTGTTTTTCTTTTTTGGTTTTTCCTTTTTTGGTTTTTCCTTTTTGTTTTTAGCTTTTCAGGTTTTCCTAGTTAGATATGGAGAAGGAGCCACAAGCCTCTTCCCCTATAAAGGCGATGCCAATTCGCCACATACCACCTCAAAGTAACCTCTTGACGAACAAGAGATGTTAGATCCTCAAGCACCACCACCTTCATGGGATAGTCCTCCAAGACCATCCACTTTGAAGACAAAGAAGAAACTTCTTCCTTACCTTGAAGCAGCCGACCTGGAGACATCTAGCCAAGCCGCATCACACCAAGAAGAGTACCTTCTAGCCACACCAGAAGAGGAGATTAACCCTGGACAAGCCAAAGACTGGGCTAAGTTCAATGCCCAACATGCTTTCAAGACTTGGAATGGATACAAAGGAGCTTTCCTTCACAGATTTGCCAAAGGTCCTGTTTATGTCCCACCACCACGCCCAAGCTATTCACAATACCATCCATCATCACCAGACATAAACAAGACACCACTTTTCCCAAGGGAGAGCTACCAAGCTGCGCGCCAAACCAAGATTGAAGATATGCTTCAAGAGTACTTGAGAAATCAAGAAGAGAGTACAAAGAAGATGGAGAGAAGAATCGATTTCATCCATGAGAGCCTTGGAAACAAATCTGAAGTCCTATTCAAGCAAGTGATCAAGCTTGATGAAGACATTAAGAAGTTAAGAGAGGATCATGATCGATCTTTGACCCTAGTTAAGCTTGATGTTGCTTCCAAATATCAAGAGTTGCTGAACAAGAGCTGAGAATTGAAGATACTAGCTATGGCAATAGCAAACATCTTGGATCGATCTACAACCGCCTACAAGCCCTTGAAGGATCATCTCATGCCAACTACAAGAGAGAGAGGAGTCCAACACCCAACCACCCTCCCTTTTATTGTAATGCCATCACAAGAAGAAGCACTACTCAAGTCCATGAAGGACAATGAAGAAGAAGAAAGAGAGTATGAGGAACAATTGAATGATGAAGATGAAGAGCAGAGCATCGACATCAATGCTTCCCCAAAACAGAGCATGGATACACCAAGCCCTAGAGACCCTCGTTTCTCACCAAGAAGTCAAGCTTCTACACTTCCAAGACTGGAAGCAATGCAAAGACCATCACCACCTACTGAAGAAGAAGATACTTGGCAGTATGATCCCATTGATCCCAACAAGATAAGCCCCATGAAGCTTAAAGAGTTCAATGCTAAGGTGAAATCACTTCCATTCTATGTCACTTTTGAAGAAGCTTGGGATAAACATGGTCTAGTGGAGTTCTTTTTCACAACTAGTGAAAACAAAGAAGAGATACACCAACTTTTCAGGAAGGCTCGATTTCCCCTTGCCCCTCATGGAGTCAATCAACCACCATCACCACCATCATCACCACCACCTCAGTGGTATGTCAATTCCATATCAAGAGAGAAGCTTGCTGAGTTCAACCAGTTTGTCCAAACTCTTCCAGCCAGCATGTCTTTCAAAGAAGCTTGGCGCCACTACCCATTCACCACCTTTCTTCCACAACTGCAAGGAGACTCCTGAGGACATAAAAGAGCTTTTTGAGAAAGCTAAAGTTCAGCCAACCTTCAAGACCCTCTACAAGATTGAAGACCCAGGTCAATTCTCTATTCCCTGTCAAGTAAATGGTCATTACTTTGATAGAACACTATGCGATTCTGGCTCTTGCATAAACCTCATGCCAACCCAAACCGCCAAACTCCTTGGCATCACACGCTTGCAACCTGCTCAAATTAGTATTGGACTTGCTAACCATACTATAGCCAAGCCAAGAGGAGTTGTTATTGATGTTCTTCTAGAGATTGGAGATATCAAGATCCCGGTGGACTTTCATGTCATAAACATTCAAGGAGGATGTGACACACCATTGATACTAGGCCGACCCTTTTTGGCCACTGCTGGAGCTGTCATGGACCTTCCAAACCGGCGAATGTCCTTAGCCAATGTTGACAAGACAGTCTTTTACAAGACCATACCATTCATCACACCAAACAAGCTGTCTTACCTCATCACTGCCCAAGGCCGCCCAAGAGAGCCACCAGACCACACTCAAGGTCACAATGAGACAAGAACTAAAAGACTATGTCTCAGGCCGTGCCCTTACCCCATCTCCAACTAAGAGATCCTATCAGTCAAGCTAATGACTAAAAAGAAGCGCTGCATGGGAGGCAACCCATGAAAGGTGTTTTTCTTTACTTTTCTTTTCAATTGTTTTAGTTAATGTCTAGTTTTGTTTTGAGTTTTGGAAACAGGAATCTAAGAACCACACAATGGTAAAGAAGATATACCACAAGAAGAATGTTCATAGTTGGCGCGACTTTGATGGCCGAGCAGAACCTCTCCACGCTCGCCCATGTCCTCTCAAGCCGCCCAACACACCATCCCATCTCATTCCATCTGCATCTCACCCATCCCACCTCACCACACTTGCATTCCATCACTACCATCATTCCACTGCATTCACCATTCTTCAAGTAACACAAATCAGGTTACATCTTTCTTTTTACATTCACAACCACTTTATTACCTCTTTCTTTAACTCCCTTAATTGGATTTTCTTTCACCGGGACGGTGCAAGTTAAGTCTGGGGGGATTGTCGGTACTAATGTGTTTGTTCATGGTTGTTTTGATCTTATAATTGGTTTTTCCTAACCCACTTTTTCAAAACTTCTGTTTTATTGAGTCAAAACCAGTCCGGGAACAATGAACTTGCTTTGAGATTTGATAGTGTCATGCTAACAATCTATGACCCTAGAGCAAACATCAGCTGAAGGCACAAGCCTAACAGAAGCTCCTAGAGTGGATCGCATGCTAGCTCAGCGAAATTTCTAAGGTAACCAAGCAATCTAGAGTTAACCTCACCCTTAATCAATCTTAATAACTCTTGTCAAGGGGATTGGCATACATGTCGACAGTTCCTTGCTTGATTTTCAATGAGATTTGTCTAAAGAGTTCACCTCTCTCTCCCATCCCAAATGGTAAGTAATGTTTATGAGAAAAGCTCAAAGAGCACAAGGAAAACAAGTAAGCATGAGGAATGCATATGTCTGTACCTTCATGTCTTATGGAATACCTAAATCAAACAAGGAACAAGCTAAAGACTTATCCTGTGGTTGAAAGAAGGTCAATAGAAAAAATAAAATGATACCCTAGAAAAGTAGGGAGAAATTGACCTTTCAAAGTTCTGATGTGAGAAAGAGAGAGGAAAGGAACTCATTGCACTTCAAAGACAATCTTGGAGAAGATCAAGTGGGTAAGAACAAGTTCAATTGATCGATTTTCCCTTGATAAAGAACTCACGCTTTAAATTTCTGCAAGAGGTTAACAATAGAGAGTTTGGATTGCTGGATGAGACTAGTTGGGTTGGTATGTTGCTAAACTTGCAGGGTGTATGTGAAGCTAACCTTATGTTGACTATGTTCTTAGTGGAATACAGGAAAGGAACCTTTCACAGGATTTTCAAAGAAGCAAGAGAGTTCCCACGTTTTTCAAAACCTCTTCACTAGTTTAGATTCTTTTTGCTTGGGGACAAGCAAAGATCTAAGTCTGGGGGAGTTGATATACCTCTATTTTACCTACTTTTTATGCTATTTTACTATGGTTTTCTAATGGTTTTCTAGTGGATTCTTGTGTTAAAAGGTAGTTTTTATGGATTTATAGTGCAAAGAGTCATTTTAGGTAAAAAGGTGCATTATGGAGCAAAACAGGAGATTTGGACTCTAAACCAGTTCAATGCCCCTGCATCAACTTTGGATGGAGCTAGAAAAAGATCTACTCAATGGATTTCATCAAGACCAGTTCCCTGCGTGCTCTGATTGAGTTAACTTTCCAACGCAACTGGAATGGCTTCATTTGGATGAGTAGAAAAGGAGTTATAGCCAAAAGAGTGAAGGCTGCTCCAGACAGCTATATCGAGAATCAGCGCCGAACGCGCAGTCCGGCTGGCCGAGGAACGAATGTTCCGCGCTCGGCCAAAACCGTATTCCGTCCGACTGAAGTCTCGGCCAAAGTCCAATGCCACTCGACCGATCACACAGCGGTCGGCCAAGCTTCAACGCTTCACGCCACTCCGCGCACGACCAACGCGCGCGAGCCGGGAAACAAAGCCTCGCGGCCGCGCAACCCGTTCCGCGTACCACGGCCGATGCATCCGTCCGAGCCGGGAAAGAACGTCCCACGTCCGGCCGAGACCATCGGCCAAATCCATCCGTCCGACCGCCGCCGCCGACCATGAAACCATCCGGCCCCGACCGTTCCGACTCGGCCAAAGACCCGACTGTCCGGCCGACCGTCCCGACGACCGTCCGAACGCCGCGGTCGACCCGAAGCCGTTTTTGAAGCCCAATCCGCACAATTCAAGCCCAAAGCCGGCGCCGACCTAGCTAGATTAGGTTTAGCCGTCTTCTTATACTTAGAGCATTATAAATACTTCTTTTTAGCCTTGTAACTCAAGAAGGAGAGAGACCACAATCTATTTTACATCTTAATAAAGTTTTGCTTGCTTTTACTTTGTTCTTGCTTGTTACTCTTTCTAGAGAGGATTCGAATCTCTGTTCTTATGAATATGAATTCGATTTCCTTCTCTATGTCTGAGTAGTTTACTTGTTAAGTGATAGGAAGTCAAAGGATAGCATTCATGTATGCTTGATGATTGATCACAATTAGGGTTTTACTTATAATCTCCATCTTTGCTTATACTTAATGCTTGTTGTTAATCTGGCCAATTAGCATATGCCTTTAGGTTGATTTGAGCCTCGACAGTGCTGTATCATTCGCCTGAACTAGTATTTGGTGGGCAATCTCTTTTAGACTGCGACAGTTGATCTACTTGTAGGTTGTGAACAATTGATCTTGATCGAACTAATGCTTGATTTAATCACCTAGGGACATACCAAAAGTTTAGCGACTAGGTAGATTAACAAAGGGGTCGGAGCCTCGACAGTGGAATGATCATACCATAGTGTTTCAAGTTCTAGATTAGCACCTAAGTGCGGTAACCCTAATTGATTGATTTCATGCTTCTTGAATTGCTTATCTCAAGACTATCCTATTGCTTAGCCTTTCTCTCCTATTGAATTCTCACTTTTAATTACTTGCATGCTTTACTTTCTCTGCACTCAACCAACTTATACTTTTGCCCTAGCTTGTTCTCAAACTCATAACTTGTAGTGTGCAATCTGGTCCTTGTGTTCGATACCCGTTTACTACTTCTGACCTGTGCACTTGCAGAATCAGGGATAGGAAAGGGGAAGACCTGATCCCGCGATCAGCCGGGATCAAGCCAATCGTAGTTCATTACAAATGTTCATGTCATGGACATGTTTTTTTTTTTTTTTTGGAGTGCGGTGCGACGCGTCTAGGTGTAGAACTTGCGTAGGTTCATGGAGTTCCACGAACGAGGCAGTGGGTTTCCGTGACAATCGTCTAGCTCGTAGACCCCGGGTTTGACGATCTTGGTGATGCGAAACGGCCCTTCCCAATGGAACCCGAATTTGCCTGCGTGCTCAGGTTTGGTAAAGTCGTGGACCTTCTTAGATACAAGGTCGTAGAGCTCGAAGCGCCGGTTTCGCACCTTCCTGTCGTAATATCTGGTTGCTTGTTGTTGGTAGTTTGCATACGCAGGAGGGCGCGATCCCGTAGCTCTTCGGCGTGGGCTAAACTATGCAAGAGTGAGTCATCATTCAGTGCCGGGTTGAGGGGCATTAACGATCGTCGTAGGCTGGCTACGTGCAGTTCTGCCGGTGCTAGCGCTTCGCAACTTTGCGACAAAGAGAATGGGGTTTCCCCGGATGCGGTTCTGGGGGTGGTTCGATGCGACCAGAGTACTCCATCCAATTCGTCCGCCCAAGCTCCTTGGTAGCCTTCAAGCCTTTTTTTCAATCCATCAACAATAGTTTTGTTTGTGGACTCGGCTTGTCCATTAGCTTGAGGATATCTTGGCGTGGAGTAAGCGAGCTTGATGTTCCATGATGCGCAAAATTCTCGGAAAGTCGTTGCGACGAATTGTCATAAGGAAGACCGTGACGGCATATGATATACTGCCACACAAAGTTTGTCACGTCATGAGCCGTTGGGTTTTTGTATGCTTTTGCTTCTACCCACTTAGTAAAGTAGTCGGTGACGACCAGGAGGTAAGCGCATTGCCGCGAGCGTGGCATAGGGCCGACGATATCCATTCCCCAGCGCATAAAGGGGTATGCCGGGATTGCAGCTTGAAGTGCTTGCGTTGGGGCGTTGACTGCCGGTGCGTATCTTTGGCAGGGGACGCATTTGGCGGCGACGTTTATGCAATCGCCGATCATCGTTGGCCAGAAGTATCCGATCTTCTTATTTTTAAAGCGAGTGATCTTCCGCCGGCGTGATTTCCTGATGCTCCTTTGTGGGTTTCGACCATGATGGTCTTAGCTTGTGCTTCGTCGCAGCATCGCAGGATGACTTTGTTTGCGCTCCAGCGAAAAAGCTCGTTGTTGCGTAGGAAGTAGTAAGCTGCTTTTCGTCGGAGGCGGCGGGCCGCCCATTGCTCCTCTGGCACGGCGTCGTTGATGAGGTAATTTCTGATTTCATCCTGCCACGATTTGTGTTCTGCTGACTCGTCGTCAGTGAGGTTTTCGTCTTCTTCTTCTTCTTGTGAGATTGCCATGACCACGGTTCCCTTGGGGAGTTTGATGCTCGGTTCGTCGATGGTTTCGACAGGATGACCCGTCGCAGTGCTGATTCAGTTTTTGACGCCAAGGCTGCGAGTGCGTCGGCCTCGGAATTCTCGGAGCGGGGAATCTTCGTCAATTCGAACGTCTTGAATGCCTTGGCAAGTCTTTGCGTTTGTTTGAGATACGCGTCCATGCGATCGTCTTTTTTGTGTCGTAGTCACCGCTGAATTGCTTAGCGACGAGCTGAGAGTCACAGAATGCACAAACGTGTTCTGCTCCGACTGCTTCGGCGAGACGAAGTCCGGCAATAATTTCTCCGTATTCGGCTTCGTTGTTGGACGCTGGGAAACCGAGTTTGAGTGATTGTTCGAGAATCTCGCCTGTCGGGGAGACGAGGCGGATGCCGACGCCTGCTCCTTGCCTGGAGGACGATCCATCGACATGCAGTGTCCATTTGAGGATTTGCTCGTCCTCTTGGGTTGCGAGCTCAGGTGGGATTTCTACGATGAAGTCGGCTAGAACTTGTGACTTGGCGCTCGTCCGGCTTTTGAACTCAATATCGTATTCCGATAGCTCGATTGCCCATCTTGCCATTCTCCCGGATTGGTTAGGGCCGTGAAGGATTTGGCGTAGTGGTTGGCTGGACAAAGACTACTACGAGCCTGAGTGCTTGAAAGTACGGCCTGAGTTTTCGTGCCGATATGACTACTACGAGCGCCAGTTTTTCTAGGGTTGGGGTATCGCGTCTCGGCATCATTGAGGGTTTTGCTGACGTAGAAGACTGGCTGCTGCTCTCCTCGATCTTCTCGGACAAGGACTCCGCTTACCGCCGTGCTTGATATTGCGATATATAAGAATAGGGTCTCGCCTTCTTCGGGTTTCGCGAGAATTGGTGGGGTAGTGAGATACTCTTTCAAATTGTTTGAAAGCGTCTTCGCATTTTTCGTCCCACTCGAACTTCTTGTTTGATCGAACCAATTGGTAGAAGGGGAGACATTTGTCGGTTGAGCGCGAGATGAATCTGTTCAATGCGGCGATCCGTCCGGTGAGCCTTTGGATTTCTTTGGAGGATGTCGGCGATGGGAGGTTGAGGATCGCCCAGATCTGCTTCGGGTTTGCCTCTATCCCGCGTTGGTTCACAACATACCCGAGGAATTCTCCTGAGGTGACGGCGAATGTGCACTTCGCGGGGTTTAGCTTCATCCCGTACTTCTCCAAGATTCGGAAACATTCGCCGAGGTGCTTGACATGATCGTGGGCCCTGGCAGATTTGACTAGCATGTCGTCGATATAGACTTCCATCGATGCCAACGCACCTTTCCGGACGCGATTCGTCGATATTTACTTCGACGATGAGGGCTGGCTTTGGTCTCTGGTGGTATGGAAGGCGTGGATCCATTTCCTCGTTTGCGGTGCACGTTGCTGCTAGGCGGAGCCGTCGCTCGTAGAGGAAGCATGACCTTGCTGCCCCTTGATTCCCTCTCAGTGTGTAAATTCCTGATTGTGCCGGGAATTTCACATATTGGTGAAAGGTCGAGACGACGGCCTTCATCTCATGGAGCCATGGGGTGCCCAAAATGGCGTTGTAAATGGCTGGTTTATCGATGACGAAGAATTTGGCGGCTTGGTTGTTCCTCCGACGTGGATAGGTAGGCGGATCGTGCCTTCACTGGAGACATGTTCGGAGGTGAATCCGGTGAGGGAGTACAACGAACGCTTGATCTGTTTTCTGCTGATTCCCATGCGGTTGAGGGTCTCTTTGTAGATTAGATTCGCTGTGCTCCCGGTATCGATCAGGATTCTTGCTACGCTGGAGTCACAGATGTGCAAGCTAACCACGAGTGGGTCGCCGTATCTTGATCCGTGAAGATGATAGTGGGGATTTCTTCGCGGGTCGGGTTGCGATCGTGCTCCACCGCTGCGTATTCATGCTCCGTGATTGTCGAGATGGAATCGCGATGGGTGGGGTTGCCCATTATCATGTTAATCTCTTGCCCTGATTCGTCGGAGTAGTTCGTTATGTCATCCGGTGTGTTCTCAGGGATTACGGGTTGTGCCGGTTTTCGTCTCTGACGAGAGCGGTCCCCTTTTATCGGTGGTAGTTCCCCGTGCTGGTATCTCCGAAGGAGATCGCGAGTTAGGCGTCGGCAGTTTCTTGTAGAGTGGTCGCCGGTTCCGTGGAGGCGGCAAAACGTGTCAGAGTCGTCGAGATCGGGCGTCGCGACATTTGTTGCCTGTTTCTTGATGTGATGCGGTTCCTGCTCGGGCTCATTGTCGGCTGCTGCGAACGCCGTTAGGAGTGATCTTTTTGGATTGTATCTCTTTCGCGTCTCCGGGGGTTCTTCCCTGGGTTTCGAATGAGGTTGTCCTCCTATCTCCATGCTTCTCGGCGTAGAAGCGCTGGTCTTCCTCGAGGAAGATGTAGTTCCGAGAGCGGTGGAACGCGTCCTCCAGAGTCGCAGGGGGTTTTAGTGACAAATCCTCCTTAAACTTGGAGTCGTACCAGAGGCCGTTGCGGAGTGCTTCCAGCGGGACGCTATCGGGCATGTCGCCAGTATCGCGAGCTGCTTGTTTGAACCTTTCCATAAAGCTGCGCAATGGTTCGCCTTGGGTTTGCGTTGTGGTGAACATGTTCCGAGTGATTCGGGTCATGTGCATGGAGTAATGCTTCAGAAAAGCATTGGTTAGGTCGTCGAAGTTATCGATCGACTCGGCGGGGAGGTTAGAGAACCAGGTCAAGGCATCTTTCGCCATGTGCTCGACGAATACTTGACAGTAGTTGGCCTCCTTTCATCGTAAGATTTGTATTTCTCCCTCCTCATGGCGAGGTTGAACGCGGTTAGCCACTTCTTGGGGTCTTCTTCGCCGGTGTAAGAGTCGATTTTGAGTCGAACTCTTTCGTGTAGTTCGATCTGGCGGAGCCTGCGGGTGAGCGGGCTTCTTCGGGTGTCGGCGAGTGCTTTCGTCAATTCCGGAGCTGAGCTGGTGGCGCGATGAACTTTCGAATCGACCTCGTCGAGGCGACGATTCATCCGTTCGAGCTCTTGGGTGGTAAGTCGCCTGAAGTGCGCAGGACGGGGGGTTGTTCCGTCATGGGACTTGACGGATCTTCATCGTCTTCTCGTGCTAGGGCTTCCACCTGTTCCTGAGTCTTTTTCTGCTGTGCTCGCATTGACTCGAAACCGTCGGCGAGCGGCTTGACGAGATTCTCCATGAGTTTGAGGATCTTCTCGCTCGAGGAGGATTTCTTCGAGCTGCGGGGTTTGTCGCTCGAGGAAGATTTTCTCGAGCGGCGTGGTGCGGACGGAGGGGGGCTCTCGTCCTTTCTTGGCGGAGGAGATCGTTGCGGCGAAGTCGATCTTCGCGGCGAGACGGATCTCTGTGGCGAGAAAGATGGGTTTCTTGTAGGGGCAGGCTTGTCCCTACCTTCAGCGGGTAGCGACTTGTCTATCGTGCTGGTAGACTGTCGCTTAAGTTTTCTTCTGAGGGAGACGGGCTCCCGGTGGGAGTGTTCTCTTTCGAGTTCACCATCGTTGCTAGTTCGTGAAAATCTAGATATCTTCGAGATGAATAGCGAGAAGCGTTTCCAGCCCCACGGTGGGCGCCAATTGTTGAATCCGAGATAGCACTCGTCAAGACGGGCTATCAAAGATGTGAGTTTAGGAAACTGGAACGCTTAATTCGACTCTTAGATTATCAAGAAGTTACAAGAAGCAATCTCGCTAACAAGCCTAGCGAGATTATGATGATGAACAAGATAGAGAATAAAGCTAGTATGAAGGCCTAGTGATTCTAGATGATTTCGGATCCCTTTCTCCAATGGGGGGTCTTCAATATATAGTGTTGATAAGTCGGCCGAATGATGAATATTCTCCTTCAGGCGAGATGGAAAACTTCCTCTTTTCTTGGATCTCCTTCCATTCTTTAAGTCGGCATGAAGATTTATTTACATTTCTCCATGGATTGTGCCTTTCTCTTCAAGTCTTGCCTTTTTCTTGAAGATGTTAGGCCTAAAATCGGATTGGGCTTTGTGACTTTACTAATGATGACGGGCTCAGGGAAATGTGCTAATTTCTCCTCTAACATTGTTGACCAATCTTTCCTAGTATAACTCACTGTCTTCTCAAGGATGGCCTTGATCTGCCTGTTGGAAACTTCAACTTGCCCATTGGTCTGAGGGTGATAGGGCGTGGTTACCTTGTGTTTAACTCCATATTTTTCATCAGCTTCTCAAACACCTTTTTGATGAAATGGGAGCCTCCATCTGAGATCACAACTCTGGGAATGCCATATATTGGGAAGATAATGGTTTTAAATAGCTTGATAACAACCTTCGCATCACAAACAGGGCAAGCAATGGCTTCTATCCATTTGGACACAGTCCACAGCCACCAGAATGTAAGTGTTCCCATTTGAAGCAGGCTTGAAAGGTCCCATGAAGTCTATTCCCCATACATCAAAAATTTCAACTTCAAGGACTGGGTTTAGTGGCATTTCGTCTCTCTTGGTGATCTCTCCTTTTCTTTGGAATGGATCAAACTTAGCAATGAAGCTTGCTACATCCTTGAACAAAGTAGGCCACCATATTCCAGCTTGCAAGACCTTAGTCGCTGTTTGAATGTGGCAAAGTGACCTCCATAAGCGGATCCATGGCACTGTTCCAAAACTCCTTGCATGTCTTCTCCAGCTATGCACCTTCTGTAGATGCTGTCTGGCCCTCTCTTGTACAAGTAAGGCTTATCCCAATAGTAGTGCCTAACATCTTTAAATAACTTCTTCCTCTTGTAAGCATCAAAATCATTTGGAACCTCTCCAGCCACCATGAAGTTCACTATATCAGCATACCAAGGCAGGTTTTCATCTCGCAGAGCTTTGACTTCTTCTAGCCTGACCTTCTCATCAAACCTTCCTTCAAAATCATGATTGCCATCAGTTGTTCTTCGGGCATAGAATCATTGATTGGGACTATTTCTTCAACTCCAAGATAGATGATCAGCAACTCCAATATCTGTTCCCTTCTTGTCCACTACCTCTATGTCAAATTCTTGAAGCAGAAAAATCCATCTGAGAAGCCTGGGTTTTGTATCCTTCTTACCAAAGATGTGCCTGAGAGCAGCATGATCTGTGTGGACAATTACTTTTGATCCAACCAAGTAACTCCGAAACTTCTCAAAGGCAAAAACCACAGCAAGAAGCTCCTTCTCAGTGGTTGCATACTTGCATTGAGCATCATCCATAGTTCTGCTTAGATGACATTCAGCTTCTTGTCAATCTTTTGGCCAAGCACTGCTCCTACTGCATAATCAGAAGTATCACACATGATCTCAAATGGATAATCCCAGTTTGGAGTTTGAAAGATTGGGGCAGAAACCAGAGCATCCTTCAGTAAAGTCCAAGACTTATGGCATTCTTTATCAAACTCAAAATCTACTTCCTTGCATAGAAGCCTTGTCCATGGTCTTGCTATCTTGGAGAAATCCTTTATGAATCTTCTGTAAAACCCTGCATGACCCAAAAGCTTCTGATATCCATCACAGTTTTAGGTACATGAAGCTGCAACATCACCTCCACCTTAGCTCGATCGAGCTCAATCCCCTTCTCAGAAAGTTTATGTCCAAGAAAGATCCCTTCCTAAACCATGAAGTGGCACTTCTCTCAGTTGAGTAATAGTTTTTTCTCTTCACATCTCTGCAAGACCCTGCACAAGTTTGACAAACATGAGGAGAAGGATGCTCCATAGACCGAGAAATCGTCCATGAAGACTTCTACGATCTCCTCTATCAGAACTGAAAAATGGAGGTCATGCATCTCTGGAAAGTAGCTGGGGCATTGCACAGCCCAAATGGCATCCTTCGATAAGCAAAGGTGCCATAAGAGCATGTGAAAGTTGTCTTTTCCTGATCATTTGGATGAATAGGGATTTGGAAGAAACCACTGTAACCATCAAGAAAACTGTAAAAAGGATGTATTGCTAATCTTTCAAGCATCTGATCAATGAAAAGAAGAGGGAAATGATCCTTCCTAGAAGCATAATTTAACTTCCTATAGTCTATACACATGCGATGCCCCACTATTGTTCTAGTGGGGATCAGCTCCTCTTTGTCATTCTTTATGACAGTGATTCCTCCCTTCTTTGGGACGCACTGAACTGGAGATATCCAAGTGCTATCACTGATGGGATAAATTATCCCAGCATCAAGCAACTTGAGTATCTCTTTCTTCACCACTTCCTTCAGATTTGGGTTCAATCTCCTTTGAGGTTCAATGCTAGACTTAGTTTCATCTTCTAAATGAATCTTGTGAATGCATAAATCAGGAGAGATGCCCTTGATGTCATCAAGAGTGTAACCAATGGCCTTCCTGTACTTTCTCAACTCAACAAGCAATGCATCTAATTGTTCAGGTTGTAGCTCAGATTTAACAATGATAGGGTAAGTCGAATTTTCACCCAGAAACGCATACCTGAGGCCCTTGAGCAAAGGTTTGAGGTCGACCTTAGGTGCCTTGAGTTCAGACCAATCTCCTTGAGCTTGTTCCTTGCATCTGATGTCTAGCTCGATTGCGCTTTCTTGTTCACGTCCGGACTCGATCGAGTTGTCAGTCGAGCTCACTTCCAGAACTTCACAAAGTGGCTCGTCTAACTCCTCAATGCAAAATATATTCGGAACCGGTCTGAAAGTGTCAAGAAGCCTCAAATACTCCTCAGTTTCGGAATTTAAATACCCTTCAGATTGATCTTTGGTTAAAGCAACTTGCAAGTGATCTTCCAAAGATAACTCCTCCAAAAGCTCATCTGCCAACGGATCCATTTCTTCAGTGTAAAAGAGTTGACCTTCAATTGTTGGTTTCCTCATTGTATCTTTGATCTCAAACTTCATCTTTAGGTCCTTCCCAAGGTTTAGCTCTATTGTACCTTCACAGACATCTATCATTGCTCTTGCTGTAGCTAAAAAAGGTCTTCCTAGAATCAAAGGGTCTGTTGGTTCTTCATCTATTTCAAGCACAATGAAATCAGTGGGGATTTCAACTTTCCCTATCCTTAGGGGTAGATCTTCAAGCATCCCAGTAGGCAGCCCTACATGATCTATCGGGCAAAACAAGTGAGATTCCGCAGGCTTGATACTTGTCATAACCCAATCTCTTTGCAACTGACAAAGGCATCAGGCTGACTGATGATCCAAGGTCACAGAGACTGTTCTTGAAGGATAGAGGTCCTATCATACATGGCAGTGTGAAACTCCCTCGATCTTCCTTTTTGTCGGAGATAACTTTGCGTTGAATGATTGCACTACATTCGCGAGTCAAGACCACCATTCCTTGCACTTCCTTAGTCCTTTGCAGTACAGAATCCTTCAGGAACTTCTGGTAGGGTGGAATGAGCATCAGAGCATCAATGAAAGGCAACTTCAACTCAGTCTCCTTCATGAGCTCATCAAAATTAGCCTTGTGCTTCTCCAACAACTGTTTCTTGAACCTTCCTGGGAAAGGTAGAGGGGGTTTGTATGGTGGTGGCACGAATGGAGTGTCCTTCTTCTTACCAATTGGCTTAGGCGGCTGGCTAGGACTAGCTTTGTCAGCTTGTGAACTAGCCCAATCGAGTTCAGATTTTTCATGTGGATCTTCTGGTGCACTAGCTCGATCGCGCTCTGGTTCAATGTTGTGTTTAGGCTCGATCGAGTTTGGTGCGGGAATGTTTGAATACTCAGCTAAGTCCTTCCCTTCCTCGTCATCGATGTTCACAGCGATTTGAGGTGTACCAACTCTGTTAGGCAGCTGTCGACCACTCCTTAGCGTTACGGATTGAGCATACGCTTGGGATAAGAATGATGCACTAGAAGACTCAATAATCTGAACTCTTGAAGTTAATGATTCGATTTTGGAGTCTATCTCAACCAACTTGTTGTTCATGTCCAATGTACCATTGGCTTGCCCTTGTAGAAGTTGCTGGAGCATGTATTTCATATCCCAATCATGACTTGGTGGTGTATGATATGGCATTGGGGCGAATCCAGGTGGCACACTTGGGTGTGGAGTCTGAAAGGTGTTCTGGTATCTTTGAAAGTGTCCTTGCTAGCCATAGCCAGATTGGTAACCAGAGTAGGCCATCCTATATCCACCTTGTCGATTGTTCATGTAACAAATTTCAGAAAATTGTGTATCTTCCCCTTCCTGGTCTTGAACTAGGGCTTTACCAGAGACAGAGTTGACATGCTTCACAGTGAATTGAGCTAGGATCAGTTTGTCTAACTTGGAATTTAGAGCATGCATATCTTTGCGCAGCAGTGCATCCGACTCGATTGAGTTCTCGGTCGAGCTCCAGTCTGTTCGATCATACTCCTCTCCATAGCTTCCATTTGAGTTGACAATGTTCTCCACAAGCTGCCAACCGTCATCTACATCTTGATGAAGGAAATTTCCATTGCTGGCTGTGTCTAACATCTCTCTATACTTTTCCAAGCATCCTCTATAAAGTGTAGAGAGCAAAGACTCATTGTTGAAGCCATGATGAGGGCATTAACTTGTGTAACCCTTGAATCTTCCCAAGCCTGAACAAAAGTCTCATTGTTCGTCCGAGTGAAGCCTGAAATCTCGCTCCTTAGCTCGGTTGTGCGATTGGTTGAAAAGAATTTAGCAAGAAATGCTGCCTTCTTGCACTCATTCCAAGTGGTTATGGTACCATGGGGTAGGCTCTTCTCCGATTGGTGAGCCTTGTCAGCAAGAGACATAGGGAAGAACCGGGGCTTGTGTCCCGGTGGTAAAGGACCCCCAGCTGAGGTACCCGCCACCTGGGTTCGAGTCCCGGCCACAACGGATTTAACATCCCTTCCGTTGGGGCGCTGGACCCCACTTGTGGGGATAGTCGGAAATGTGGCTGCCCGGATACCAGAGTTATCAAAAAAAAAAAAGAGAGACATAGGGAAGAGTCTCAGCTTTATGGCATCTTCAGAGACACCATTGATCTTTGTCAAATCGCACAACCTATCAAACTCATCCAAGTGATCAATTCGGTCTTCACTTGATAGTCCATGGAACATCTTGTTCTGCACTAGGTTGATCATCCCCAACTTGATCTCAAAGTTGTGGTTCTGGACAGGTGGTGGGAAAATCCCTTGTCTTTGTTGGTGGCGGTTTGGTGCATCTCTAAGCCAAATCGGTCGAGTCTGCCTAGCTCGACCGAGTCCATTACCCAAAGGGTTTCCATTACCCTCTGGATCGTTCATTGTATCAGTAATAACCACCTCTGGTTCTGCTTGTTGCCTCTGAGTCTTCTTTCTCTGCCTTTTGCTGATAACTAACTCGACCAAGTCTTCTTTGGAGGAGCTCGATCGAGTTCGCATACACCTGCAAAAAAAATCAAAAACCCAGCAGCAAAAGTAACAAAGGTGGGATAACTTGATCGTCCAAGTGATTTGGAAACTCAAATGCAACAATTATCAAACCCAAATGGCAACGGCGCCAAATTGATGATAGGATTTTGTGGTGATTTGGAATGAAATATGTAAGTGATATGAGATGGATGCAACAAGAGTGGAATAAGAATGAGATGGTACGATGCAATCACAATCAATCAATTCCTCTTAATCATCATAGTCAATGCAGCATAAGAGGTTATCAATCCAAAAGGGTTTGTTGTTACTCTATTAGAATATCCAAATACAAGGAAGTCAAGTAAATATGGTAAAGATGGAAGAATCTAACAACATAATCAAATAAGAATGCAATGCGGATATGAAACAAACTAAAAGTGCATGAAATAAAAAAGAAACGAGCACCTCGACCTAGGACTCGATCGAGTAGAAAGAGAGCTTTAGAGCTCGATCGAGTTGGGGGTCGAGTTGAAGTAAAACAGGGGAAAGCGAATGCAAAAACAGTAAAGGCGCAAACTTTAAGCTATTAAGACAAAGATTAGGGTCTAAGACAGGGTCCTGCGACTAGGGGAAGGCTATACTTAATCAATCTTGCTCTCAACAACTTGTACTCAAGCTATCTCTTGGCTTTGAGCTTCTTAGCCTAGCGAACCCTTTCCCAAGGTGAAAGCTATCATCTAAAGCAAGATCTCAGAAACAGGGGGTCAGTCAGTGAGAATCAAGCCTTAGAGGCATTAGAAACATGCTCAAACTCACCCATTCAACACCTATAAACTCCATTTCGTAGAGCAAGCATATTGAAAGCTCTTAGTGGACCTTTTCAAGCGATTTCCCATCATTCCCATGAAGAAAACCGCTTAGGATCAAACACACCATGGATAGTGGTTGTGAAGCCTTAGGCTTTGTCCAAAAGAGAGAGATTTTAGATTAAGAACATCAAGCAAAAAAGATTAAGCATAAAAATCATCTAGTCTAGCCCATCTTAACCCTAAGGAACTACTCACTACACATTGTGAAATACTTAACCAAATGCATGAATTGAAACATCAAAAGATAGAGGAGATGAAATAGAACAACTTTTATTGAAATAGCAAGTGTAGAAATACAAAGATAGAGCCTAGATCTAAGGTTCAAGAAGCATAAGCTCAAGAACACAAAGAGAAGCTTAAAAGTCAATTACAAGCTAAATTAAAAACTAAAAACAAAAGAAAAGCTAAAAGAGAGAGTTGTCTTTTTCGTGGCTCAAGGCCTTTAAATAGGAGAAGATTTAGGTTTAGGGTCAAAGGAGAGTCAAAGGGGAAGCAACATTTTCGGGTTTGACTTTGACTCGGTAGCTTGATCGAGTTGGTCTTGGCCGGTCGAGTTGGTGAACTCGACAGGTTGGTCGAGTAGATGGGTCGAGCTGACTTCAAAGGCGGCTTTCTTCTTCATTCCAAGCATGTGCGGTCAAGCTGAGTCCATGCACAATGTTCTTCCTTGCTCCTCACGTCCCAGTTGCTCCATAGTGCTCCAAAAAGACTTGTTTAGGGATCAAACATGCACATGTATGCAAATGCAACCTAAAACTACAATGAATGCATAAGAAAGGAAAAGGAACAAGATATGATGCTAATGAATGCTAAACCTATGCAAAAGATGCATAAGATGCATAAGAGATGTACTAAAACTATGCAAAATGAAAGTACATCACTTGTCTAAATCCCGACCAACTGCCTCGACCGCGGTAACTGTCTCAGTCAGTTTAGCTCGCCCTAGCTCAGAACTCACGGTACGTCCGGATCGTTTCCATTTTCTCAACCAGTTAACACTCCGTGTACATTTTCCCAATCTTTTGGTCCGCCCAAGTTAGATCATCGGAACACGGGTGTTACAATAAGCCCCTAAACATATGGTGTCACATGTTTCATTATAAATAAAATTTTAATTTTTAAACAAAATAAAAAAGAAATCAAAGGCACTAAAACAAAAGAAAAAATAAGAAGATGATAAAATGTATTGAAGAATTAATATTAACTTTTGATTTTTAAAATTAGATGTTTACTAAAATAAGAAGATGATATACCTCATCATTACAATATGTGATTTTTTATCCATAGCCGAAATACCTGAAATACCCGGTTAGATTCTGTTACGGTATTGTGCACTTTAATCATTGGGTAGGTTTTCTGATAGATTCTGTTACGGATTTTGGGTAGGACACGATCAGGTACCCGAAATAAAACTACATTGGTTTAATTTATTGACCTAACATACGGTCCATCCTCTTTCGGAGACGAATTGACTCACCTTTCTAACCCATCAACCTCTTTATCCTTATACGAGCCTTAAATACCAATTAGAAATCTGGAATCCCTACCTCGCGTCTTTGATTCCCTTCCCTCGCCACCTTCTATGTCGTCGAGAAATCGAATCTTCTATTACTTTACACTTTATTTATTTATATCTCTACTTTCTCTTTTGTTCTGTTTACTCTTTGAATTTGAACAGAACGATTTCTTTGTCATAGAAAATTAAAGAAAGGATCATTTGAAAAGAACAACAATCTCTTACTTTACTTTCTTAAAGCCCCCACATCGTAGAGCCCCATATAGGGCTCTTTAACTTGTTTTATTAATAAAATTACGATTTTCAAGAAAACAAAAATTAGTGTTGTTTTTTTTTTTCATTGCCACATCAGTATTGTTTTATTTTTATTGTTCTTTTTTACTGTTAGAACTCCATGCACTATGTGCAATGTGGATGATCTTATATCTCCTCTCATTATGTTGGTTTCTAATGATTGTCTGAAAATAACTAAAATCTCTTACTGTCATGTATTGGTAGCCCTTAGGATTGATTCTACATGATCTTAGTCCTTTGATACTAAAATATCTATGTAAATGACTAAATGGGTTAACGATTTTGAGTTATTCATTTATGCTATAGAAAATCTAAAAAGTGACGGTTTAAAGTTAGTGATTAGCTATAAGTAGATTTTTTTTTTGATTAGCTAATAAGTTTAGAGTTATGGTTGATGGCTTATTGACTGTTTTTATTTCTTAAACTTTTGATGCAGATGATTTTGGGGTTGACGACCTATTTCCCCACTAGAACTATGGTGTCGTATTAGATGTCTCCCAAAATATGCCCTCATCTCAGATTCCCACCAATTGAAAGTTAAATAGCCAGATCCCCACAAAATCAAAGTTAAATACTCATTTCTCCCTAAATTCAAAGTTCGAAACCAAAACCCCCACAAATTTCTGGTTTAGTTGGTTTACTAATTGTAAGACATGGTTTATTATTTTTTTGTATCACATTAACCGTAGTAAACCATTTAAACCCCGATTTAAGACCCAATTACAATATTAAACCAATAATCCAATCCCAAAAAAATCCCAAAATCAGAAAATTAATTCTTTTTAAAACCCTAGAAATTGAAAAAGAAGAATGAGAGAAAAGTCAGCTCAATATCCTTCCTCAAAGATTGAATTTTGGGTCTGCCATAGCTTTAATCTCTCGTGATGGTGGAGTGGAGGAGAAAGAGAGAGACATTGGAAGAAGTTTATTAAATATTCTCATTATTCTGTCAATATTTCACTAAACACTGAAAACACTTAATTCAAAAAAATGCAGAGAAGAATAAGAAGAAGAATGCGAGTAAAGCAAGTGGGAATGAAAAATTGTTTGATTTGCCTTAACCAGAGGTCGGTTCAGTATGTTATTCTATGGGTTTTCTTCTTCTCCGTTTGTAGTTAGTAATCATCTTCAGTGCATCTTCAATGCCTCTTTGTTTCTTTGTATCATATGAAGAAGAAACCACATATATCAAGAAAAATGAACAGTCTACCACATGAAGTAGATTGCAAATTCCAAACTAACAATCGATTGGAGATTAAAATATCTGGGTAGACTTTGGAAATTAAGAAGTGAATAGATAATCGATTTGGAAATTTTGGAGAAATTTGTTTTTAGGGTTCATGAGATTTTTAATTTGGGGGTTTTTGATCTGGGTATAAACGCGGATATGCAGATCCGGTTTTACTTGGATTCTGGTTTTTTGATTGCCTAGCTTTCGGTTTTCATGGTTTTGTACTCGGGTTAAGACATTTAACCATTGCAATTGAATTGAGGGGAAAATGGGTATTTAACTTTGATTTTGTGGGGATGTGGCTGTTTAACTTTCAAGTGGTGGGTATCTAAGTGGAAGGCATAGTTTGGGAGACATCTAATACGACACCATAGTTCTGGTGGGGAAATAAGTCGTCGACCCGGCTTCTTCTTACTCATAAAATAGATGGATGAAGATGAGGTTAATGGAAGAGAAGGCGAGGAAGAGCATGTTGAAAAACCAAAAACAAGTTCTGCAAAAAAAAAGGCAAGAGGAAATCAAAAGTAGATGCTAGGGGTTCTGGTACAAAGGCAAAGAAGAAGACATGAAGACAATGACGACTTGTGTAATTGTAACTACTGTAAAAAGAAAATGTGCTGTCCAACGTCTTCATGCACAACGAATATGAAGAAGCATCTACTCAGTTGCAAGTCATTCAAGGTCTATGAAGCGGCTAACAAGTTAAATAATCAGACTGTGTTGACTCCTACTGGTGAGGATGGAAACCTTAGTATGGGTAAGGTTTGTGAGTGTGTATTCAAAGAAGATACAAATGAGATGGTTGTTTTAGCTCAGCTACTATGAAAGCTTGGAGGCAATTCTGCTCAAAGGTAAAGTTGTACACGCCTAATTGTTGGAAAACCTGCTCAAAGGAGATTATGAAGATGTATGTTACTAGGAAAGCAGCAATGAAGAAAATTGTTGGAAAGAACAAGCAAAGGTTGTCGTTGACTAGTGATATATGGGTTGATCGACATACTACAGCTAGCTATGCGGTAATAACAGCTCACTTTGTGGATGCTAGTTTTCAGTTAAGAGGATGATCATTGGGTTCCAGAGTGTTACTGATCATAAAGGTGGAACAATTTCTCGAGTTCTTCTAGAGTGTTCACAAGAATGGGATATAAAGAGAATCTTCTGCATCAAGGTTGATAATGCTACTGCTAGTACATCGGCCAAAAAGTTCAAGGAAGCATTTAGGCGAGAAAATGGTGATGATACAATTGTGCTTAATGGAGATTTCTTACATCTAAGATGTGCTACACACATATTGAACCTAATCGTGAAAGAGAGATTATTTGAAGTAGATGACAATATTGATTTGATTCCTAATGGTATACAGTATGTGAGGTCTTCACACCAAGGCTTAAGTCTTTTGAATTTCATGTGGACTCAGGGAATATAACAAGCGGAAGCCTGCCTCTGGATATGAAGACCAGGTGGAACTCGACATATGTGATGCTAGAACAAGCTCTGAATTCAGAGCGGCATTTGATAAGATGAATGTAACATCCGTACACCAATCTCTGTCTTTCCGGAGGGTGTGTCGAGCGACACACAGGAAGTGTGTCGGTCGACACAACAATCAGAAATCGAATCCCGGTTTGATTTGAGTGATTTGGTTTCCGGTTTAGCTTGGTTTGGGTTGGAAACCCTGGTTCTCAAAGTTAAAACACGCAGCCGCTTTTCTTCCTCCGCTTTATGTTGTTTAGTGAACGAAAGTTGAAGGGTGAAGAGATTCTTGAGGCAATTTCGGCGTTGGTGATCGAATTGGAGGTCGTGCGTCGTCGATTAGAGGTTTGGGTGCGTGTGGCGGCTGCTGTGTGGTGGTTTTGGTAGTGTTCTTTGTGTGTTCTTCACCCTTTTCGGTTTTCCCCCTTTTCAACCCGAATATCCGAGGTGAGTATATGACTGTCGGTCCGTGATTACTAGAAATCGTGTTATGTGTGTGATTGTGTGTGTGATTGGTGGTCTGGTTGATGTTTGTGTTCATCATTTTGAGTTTGGTGATTTCATCCTTGTGTTTCGGGTGCTATTCATAGACCGAACTCTGCGATCCAGGAAACGGTGTCGAGCGACACAAGTTTGTGTCGGTCGACATCAGAAGGTGTGTGTCGACCGTCATAAAGTGTGTGTCGATCGACAAAGACCAGTTATAACCCGTTTAATCTAATTTAATTGGTTTAATTGAATTGAAATGGTTTAATTGAATTTGGTTGGTTAAGTTCGGTTTTTAATTAATTAATGTTAATTTAATTAATTAATTGGTTTAAAATAATTAAATTAATTATTTGAATTATGGAAAATTATTATTTAGTTATGAGAATTATTTAATAATTGAGAAATGTAGTTTTAATAGTTATTGATGTTACCTGATATTTATTTATTTAAATTATTTTGAAGACTTTCCACTACAATTTTGTAGGATTTATTAAATAATAAAAAAAAGGTTGGATGTTTCATTTTGGTATCAGAGCCTAGATGGTTATAGGACTGTTAGGTTGATGGTTTAGTATCATCCCCTTCGGCTACAGGATATTCCGTGGTGAGTTTATGTTTGTGTTTGAGTTTTGTTGTGTGGTCTAGTGTGTTCATTTCGGTTCCATGTAGTGAGATGGACGGGGCTCCTAGAGGTTGTGGCGCGAGAGGGTGCGGTGCTTGAGGTCGTGGTGGCAGAGCTAGAGGCCGTGGAGGCCGGGGCGAGAAAGTTTGACGCGGAGTGTGGCGACAGCGTCGGTGACCCAGTCAGTGTCCGTGTCGAGTGAGGTCACAGTGGATGCTAGTGTTGGTTTGGGAGCGGGTGCTGCTCCAGGTGGGGGTTGTGCTCCGGCTCCGAGTCGTGATGACTAAGTGGTAGGTTTGCTGACACAGCTATTGACTCGATTTCCGCCAGTGCTTCCACAGGGGGCTCCGCGAGTACCTCCAGTGGCAGAGGGCTGCGGAGTTTGTTCAGCCGCAGGCTGCGGGTTTGGTTGTGCCTTCCTATTTGGATATGATGGAGTACAAGCAGAAGATTGGTACGCCGTGGCAGATGAGTGGTGTCAGAAATTGGAGCGGAATTTCCAGTCTATCCGATGTCCATTGGAGTATCAGGTCGAGTTAGCGGTCCACTATCTGAGTGGCGATGCACATTTGTGACGGCAGGCCACTGTAGGCCGGAGGGCAGTGTGGACTTGGGGCGAGTTCCTTACGGAATTCAACACCAAGTATTTTCCTCGTGAGGCGCGGGATCGTCTTCAGTTCCGATTCATGTCGCTAGTGCATGGTGATCGTACAGTGCGCGAGTATGACGCCGATTTTAGCAGACTGTTAGTGCATGCCGGCCGTGACATGGAGGATGAGCATCAGCTGATGCAGAGGTTCCTTGAGGGGCTTCAAATGAGTTTCAGGACACTATGCATAGGACGCATGTATACGACAAGGGCGGGCCTAGTTGAGTTGGCGTCTTCGATCGAGGGTGATTAGCGTGAACAGGCTGGTCAGATAGCTGTTACGTCTGCAGTTACTCCTGCTATCCAGCCTCGGAGTCAGCAGCAGCAGGAATAGGTGGTTGGAGTTTCAGTTCAGGTTCTGGCAGGGGCAGTATGCCTGCGCAGGGCCAAAAGAGGAGCAGAGAGGAGACTTCTGGATTTAGTCAGTTTCCTCATGGTTTGTGTTATGGGTGTGGGAGTCATCATGGGGGATATCGAGGTTCTCCATGATTTTTAGGATGTGTTTCAGTCACTGAAGGGATTACCACCATCTCGGTCTGATCCTTTCACGATTGAGTTAGAGCCGGGGACAGCACCGATATCGAAGACGCCTTACAGGATGGCGCCAGCTGAGTTGGCAGAGCTGAAGAAGCAGATAGAGGACCTTTTGTCTAAGGGGTTCATTCGACCGAGTGTTTCACCGTGGGGAGCACCGGTGTTGTTTGTGAAGAAGAAGGATGGCAGTTTCAGACTTTGTATCGATTACAGAGGTCTTAACCGAGTCACTGTGAAGAACAGGTACCCACTCCCGAGGATTGATGAGTTGTTGGATCAGTTGAGGGGTGCTACTTGGTTCTCCAAGATTGACTTGGCATCGGGGTATCATCAGATCCCGATAGATGAGGCAGATGTCAGGAAGACTGCTTTCAGGACGCGTTATGGGCATTTTGAGTTTGTGGTTATGCCTTTCGGTTTGACTAACGCGCCGGCAGCCTTCATGAGATTGATGAACGACGTGTTCAGGGAGTATTTGGACGTGTTCGTCATCATTTTCATTGATGACATTCTGGTATACTCGAGGAGTCAGGAGGAGCATGCGACTCACTTGAGGTTGGTTCTGGAGAAGCTTCGGGAGCAGAAGCTTTTTGCTAAGTTGAGCAAGTGCAGTTTCTGGCAGCGAGAGATGGGATTTCTTGGCCACATTGTTTCTGCAGAGGGAGTTTCTGTGGATCCGGCTAAGATTGAGGCTATCAGAGATTGGCCTAGACCTAGTAGTGCCACCGAGATCAGGAGTTTTCTGGGTTTGGCAGGATACTACAGGAGGTTCGTCAAGGGGTTTGCTACCATGGCGCAGCCGATGACGAAGTTGACCGGGAAGGATGTCCCGTTTGTTTGGTCAGCTGAGTGTGAGGAGAGCTTTAGTCAGCTCAAGGAGATGTTGACTACTACACCAGTGTTGGCGTTACCCGAGCCAGGGAAGCCTTACATGGTGTATACAGATGCTTCAGGCATTGGTCTTGGTTGTGTGCTGATGCAGGAGGGCAGAGTGATAGCATATGCTTCGAGACAGTGGCAGGGCAGTGAGCGTAACCGTCCTACACATGACTTAGAGTTGGGAGCAGTGATCTTCGCGTTGAAGATTTGGAGGTCTTACTTGCTAGGTGAGACAGTACAGGTCTTCACGGATCACAAGAGTTTGCAGCATATCTTCACTCAGCCGATGATGAACGCGAGACAGACGCGCTGGGTTGAGTTCTTGGCGGACTATCAGGTGAGCATTAACTACCATCCGGGCAAGGCTAACCTAGTGGCGGACGCGTTGAGTAGACGGAGGTATGATTCCGCAGTTGAGCGAGATGTGGAGTCTCTAGTTGGCGAGATCAGTACCTTGCGTTTGTGTGCCATTTCGCATGAGCCTTTGGGTTTAGAGGCAGTGGATCAGGCGGATCTACTTAGCAGGATCAGAGTTGCTCAGCAGAGTGATCAGAGTTTTAGATGCGATGCGCGAGAGTGACTGGTTCTGAGTATGAGGTCTCTGCGAATGGGACTATCTTGGTTCGTGGGCGAGTTTGTGTGCCTAAGGATGTGGAGTTGAGACATCAGATTTTGGGAGAGGCTCACGCGAGCAAGTTTTCCATTCATCCAGGAGCGACCAAGATGTACCATGACCTCAAGAGGTACTATCATTGGGTCGGGATGAAGAGGGATGTAGCAGATTGGGTTGCGAAGTGCAACACTTGTGCCTTGGTGAAGGCAGAGCATCAGGTTCCGGGTGGTCTTTTGCAGAGTTTACCCATTCCAGAGTGGAAGTGGGACAGGATTACGATGGATTTCGTGGTTGGACTACCTGTTTCGAGGACTTTCGATGCTATCTGGGTGATTGTGGATCGGTTGACTAAGTCCGCACATTTCTTGGCCATCAAGAAGACAGATGGAGCTGCTGTCTTGGCTAGGAAGTTTGTGCGAGAGATTGTGAGGCTGCATGGAGTGCCAGCTAGTATTGTGTCAGACCGTGATCCCAGATTCACTTCAGAGTTTTGGAGGGCGTTTCAGGCAGAGATGGGCACTAAGGTGCATCTGAGTACAGCTTATCATCCGCAGACAGATGGTCAGTCAGAGAGGACTATTCAGACTTTGGAGGATTTGCTGAGGATGTGTGTGTTGGATTGGGGTGGCCATTGGGCAGATCACCTGAGCTTAGTTGAGTTTGCATACAACAACAGCTTTCAGGCGAGTATTGGCATGGCTCCATTTGAGGCTTTGTATGGGAGGCCATGTAGGACACCCCTATGCTGGACCCAAGTGGGGGAGCGCAGCATGTATGGAGCTACTTATGTTCAGGAGACGACAGAGAAGGTTCGTGTTGTGAGGCTGAACATGAAGGAGGCTCAGGATAGGCAGAAGAGTTATGCAGATAGACGCAGACGAGAGCTTGAGTTTCAGGTTGGAGATAGAGTTTATCTCAAGATGGCTATGTTGAGGAGTGAGCTTATTTCATCTTTGTAGCCTCAGTTATTGTTTTTGGGTTTGGTGTTATTGTATTTTTGTTTTGGTTGTAATGATATACATTGTCTTATTGAGATGACAGTTTTTCCTCATTTTGTCTTATGTTGTTGGAAATTGTTTCGGATGTTACTAGTGTTTGACCGGTTTTGGTTGTCAGACAGTCTAATCTATTGTCATAGACGTTTTCCAGAATTTTTACTCTAAGGGCTGCGGTCCTGAATAACTCATCATGGTTTTTGGAGACATTTGGTTCTCTGGCAGACTCTCTGGGTGCAAGTAGGCCTCAGTTAGAGTAGCTTATCTGAGTGCAAGTAGGCCTTAATATAAGCGGTTTCGGGTTCGTCTGTGTGAAAGTGGGCCTCAGTGTGGACCAGTGTGGACTTGTCTGGGTGCAAGTGGTTTTGTGTGGTTTTGGATGATGAGTTAGGAGTGAAAATGTCCTGGAACGTGCTTATAACTTAGGATTTGACATGTGTCTCGGGGATCAGATGAGGATCTCCAGAGTTGTGGCTTTCCGAGGTCGGGTTTTTGTGGTCTTTGAGAGACGTTTGTGTTGGGATTCGAGGTCGAATCCAGTTTAGTGGGGGAGAGTTGTAACATCCGTAGACCAATCTCTGTCTTTCTGGAGGTTGTGTCGAGCGACACACAGGAAGTGTGTCGGTCGACCCAACAATCACAAATCAAACCCCGTTTTGATTTGAGTGATTTGGTTTCCGGTTTAGCTTGGTTTGGGTTGGAACCCTGGTTCTCAGAGTTAAAACGCGCAGCCGCTTTTCTTCCTCCGCTTTTTGTCGTTTAGTGAACGAAAGTTGATGGGAGAACAGATTATTGAGGCGATTTCAGTGTTGGTGATCGAATTGGAGGCCGTTCGTCGTCAATTGGAGGTTTGGGTGTGTGTGGTGGCTGCTGCGTGTTGGTTTTGGTCGTGTTCTTCGCGTGTTCTTCACCTCTTTCGGTTTTCCACCTTTTCAATCCGAAAATCCGAGGTGAGTGCATGATTGTGGGTCCGTGATTGTGTGTGTGATTGGTGGTTTGGTTGATGTTTGTGTTCATCGTTTTGATTTTTTGGTGATTTCATCGTTTCGGGTGCTGTTCATAGATCGAACTCTGCGATCCAGGAAATGGTGTCGAGCGACACAAGTTTGTGTTGGTCGACACCATAAGGTGTGTGTCGACCGACACAAAGTGTGTGTCGATCAACACAGACCGGTTATTTCCGGTTTAATCTAATTTAACTGGTTTACTTGAATTGAAATAGTTTAATTGAATTGAAATGGTTTAATCGAATTTGGTTGGTTTTGTTCGGTTTTTAATTAATTAATGGTTAATTTAATTAATTAATTGATTTAAAAGAATTATATTAATCAATTTAATTATTAAATTGATTTAAACTAATTATATTAATTATTTTAGGGTTTTATCAATAGATAACCATAAAAAAAGAATCAATTAACAAACTGACCATATGAACTGATGGGATACGATATACTCTATACATTATACAATATTGACTAAAATGCCCCCATTGTATACTAGCTGAGTTTTCCAGCTTGTGGCTACAACATGGCTAACACGGCTTACTCTAAGCCGGCTGACAGTATTATATTTCAAAAGAAAAATAGAAATAGGATAAGTTCTATCGAGATTTGTCTATCGTCACTTTCTGGACCACCGATTTATGGAGCTCATCTGTTTCACAGAGTAATAATGTTCTGAAAAGTAGAACCAATCTGTTATTCGATCAAATCCTTAAGGGATTTTGCTTTTTTTTTTATTCTGATTCACAAATCTTCATCGGATAACTGATAGTGAGATTATACAAGGTTTGTTTCTCTAATATGTCATAACTCGAATTTATTGTCTCTTTCCTGTTGTTATTGAATATTGTTTGAATTGATGGTTGATTGTGGTTTACTTGTATGATTAGTGATGCGATCATACATCATAGTTTATTTCATATATAGTTCTGCAAATTAACAACTATGTTAATTTGATTTTTATTTCTTACAAATTGTAGAATGGAGGAGATGGGATTGCCTGAAAGATTGTTCGAGTCTAGATTTGAACCTACGGGTAGGAAAAGAGTTCACAATTATTTTACTCTTAGATGGTTTGAGCTTATTAAACCTGCACTTGATCCAGAGTACATCGGAATGTTGGGTCAATCACAGTTCAAGAGTTTGATGAAAATGGGAGACCATACTTTTTCTGTGATGTTTGTCCATTATCTCCTTTCAAGACAGTTGTCGACAAAAAAAAGTATGAACTGTGGTGGTTGTTTTCTGGTAAACCAGTTTGTTACAGTATAGATGAGTTTGCCATTGTAACTGGGTTGAATTGTGAGGAACCAGATGTTGCTATCTGTAAGATAGCGAAGAAAAGCAAAGCGATTAAAGGAAGAAAAAAGAAAATTAACGTTGGGAAAGAAAGAGGTCGTATGTGGGTTGAATTATTTGGAGATTCTGTTGATCCCACTGTTTCCTGGAGATTCTGCTAGTTTTGAAGTTTATGTAGATAAGGTTTTGCTGAAACTTAAAAGCGAGATAGAAGAGTTATTGAGAAAAAGGAATAAGAAGTATCAGTCATGCTCACCAGCAACATTATGTCGTTGGATTTTCAAGTGGTGGATGCAGTGGGAATTATTCCAATGGTACTAAAGATATATTTTCCCTTAAAAAAAAAAAGAAAATTGGGTGCATTTGCTTTTTTTAACGACCTTACTATGTTAACATATTTGAAATTCTTTGCTGATGTGTTTGTTATGTAGGTGCTGAAGATGTTTCTAAGCAAGAACTAGTTCTGACAACAGCGGTTGAGAAATCTGTGAAACCGGATAAAAGAAGAAGATCACGTTCAAAGGTAAATTTGTTCAATATAGTCGTCCGATAAAATATTTTTGATCCTACTCCTTTAGATAGATATGAATTAATTGTTAAATATAATTGTTGGTGCTTAGCTAGTTGTTCCATCTGAAGCAAGTGAAACACGGCTTGTATGTGGAAGTTTGAATGGAAAAGACCTCTTTGATGGAGAGATATCAGATGACAATGAGAAAAGGAACAAAAAAAGGAAGAGCTTCTTTCACTTCTAGTACAAGATTTGTGGTCAAATACAAAAGTAGTCTTCATTGTAAAATGTGTTTTTTTCTTCCTCCTCTATCTTCATCATAATCAAATAATAACGGAAATGTCGTTACTTTTCCACACGAAGTCTAACTGTAAAGTCTAATTTAAAAAAAAATTATCCAAAGTAACCTCATCTTCTTCATGTATTCACGAAAATTCCATCACCATCAATTCGTCCAGCAACCATTCTCAACCGAAATTAAGCTTTGAATGCAAGATTTATTCTTGAAACATATCTACCAACTCATTCTATCATCTCATAAACTTAGTTCATCATCTTTCTTCTCCATTTTCACCCAAAGAACTTAGTTTTTCATCTTTTCAAAATTAAGGTTCTTAGATCTTGCCATTTTCGGTGTCCGAGCTCATTTTAACCGTTGGGGAAGTTTGCTGAAGCTCTAAAACAAAGTTCTAGGCCGTCATAGAAACTTAAGATCACGGCAAGATAAAATTCTGATAGATCTGAGTGAATTTCATATTTTTTCAGGTCCTTAGACTTTATAGCGAAGTCTAACAAACTAGTTTTGCAACTGAGTTTTCAAAACTTTTAGAGAGTAGACTTTACAATGAGTCTACTACAAATTCGTTTGATAACAAAAAAAGACGAGTTAAACTTCCTGAACTTTATTATGAAGTCTAACTCGAAATAGACTACTTTTGTATTTGCTCGCGTAAAATCTTTTTACGAGAAGTCTAACCATGAAGTTTGCTTAAAATAAAAGACTAGTTTTGCAATTGACCACACAAGACTTTTCTGTAAAGTCTATTAATGAAGTCTATTTAGCCTGTATTAGACCTCACAATGAAGTCTACTCATGAGTAGACTTTATTGCGAAGTCTAATATATGATAGACTTCTTCATGAAGTCTAATAGTCAACGTTTTTTTAGATAGACTTCCTCGAGAAGTCTACATACCGAAGTTTAAAATTTGGACTATTGCAAAACTAACCCATATGAAGTCTAACTCTTTCCGTAGACTTTACCGATAGACTTCATTATTAAGTTAGACTTCAAATTGAAGTCTAAGTACATTGATGAAGTCTATTCCGAGAAGTCAACGTTAGGTCAATTGCAAAACTAGTCATTTTTGAAAAGGTAGACTTTACGGATAGACTTACCCAAAAACAATTTGTTTCGTTAATTGCAGAACTAGTGTATTAGACTTTACAGCGAAGTCTAATAGTTAGAGTTCACCGTGAAGTCTAATATTAAACGTTTTTTTTTTAAAACGAATTATAACAAAATGTACATCGAAATTTATAATTTTGTTTAAACAGTTAGTTGTATTAGTCTATTTAGTTGCTTTTGTGTGGGTTTTATATGCTTATTCGTTATATACTATGTTAAAACGGTTTTCTTTTTTAATTAGCAATTTAGACATTAGTAAGTAGACTTCATGAAGAAGTCTATCCCGGAAGTTTACGGATAAAGTCTGTGTTTTCTTTGCATTTCTAATGTTGTTTTCCGGTTGTTAACTTGCAGAAAATGGTCAACATCGCTTCTGTTTATGGATAATGGGTGAGAAAGGACAATATGGCGTCGGTTTTTTAGGTTGACTATCGCAAAGGAGGGAGAATGTTTTGTTTGAGGGATGGATGTACACATGATGAGCTTGTTCAAATGGCCTTAGATGATTATTAGGTGAACAAGCACGGACTGGAGCTATCATATTCATTACCAGAACTATTCGTGTAGCCAACTCCTTCAATTGATTCTCCGCCTGTGTATGTCACAAACGACAGACAAGTCCACAGCTTGATCGAGCTAAGTCGAACACATGTTGTACGAATTTGTGTCTCTAGCCAAGGGAATGCTGATGTGGAAGATAATGTACATGGACGTAAGAGTGAAAACCATGATGATGAGTTCTCTGATGATTGTGATGAAGACTGGGCCGCGGACCCAGATGAAGTGTCGGAAGGAGGAGAAGATGCAGCTTGTGATGAGGGTGATGACAAGAAAGATCCTCATCAAATCGATGATGATACCCACGCGGACTACAGTCAGTATGGGAAAGTGGAAGATGAAGACGAGCGTGAGACAAAGATTCCTTTCGATGATCCCCCTCTTAGAGGGTGTGGTCAACGCAAACGAATGGATAATTGGGAAGACAATCTTTACGAGCACCAGAGTTTTGATAGCAAGGAAGAACTAATGTCGGAGTTGCGTTTGACAGCGGTGATGACAAGATTTACATTCAAAGTAGCTACGTCTACAACAAAACTGTTTGTGGCCAAATGCAAAGTGGCTGGATGTGCATGGATGGTTAGAGCGGCTGTCAAGAAGCCACCACGTTTTGGGTGACAAAGTACTCGAAGTGGCATACATGTTCTGTGTCTGACCGAGGAAGCAAGCATACATGTTCCAGCGCGAAGTATATTGGGAAGCTATTTATCGAGCGGGTTGGAATCATCGATGGTATTGTGCCGCAACACATCAGAGATTCAATGAGATGCTTATTTGGAATGAATCTCGACTATACAGCTTCTTATAGAGCTCTTAAACACGCACAAAAGTTGGTTTGGTAACAGCAAAAGAAGGTTAGGCTAATCTGCCTGCTTACTTGGAAAGAATTAAGGAAGCGAACCCTGGAAGTGTTACTGATCTTGTGCGTGACCCAGACGACCGTTTCAAATACTGTTTCTTATCATTTGGAGCTTCAATAGCTGGTTTTCAGTACTTGAGAAGAGTCATTGTGGTGGATGGGACTCATTTAACAGGGACATATGGGGGAGTTCTACTTGTCGCCGCCGGACAGGACGGGAACTTTCAAATATTCCCCTTAGCTTTTGCAATTGTCGACGCTGAGGACAGCGAATCATGGGAGTGGTTTTTCAACAAGCTCCGAGATTGCTTTATGCAGCATCCACCAATGGTCATAGTGTCTGACCGAGCCAAGGCCATTGCTAGAGCATGTGAGATCGTGTTTCCTTGGGCACTAAGAGGAATATGTTACTATCATCTCCTAGGTAACATAATCAAGGATTTCCATGCAAAAGAGATCATGTATATGGTTAAGGGTGCAGCTTACGCTCATACAGTTCCTGAGTATAACCGCTACATGGACCTCATTCGAGCTGCAAAACCTGAGTTGGCAACTTACCTAGAGGAAGCAGATCCGAAATTGTGGTCAAGAGTTCATTTTCCCGGTGATAGATACAACATAAAGACGAGTAACATCGCCGAATCAATTAACTCGGCTGTTAAGAAGGCAAAAGGATATCCCATTCCAAAGCTTTTGGAATTTATAAGGGAGAAGCTTGGGATATGGTTTACCAAGAGGGGCGAGGATGCTATGAGTCTCACAACTACCCACAGCAGACGAGTTGAGTACATTTTAGCTGTGCGTTCACACTATGCGGCAAGTATGACCGCTGAACGCATAGACACTTGGTGTTATCACGTAAAGGGAGGAAAACGTGATTGCAATGTCGACTTGTTCCGCAGAACATGCTCTTGTGGGGTGTATGATGTTGAGAAAATTCCTTGTACTCATGTCATTGCAGCCGCAGCCGCAGCAAACGTACTAATGTCCCATTACGTGTGCGATTGTCATTCTAAACTTTGCTTGTATTCAACCTATGCACATCCGATCTATCCTAAGGCGGGATCTGACTCACACGTAAAGAAACAACCGTGTTTGATTCCAGTTGAAAAGGTCCCTCCTGGCAGGAAGAAGAAGTCGAGGTGGCTAACTTGGCTAGAAATGTCGAGGAAGAAAAACAATAAACCGAGGAAGATGCACAAGAAGTACAGCTGCTCTAAGTGTGGGGAAGCAGGACATACTCGCCCAAAATGCGTAAGCTCATCACCTATATCCTTCTTTTGTATCCATCTTGAAAGTCTTTAACAAGTATCATGGGAATGGTCGAACAGGTCGCAGAAGACTGATGTGAAGTTGGATGAAGTCTACCTGGGCAGTCTACATATGAAGCCTAATTCCGCTTCTCTTTATGTTTTTAATACTCCTGAACTCTATCTATGAAGTTTTAAGATGAAGTCTACCTTCTGTTCTTTAGTTTGGCCGTTTTAGGGTGGTGAAATGGAGGAAAACTCTGGTTTTTTGTTGTTTTTAAAATATTAAAGTCTACTCCTGAAGTCTATCTATGAAGTTTTAAGATGAAGTCTATCATCTGTTCTTTAGTTTGGCCGTTTTAGGGTGTTGAAATGGAGGAAAACTCTGGTTTTTTGTTGTTTTTAAAATATTAAAGTCTACTCCTGAAGTCTGTTCTTGAAGTCCACGAATGAAGTCTACCATATGTTCTTTAGTTTGGCTGTTTTAGGGTGGTGAAATGGAGGAAAACTCTGGTTTTTTGTTGTTTTTAAAATATTAAAGTCTACTCCTGAAGTCTGTTCTTGAAGTCCACGAATGAAGTCTATCATACACGTACCAAAAGCATAGTTTTTAGGGTACATTATCAAACCTGTAATGTTAGGTGATAGATTACAAAAGAATAGTTTTTAGCCTTAACCTATCATCAGGTACAAAAGGGAATATTTTTGGGTTTACAAAGACTCAGTCTAACAAATCAAGTCCTTCCCAGTCTCTTGGGTCCTCTCTCGGTCCGCGATTTCATGGAACAAATCAGACGCAATCTTCTCCCGTGCTCTTGTGGCGTTGGCCTGCCAGAATGTCTCTGGAAATGTGGTATATCCAAGTGCTAGGCACTCCATGTACTTCAGGACAAACAAACCACAATCTCCACCATTGTTTTGGTGTGGCACACCCTTTGTCGGAAACTATACAGTGTACTTATCTAAAGGGAAGTTGGGTTTATCATCTGCCTTAGCAGCTTGTTTCATCAGGTTCGGCATCATCGCAGCATAAGGTTCGACAACCGACTCCATTATCTTATCTTCGATCGAGCCCGGTAAACTGTCGTAGACGACAATGTGCCGTTTCGGGATGGAGACATGCAGGGCGACCCAATGTTTCTGCTTGATGCTAAGAGGGATGTATAAATCATCAATATCATAGGCCCATCTCTTCCCGGTGGGGTTGTTGATGTACTTGCATTTTACATAGTTTTAGCACATCTTTTATGCATCTTTTGCATAGTTTTAGCTTCCATTTGCATCATATCTTGTTCCTTTTCTCTTCTTATGCATTCATGTTAGTTTTAGGTTGCATTTGCATACATATGCATGTTTGGTCCTTTGAAATAGGTCTTTTGGAGCATTCTGGAGCATATGGGACACAAGGAGCATGGAGGGACTTGGCACATGGAAGCAGCTCAACTGGATACGCAAAGGAAGAAGGGAGAAGCCATCTTGAAGACCAGCTCGACCGTCCACTCGACCAACCGGTCGAGTTCCTCAACTCGACCGGCCAAGCTTCAACTCGATCGAGCTGGGGAGTCAAAGTCAAACCCGAAAAATGTTGCTTCCCCCTTGACTTCCCTTTGACCCTAAACCTAATCCTCTTTGTATTTAAAGGCTCTAAGCCACGAAAAAACCACCAAGCTTTAGATTACTTTTGTTTTAGTTTCTTTTAATTTATTGTACTTTTACTTTTTAGAGATCTAATCCCATCTTTGTGTTCTTGAAGCTCTTGCTTCTTGAATCTTAGATCCTGGATAATCTCTCTTGTATTTGCACTTGCTTATTTCAATAAAAGTTGTTTAATTTCATCTCCTCTTTCTTATGATGTCTCTTTTATTGCATTTGCTTGTGTTTACATTCATGTGTAGTGAGTAGTTACCCATTAGGGTTTGAGATGGGATAGATTAGAGGTTTCATATGCTTAATCCTTCTAGCTTATGGTCTTAATCTAGATTCTCTCTCTTTTGGATAGATCTTAAGGCTACATGACCACTACCCCTGGCTTGTAAGTCCTTAGGCGACTCCCCACACGAAAGTGATGGCATTCGCTGGAAAAGATCCACTAAGAGCTCCAATATCTCTTGCTCTAGACAATAGAGGTCTAAGGGGTTGGATGGATTAGTTTGGGCAATGGCCTCCAAGGTTTGATTCTCACTGGCTAACCCCCTGTTTCTGAGATCATTCCTTGGTTGATAGCCTCCACCTTGGGAAAGGGTTGGCTAGGCATTGAGAAGCCCAATATCAAGAGAAGCCTTGATACAAGGAGTTTTAAGAGCTAGATTGATTAAGTGTAGATTCCTTTGATTGCAAAACCCTGTCTTGAACCCTAATTCTCTCTTTATCTTGTTAAAGTCGTCACCTTTAGCTTTGTTTGTCTCAACTCGTCCCTAAACTCGATCGAGCTGGTACTTTGCTCTAGCTCGACTCGAGCTCTTGGTCGAGCTGACACTTCACTGCTTTGTTTACTTTTATTGCACTGCTTTTCATTTTTTTAGGTTGTTAGTGTTACTTCAAATCTATAACTGCTTGCTTGACTTTCTGGTTGTTTCATATTCTCAAAGAGTGACAAGTTTCCCATTTTGGATTGATAACCTCTTATACTTCAATGACTATGATGGTTAAGAGGAATTGATTGATTGTGATTGCACCATACCATATCATCTTTATTCACCCCTGTTTGCATTCCACCTCATTTCATATCACACACACACACAAAATCCTATCATCAATTTGGCGCCGTTGCCGATTTGGGAATATTTTTGTTGCATTTGAGTTTCAAACACACTTGGACGATCAAGCTATACCACCCCTGTTCTATTGTACTGCTGGGTTTTTGTCTCTTTTTGCAGGTGTATGCGAACTCGATCGAGTCGGTCTACTGAAGACTTGGTCGAGCTAGACATTACAACGGGTAGAAAGAGGGTTCAGAGGTCACAGAGGGTACAAGAGGAACCTGAGGTGCTTGTTGCTGATACAATGGATGTACCAGAGGGGAATGGAAACCCTTTGGGCAATGGACTCGGTCGAGCTAGGCAAACTCGACCGATTGGTCAAGGAGATGCTCCAAACCGCCACCAACAGAGACAAGGGATTGTTCCACCACCAGTGCAGAACCACAACTTTGAGATCAAGCTGGGAATGATCAACCTTGTCCAGAACAAGATGTTCCATGGATTGCCAAGTGAAGACCCCATTGACCACCTTGATGAGTTTGATAGGCTTTGTGATTTGACAAAGATCAATGGTGTCTCTGAAGATGCCATCAAGCTGAGACTCTTTCCTATGTCTCTAGCTGACAAAGCTCACCAATGGGAGAAGAGCTTGCCCCATGGCACAATCACCACTTGGGATGAATGCAAGAAGGCCTTTCTTGCTAAGTTTTTCTCCACCGGTCGCACAGCCAAGCTTAGAGGAGAGATATCCAGCTTCATCCAGCGAAACAATGAGACATTCGCAGAGGCTTGGGAGAGGTTCAAAGGCTACACAAGTCAGTGCCCACACCATGGATTCAACAATGAATCCTACTCTCCACTCTTTATAGAGGATGCTTGCCTAGGTATAGGGAGATGCTAGACACAGCTAGCAATGGGAACTTCCTCAACCAGGATGTAGATGATGGCTGGCAACTTGTGGAGAACATGGCCATATCAAAGAAGCTATGGAGAGAGTATGAGTACAGACTGGAGCTCGACCGCGCACTCGATCGAGCTGGACGCTCAGATGAGAAAGACATGCTTGCACTCAACTCGAAGTTGGACAAACTGATCCTAGCCAATTCCCTGCCAAGCATGTCAACTATGTCTCAGAACAAACCTAGTCAAGGACCAGGAAGGGGAGGAACAACACAAGAAGTTTGCTACATTCAAAATAGACAAGGAAGCTATAGGAATCCTCAACAAGGGCGATACAACAATTATCAAGCCCCCTGGCCGCACTACAACAAAGCGTTCCACAAGGCTTCAACACAAGGACTACTCATACCCAACCAACTCATGATTGGGATATGAAGGAAATGCTCCAACAACTTTTACAAGGGCAAGCCAAAGGTTCTCTGGAAATGAACAACAAGCTGGTTGAGATACACTCTAAACTAGAGTCATTGACTTCAAGAGTACAAATCATTGAGTCTTTCAAGTGCATCATCCTCTTCACCACAAGAATATGCCCAAGCAGTTACACTAAGAAGTGGAAAGCAATTCCCGAGTAGAGGTAGCCCACCCCAAATCGCTGTGGACATCGATGACGAGGAAGGGGAGGATTTAGTCGACTATGCTGATAACTCGACTCCGAACTCGATCGAGCTGGAACAAAACCCTGAACCAGAACTCGATCGAGCTGAAGAAACTGAGACACTGCAAGACAAACCAGAGCTCGATCGAGCCCAGAAGAGAGCAGACAAAGCAAACTCCAGCCAACCAGCTAAACCTGTTGCAAAGAAGAAAGACACTCCAGCAGGACCACCACCATACAAGCCCCCTCTGCCCTTTCCAGGAAGGTTCAAGAAACAACTGTTGGAAGCACACAAGGCCAAGTTTGATGAACTAATGAGACAGCTTGAGTTGAAGTTGCCCTTCATCGATGCCTTGATGCTCATTCCGCCTTATCAGAAATTTCTGAAGGATGCTGTTCAGCAAAGAACCAGGGAAGCACAAGGGATGGTAGTGTTGACCCGCGAGTGCAGTGCAATCATTCAGCGGAAGGCATCTCCGACAAAAAGGAAGATCCGGGGAGTTTCACTTTGCCCTGCATGTTAGGACCCCTATCTTTCAAAAACAGTCTCTGCGATCTAGGATCATCTGTCAGCCTCATGCCTTTGTCTGTAGCGAAGAGACTGGGATATCACAAGTACCAAGCCTGCGGAATCTCACTAGTCTTGGCAGATAGATCGATAAGGTTACCAACTGGGATGCTTGAAGACCTGCCTTTGAGGATAGGGAATGTGGAGATCCCCACAGACTTCATTGTACTTGAGATGGATGAGGAACCAACAGATCCATTGATTCTAGGAAGGCCATTCCTAGCTACAGCAAGAGCAATGATAGATGTCTGTGAAGGAACAATTGAGTTAAACTTGGGAAAGGACCTGAAGATGAAGTTTGATATAAAAGATACAATGAGGAAACCAACTATAGAAGGTCAGCTCTTTTATGTTGAGGAAATGGATCAGTTGGCAGATGAGCTTCTAGAAGAGTTATCAACAGAGGATCCACTACAAGTTGCTTTGACCAAGGACTCTTCAGAGGGATATGTGAGCTAAAAAACTGATGAGTACAAGAAGCTCCTTGACACCTTCAGACCAGTTCCAAACATTCTGAGCCTTGAGAGATTGGACAGGCCAGTTTGCGAAGTCATGGCAGTGAGCTCGATCAAGAACTCGATCGAGTCGAGTTTCGAACAGACGAACTCGATCGAGCTGGGGGCCGAGAGCAAGGAGCAAGCTCAAGGAGATTGGTCTGAACTTAAGGCGCCTAAAGTCGACCTCAAACCTTTGCCTGAGGGCCTCAGGTATGCATTTCTGGGTGAAAACTCAACTTACCCTGTCATTGTGAACTCTGATTTGGAACCTGAAGGCTCGCGAAGTAGACAGCAAGCAACTTTTATCCGTAGAGTAACTTTTATCCGTTTCCCGTCGATGTGAGCTCTTGGGGAAGATCAGCCTGTTAGAAAGAAATTCTATTTTCTCTCCTATTTACTACGGCGACGAAGAATAAAAGTCTCTTATGAATAGAACGATATGAAGAACTTTTTTTAGTAAAATCTCGTATACTAACAGTTGAGTGCCTTGCTTGTTGAATTGAGAAAGTACAGAAAGGCAATAGGTTACACTCTAGATGATATCAAGAGGATCTCCCCTGACCTATGCATCCATAGGATTCATCTAGAGGATGAAAGTAAGTCAAGCATTGAACCTCAAAGAAGGTTGAACCCCAATCTAAAGGAAGTAGTGAAGAAAGAGATACTCAAGTTGCTTGATGCTGGGATAATCTCTCCCATCAGTGATAGCACTTGGATATCTCCAGTTCACTGCGTCCCAAAGAATGGGGGATCACTGTCATTAAAAACGACAAAGAGGAGCTGATTCCCACTAGAACAATAGTGAGGCATCGCATGTGTATTGACTATAGGAATCTAAATTCAGCATCTAGAAAGGATCATTTCCCTCTCCCTTTCATTGATCAGATGTTAGAAAGATTGGCAAACCACCCCTTTTATTGTTTTCTTGATGGGTACAGTGGTTTCTTCCAAATCCCGATCCACCCTAATGATCAGGAGAAGACCACTTTCACATGCGCTTATGGCACCTTTGCTTATCGAAGGATGCCATTTGGGCTGTGCAATGCTCCAGCTACTTTCCGGAGGTGCATGACCTCCATTTTTTCAGATCTGATAGAGGAGATGGTAGAAGTCTTCATGGACGATTTCTCAGTCTATGGAGCATCCTTCTCCTCATGTTTGTCTAACTTGTGCAGGGTGTTGCAGAGGTGTGAGGAGACCAATCTAGTACTCAACTGGGAGAAGTGCCACTTCATGGTTCGAGAGGGAATTGTGCTTGGACACAAGATTTCCGAGAAAGGGATCGAGCTCGATCGAGCTAAGGTGGATGTCATGTTGCAGCTCTCTGTTCCCAAGACTGTGAAGGACATAAGGAGTTTTCTGGGTCACGCAGGGTTGATGTACTTGCATTTTACATAGTTTTAGCACATCTTTTATGCATCTTTTGCATAGTTTTAGCTTTCATTTGCATCATATCTTGTTCCTTTTCTCTTCTTATGCATTCATGTTAGTTTTAGGTTGCATTTGCATACATATGCATGTTTGGTCCTTTGAAATAGGTCTTTTGGAGCATTCTGGAGCATATGGGACACAAGGAGCATGGAGGGACTTGGCACATGGAAGCAGCTCAACTGGATACGCAAAGGAAGAAGGGAGAAGCCATCTTGAAGACTCACTCGACCGGCCAAGCTTCAACTCGATCGAGCTGGGGAGTCAAAGTCAAACCCGAAAAATGTTGCTTCCCCCTTGACTTCCCTTTGACCCTAAACCTAATCCTCTTTGTATTTAAAGGCTCTTAGCCACGAAAAAACCACCAAGCTTTAGATTACTTTTGTTTTAGCTTCTTTTAATTTTATTGTACTTTTACTTTTTAGAGATCTAATCCTCATCTTTGTGTTCTTGAAGCTCTTGCTTCTTGAATCTTAGATCCTGGATAATCTCTCTTGTATTTGCACTTGCTTATTTCAATAAAAGTTGTTTAATTTCATCTCCTCTTTCTTATGATGTCTCTTTTATTGCATTTGCTTGTGTTTACATTCATGTGTAGTGAGTAGTTACCCATTGGGGTTTGAGATGGGATAGATTAGAGGTTTCATATGCTTAATCCTTCTAGCTTATGGTCTTAATCTAGATTCTCTCTCTTTTGGATAGATCTTAAGGCTACATGACCACTACCCCTGGCTTGTAAGTCCTTAGGCGACTCCCCACACGAAAGTGATGGCATTCGCTGGAAAAGATCCACTAAGAGCTCCAATATCTCTTGCTCTAGACAATAGAGGTCTAAGGGGTTGGATGGATTAGTTTGGGCAATGATCCTATAGCCTCCAAGGTTTGATTCTCACTGGCTAACCCCCTGTTTCTGAGATCATTCCTTGGTTGATAGCCTCCACCTTGGGAAAGGGTTGGCTAGGCATTGAGAAGCCCAATATCAAGAGAAGCCTTGATACAAGGAGTTTTAAGAGCTAGATTGATTAAGTGTAGATTCCTTTGATTGCAAAACCCTGTCTTGAACCCTAATTCTCTCTTTATCTTGTTAAAGTCGTCACCTTTAGCTTTGTTTGTCTCAACTCGTCCCTAAACTCGATCGAGCTGGTACTTTGCTCTAGCTCGACTCGAGCTCTTGGTCGAGCTGACACTTCACTGCTTTGTTTACTTTTATTGCACTGCTTTTCATTATTTTTAGGTTGTTAGTGTTACTTCAAATCTATAACTGCTTGCTTGACTTTCAGGTTGTTTCATACTCTCAAAGAGTAACAAGTTCCCATTTTGGATTGATAACCTCTTATACTTCAATGACTATGATGGTTAAGAGGAATTGATTGATTGTGATTGCACCATACCATATCATCTTTATTCACCCCTGTTTGCATACCACCTCATTTCATATCACACACACACACAAAATCCTATCATCAGTTGCTTCTCGGGAGCTTCCCAAAATACCAGTCCAGTGACTGGGCAGGAAGAAGTTCACAGGCCTGGAAATTTGGCCAGTCCCTCGCCCAATACTGTGTGATCCTACTGTCAAGAAACATGATCCTATCACTCTTAAACCAGTCCGGGTGCGTTTCCAGGCGACGAGCCATCATTCTGGTCCAGGCACTGACATGCTACAAATAAAAGAAAAAGTTATTTGATCCAGGCATTCTCATCAAAGTCTAACTACAAAGTCTAACATTTCCAATTTGTGAAGTCTATCAAATATCTCCAACGGGAAGTCTACCTAAGAAGTCTATCTACAAATGAACTTACAGTGTCATCCAGCCACTCTTCCTCAGTCAGCAGAGTCCACCACCAATACCAAAGTGGGTATTCATGTTTATCCGGCTCCTTCATCGGATAACCCCTGAAACAAATCTAGTTGTGTTAAGCTCCTTCCGTTATTCAAATGGTAAGAATATAGGTACGGGAGACTTACGGTAAGGTGGCACAGTAATCAGCCATTTCTTTCTTGCTTTCCTCGGCCGCAACAGCAAATGGATCATACCCACCAGGTACTTTCAAAACCGCTAATTTCGCTGGTGCTTGTTTCACAGATGCTGCTTCTTTCGCAGCTGCTTCCTTCGCAGCAGCTTGTTTCGCAGAAGCTGCTTCCTTCGCAGCAGCTTGTTTCGCAGCAGCAGCTGCTTTCGCAGCAGCTTCTTCCTTTGCACTAAGTCGCAACACCTGCTTTACCACGAGTTTGCCTCTTCGGTTTAGTGATGGCCTTAGCTGGTTTGGGTGCCTCCGGCGGATTGTTCAGGACTATCCTCCTGGCGGTGCTGTTTCCTACGTATGCACCTGTCTGTGTATGCGACAGAGTCCGGGTTCTCTGACTCTTACCTCGTGCTAAACGATTTTCCTGCTTGATCTGTTCTGCTTGCTTCTTCTTCTCCGCGTCAAGTTCAGAGGCACTCGGATAATGGGTTCGGAGAAAATTACATTCCGAGTCTTCCTCACCAGTATCGCAAGCATCTTTATCCTCTTCGCCGTTTTGCTTAATATTGATCAAACACAAAAAGATATACACTATATAAGGAGCATGGGGAAAGAACAAAAATTTTATTGAAAAGGTACGATTGCATCAAGGGAAAGTGTACAACACACCACAATACATCAAGGTTCTTATTCATTCAAACATACATGAGTAAAAAACAAAGGTTTCAGGGGTTTATTTGTTCCCCTTCAATCTACGACTCCTACGAACGAATTTTTGAGCACATTTATCACCATTTTTAGAAGTATGTGGAGAAGGAACTGTACTAACCGGCTCACCAGGAGGATCCTTCTTCGCATCTGACCCACCAAGGAGGATCCGTCGCATCTGAGCCACCATCTGACTCACCAGGATCCTTCTTCATCTGACTCACTGGACTTCACATGCTCGGCAGAAGTATGAAGCGAACCCTTCTTGACAATCCTCCCCAGGATAGCCACTTGAGTAGTAAGGAGTTGAATCTTCTTCTCGACATTCTCTAACCCAAGCTTCATCTGTTCAGACTGCTTATCGGAGAAGTCTTTAAACAGCTCCTCCATCTTCGACTCGAGACGGTTCCAGCCATCACCAGAGGCCTGCGCAGCTGAATAACCAAAGGTCCGAGCCCTTTTTACACTGATTGCTTCATCATCCTCATCAGAGATACTCCTCTTGACATGAGACTTCTCTGACTTCACTGCCTTCTCGGACTTCACAGCGATTATCCCTTCGTTTACCCAGTCAGCTGGTTTCCAGTTCCATTTTCCACCAAGTTCCCCAAGCAAAGCCTTGATGATGTTGTCCACCTTCTGGTCATCTACATCCTTATCCCAACGTGGGTACACGTCTTCCTTGTCCACCATTACCATGTGATTGAACAGCACCTGCAAAACAGTACACAGATAAGTTAAGAATTTGTAAGGTCTAATTATAAAGTCAACTATAAAGTCTAATTATAAAGTCTAATTATATGAAGTCTAATTATGAAGTCTAATTATGAAGTTAAATGGATTACCTGCTTCTTCATGGTTCCGATCACATATCTCTTCCCTTTGATTCCCTTGAAAGCTAACAGCGGTGGCTCAGGATTAATAGGCATGGGATCACCACTCTCTTCTCCGAATTTCGGCATAGCATGATACGCCCAAACTTGCAGGACTTCAGCGAAACCGGCGAGAACAAATGGCTTCGACAAGTCTGCTTCCTTAACAGACTTGATGAGGGTGTTGAAAGCTACTCGCCCCCAAGGATAGCTTTCAAACCTCTCCAAGTCCATCACTTGGCTAGCCAGTGCTAAACTTGTAGGAGTGGAAGATTTCTGGGCATCAATAAAGCCAGCGTATACGGCCAGGTAGCCAAGCCTCAACCTATCCTCTCTGCTCCAATCTCCGGCCCACTTGCAAGCTGCTACGAGATTGTCAATGCTCGGACCAACCTTGATATTCACTCCAAGCTTCCGCCAGTACTCTTTCATCTCGTCTGTCTCAATAGCTTCTGGCTTCGTCAAAGCAGCTTCTATACTCGCAGTTGAGCCCGGTGATGCGTTCAAACTCGTTCAATGAAAAACGCAGTGGCTGCACACCCACGACACTCCAGATCTCATACTCCTTCTCACATACCACTTGCATAGTGAGCATACATCGTACCACAACCGATGCCCATTTAAAGTCGAGCTTCGTGAACCTGAAGAGGGGTCCCAGATTGGAATTCTCAAGCTCACTCCACTCCTCCTTCAGTACAGCGTGCAGTTTCTGCCACAGCTCAGTGTTCTTGCTGTAGTAGCCAACGCTGCGGTCATATTCCGGTTCTTCTCCTTCTGTGTACAGCCTCCTAGGAAATGACACCGGGTCCATACTGGAAACACAGTAAACAGAGGATAAATAAGAAGTCTATAAATGAAGAAGTCTAACTAAAGAGATGTCTAACTAAGAAGTCTAACTAAGAAGTCGAAACCATAATTCCAATAAGTCAAACTGAAAAGCCTAACAAAGAAGTCTATATTTTAAGTCAGTGACAAAGTCCATCTAAACCCTAGTTTCAATACCATTAAGTACGGCTAATAGGACAATTAATGTACACAATTTTACCTTATTATTAGCGGTTATGAGGGCCAGCAACGGCGACGGATAGGAACGACTCTATTAAATCTGCCAACATAGACCTGCGAAAGATCTACAACCGTTTAGGCGACGGTTTGAGGGGGGTAAAGAGAGAGCCAATAGTGGAAGGGGGATAGCTCACCGGCGTTGAGAGAGAGAGAGAATAAGTTGTGCGATACAACAGCGGCAACCACGGACAGCGGCAACGAAGGCGGCGGAAAGGTCCATAAAAAAGGAAACAGAGTGAGTATGAGGGAAAGAGAGACGCGTATATAGATTGATAGATGAGTATGACTTACAGAAGTATACTTCAGCGGAGGAAGAAGAAACGGCGGCGGCGACGATGATGGCTCTTTCTGGATTCGACGGCGACGGTAGGCGAAGAACATGCAATCGCCTGAAAGAGAGAGAACGGAACGGGAACGGCGGTTGTGAAAGTGAAAGTGAAATGTGAACTTAGTTTACCCTAATTTTGGGTTTGTAAAATTGTGATTACTGGTTACAACTTCCGATTATGTCCGGTTCAGTTTGGTTAAATCCAATTCGCACAAACATTTCGGTCCAGTTTAAAATTCGGACTTCGAATAAAGCCCAAACAACAAAGTCTACTTGGGAAGTCTAATAGAAAAAGTAAATTTGTCCGCGTATATTTCCGATTGCCGCTCAAAATATTTCCGGTTCCCGCCCAAACTATTTCGTTTCCCGCTCGCTTTTTGAGTTACAGACTTCTCAGAAAAGTCTACCCCTGAAGTCTACCTAGTGAAGTCTGACTTACCCTAAACCCTAAAACGAATTTTTAAGATCAAAACTATAGGAAACATTAATTATGTATACATAATCACGATTTACATTAGAAACTACAAATTGGTAAGATTTAAATCGTTAAACGAACCCCAAAAGTTTTTTTTGGTCAAAACTATCTCAACCCTAACAATGCTCATGATAAACCCTATACAATATACCTAAACACTAACATGTTGATTTGTTTACTCATGAAACTTATAAATTGATTCATTTTCAAGAAATTTTATTTTTCATAGGTAGGACATGTCTTCATTTAAATTATGTATAACTTTTTTTATCAAAATTGTTTTTTCTTATATTTTAAACTTTAAATTTTATATTTTGGTATTAAGCAAACTTCATCAGTAGACTTCATTTTTTTGGGAATTTTATCATAATTTGTCTTACTTGATCTAAACTGATCGGTTTACATGCAAATTTATTTTTCATGGATACTAAATGTTGTGTTAAAGTTATGTGTAAATTTATTTACAAAAATATTTTTTAATACATTTTAAAATTTAAATTTAAGATTGTACTAAATAATAGACTTTCGAGGGTAGACTTCACACAATTCAGAGATTACAAACCAAACTAATCTTAGTTCACTTAAATTGATTCATTTATATGCAATTTGATTTTTAATGGATGAAAAATGTTTTCATCTTATTTATGTATAATTATTTTTGATCCAATTATTTTTCGTTAATTGTATAATTTAAATTTAAGTTGTGATTAGGGGTTAGACTTCATGATGAAGTCTACGATGTAGTAGAGTTCATGATTAGACTTTAAATAGGGTAAAACAGACATTATGGCTCTCGTTTTTTTGTTTGTTCATAAGGGTGGGTTTTGTAATTTGCCATGGCCAGAAGACTAGTTTTGACATAAGTGCAATAAGGGGTCTACTTTTGCATTTCAAAGCAAATTGTGTACTATATTGAGCAATTCCCCAATGTTCGAAAGAGATCGACGAATGTAAAGGTATGACAAGTTCGGTGGAAATTAATTTTGTTTTGTGATTAGCAGTTCTTAACAAATTATGGGTTTTTTCAGTAATTCAGTGTACATGAAGTAGGCAATACGAGAAGTTCAGGTACTCGTAAATCGGGAAGGACTAGCAAACGTACTCGTAGTTGTCCAGATAAGGATACACTTTCAGAACCGTACAACAAAAAATCCAGCAAGATTGAAAGTGAGAGAGAACAAGTTGGTTATGTTTTAGAGACAGAGACGGTTGGTGTAGACGTTACGGATGTGGTTGTTCCTTCATGCTTAAGCATCTCCCTTATAGGTGGATTTAAGCCATTTGTGGAGCTTCATGATGATGAAGTTGCAGCATTTAACGCATATTTTGATGAGAACCGGTAAATTTATGATGTTCCATCTGAAATATATACTACTGTCTACTGAATGTATAATGTTATTCATTTTTCGTACAGTGTTATCCCATTGTCGAATGGAAGCTTGGCAAAATTAGATATTATGAAAACTTTATTTTCTTCCATATATCCTATACATACGAAGGTAGTTTACGTTTTTCTATAAGATTTCAGATAGGCAATTTGTTCAGATAGTTGTAGTTTTAATTAACTTATGTTCTTGGTGTTCTTGTTTATTAGGTTTTAGATGTCCTCGTATATCGAGCTCAGATGAGGTGCAAGTTTGATAAATGTGTATGGTATGAGTTCTTCTCTGTCGACTATATAACAAATATTCGAAAAGAATATTTGATATTTTCAACATCCACTACAAGAAATATGGACATTAATAGCAGATTACCATAGCACGGTTTTCGTAACTGCTATTAAAGGGGTATATTGATTTAGGGTACTCTATTATAACATTTTTTAAATGCTATGCCGAAATTTCAGTAACCGGGAACTATTGGAGCCTAATTTTTCCAAATTTGTCATAGGCCTCGACACTTAAAAAAAGGTCACAAGCCTTTTCTGTACAAAAAAAAACCAGATCTCTTGCGAGTGCGACCGTCTTCTCCTCCCTCTATCCTCTTCATTTCCGATTTACTCCTCAATCATCTCCGATCGGAGATGCTCCTCAATCTTGTGATAGCCCTCTCTCATCATCTCTCTCCTGCTTATCCCTTAGAAAATTAGGGTTTTAGACGAGGAAGAAGAGCAAACGTCTCTCGACTTTCCCCGTCAGTCTCTTCAGTCTCGCGACGGCACTAACGAAAATCCCGACTAGAAAGCAGAAATTTATCCTTCTGCTGGATCGATTCCTGGATTGATTCCGATTAGGACATATGTATTCTCCTTGCCTTGCTCCTTCTTTTGTTTCATAGCTTGGACCTCGTTTCTTATTGTGCATTTGATTTTTAAAAATTCTGGGTTTTGTGTGTTTTTCAGAGTTTGTTGGGGTCTTTGAATTTCAAAGCAGTTGTGATTGAGGTAAACTAAAAATCTCAATGCTTTAGCATCTTTGCTTGATTTCTTTTTACGACTCTAATCTAATAACGATTCCTACTTTGGTGGTAGCTAATTCACGAAGAAAGATGTATTGCCCTTTAATGTCTACAGTTCTCAGTTAGCCTAGCTGTTCAAGAGCGCCAGAACTGTTGAGATGGTTGAGAGACGAGTTCAGAATTCTATTTTGCGGATTGATGTGATGTCTAATTTGTGAGGTATAGTTTTCTTAAAAGAGATTGTTATCCTTTGGGGTTTAAGTAGTTTATGTTGCATCACAATGATAAAGATTGCTGTGTTGTTGAGATGAATCGTTTTTCAGTTCTTTGTTTTTCAGGTAATCTATGACAAAGTACCAGGACCAAGATGGGGTTTCGGATTCGTGACTATGTCGCCAGTCTCTGAAGTTGAGGCAGCTGCTCAAGAGTTCAATGGCTATGTAAGAAGATACTACTCTACCTTACTCTATTCTTTGATTGTTGTAATTAATTGGCTGAGGAATTGTTGTATCCTTGCTTGTTAGTATGTGTCTGTGTTTTGTTTTTTAATTTTTGAGTTAGTGCTTTTGTGCTTTTGTATTCATTTTTAGCTGAGAAATGAGGCGTTTGATGGATACTTATATGGTTTTATGCTGTTCTATATTCCAGTGATAAGCTGCAAAGACGCTAATCTGGAGAAATTGGAGAGCAGAAACAGTGATCTTTAAGCACCACAAAACTTCCTGTTTGCACCACTTTCTATCAAGGTTTGGCTATCTGTCAATAAAACGTTTTCACTATTTTGATGATAGATGTTGCGTATCCAAAGGTGTAGGCTAAAGCCGGTGATGATATGGTTAGAACTCACTTTCCTCTTTGTACTTACTAGATTTTCGTACAAGAAGTGATATTCTTGACATCACTTTTATGGCGCTTTGTGTGGTTATTGATTAATGTATTCTTGACATATGATTCACAGTATAACCTCCTGTGGGCTACAGTTGCTGAGGAAAATAACTTGTTGGCGGTTTTTGTTTTGCTAGGATTAGATGATTGACAATGTTCTTGAGCATTGATCCAGATGAAGCCGAAGAGAGTGGTAATGGAGCAGTAAGCCACAAGCGAATTTGAGTTTAGTACATGCCAGAGTTAAGCAAGGAAATGGAGTTTGGATTCTACTGTTAGTTAAGACTTGAACTGAGTGAGACTTGTAATATTTGTTGAGGATTGAGGCTTGTATTGAGTTTTTCTATATATATATTGAATTCTATGAAAAATCAGGTTTCTTGCAAATGTATAACAAATATGAATATCTCAAACTAAATGGTGTGTATCAACAATAATAATATATATAGCATACCGAAAATCAGTGTTTTATAGCAGCAAAATATGGCTCTTATATTTTAAATTATAGCTACAAAATAGAGCTACTAAACAATATATTATAGCCTAGTAAAAGAGCTACAACAAAGAAAATTATATCATTTATTATACGCTATAATAGACAAACTTGTAATAGCACATGAAAAAAGTGCTATCATATGGTGGTGACCTATAATAGCTCCGGCTAACACAGCGTTTATGAAAACGCTATCAAACACATATTATAGCACTAATCGTATGCTGTCAATGGGCATATTTCTTGTAGTGATCGACTGAGAAGGAAAATTTTAGTTTCCATGCCGGTGTTAGTCTTAATTGGGTTAAGGACCGTGATGATCGATCTGTTGTTGATGTCCTATGACGGTTGATGGTGGTCACTGAGTTGGAGTTGGCATAGATCTTAAATTGTCAACTATTAATGTGTTCGACTGCAACATTGCATGTATCTCTAGTGAGGAGTTGTGTGGTTATTTAAAACATGTGGCTGAAATGCTTCCCTACCTTTGATTGGCTGCATTCCCCGAGGAAGTGGATGAACGAGATAATATGAATCCTTTTGTTATTGATAGGCTTTACATTCCTTTTCTTTGTGAAATTCCTGGTAAGCGGCTTATCCAGTTGATCTAATTAATAGTTGTATTATCTCATTCATCAACCTCTATTTAATATGGTGGAGTTAATATGTGGCTTTTTATGTATCAGGATTGTCTGCAGTTTCCTCGTTTGTTCTTATGGAGCTTCATGCAACAAATCAGTTGAGTTGCTGTGATAATCTGTCTGATGCAAATCTACGCTTTTGACTCGTTATGCCTTAACTTATCTTGATTGTATTCTACTGCTATGTATTTATTGTTGTTTGTTTAGTAAGATGCTTGAAATGTTCATGTTTTGATATTTTTAAAATTTCGGTTACATGTCGAAAGTGTTGATCTTGTATACTCAATTTAGTGTAAAATTACAAGAGTACTTTTTGAAAGAGCATATTTTTTATTATTGATATGTTGTATCTTCGTACATGGTATAGTAGTTTTGTTTAGTTTCAAATAGTACTATGATATATAATTCTATGAATTATGGTATCATTTCAATGAACCGAATTAACCAATTATTAAACTGGAGTACTCGGTTTATCTTTTATGATGTACCAAGAGTATATATTTTGGTTGTGAAGATCAGTTTTGATATCCTCGTTCTCACGAACCCTAAATTGGCGAATTCTATTTCCCCGATACTTCTTGGCTTGATTACTTACTAATTAGGTAAACTGGTTCTATATGGTTTTAAATAATACTCAAAATTAGTATGATATTATTGTCTACCTTTGTTTTTATATTTTCAATTTGACTAAGTTTTGTAGGATTCATATCTGTAAACGAAATGAGCAATTTGTCTGGGAGTTCTACTGGAATTTCAATTCACGGAGGAAGAAGCCGTTTTGTAGGTGTGCCTAAGAGATGTTGGTGTGGTATTGAGATTGTGTCTCTGATTTCGAAATCAACAACCAATCCTTATAGGCGTTATTTTCGGTGTTCTTTCGCAGTAGCAGAGAAGGTAAGTTTTACAAATGTGGCTTACACATATACTGATATTGTCTTCTCAATTTCTTATTGCCCATATTTGTAGCTTCGTAATGATGATCACACTTACAAGTGGGTTGATGAGGGTTTGCTAGATGAAATTGAAGGATTATCAACTCGCATTCTGAACCTTGAAGCTTCTGTTAATCGTCTTAAAGAAGATAGGATTGTTCTTGAAAATATGATACATGAAAAGGTTGCAATGATGGCTGAAGCAGATATCAGTAATCGTTTGCAAGAAGTTGTGGTTGAAGCCAAATCTAAAGTTACTACTTTTATGTTATGTTTCGAATAGCGTGTACCGTTGTAGTTTTTCTAAGCAAGGTTGTAGCTTAGGTCTTATGTTATGCTATGTAAAATAGATGTATGCTTTTACTAAGTTTGTTGTTCCAGTTTCGTTGTGATGTTGTATTAGTTTTCGTTTATGCTGAACTATTTGTCTTCTTATAATATGTTTAATACCAAATCTTTTTCTACTTAGTGAAGTTTAATTACGTACAGTAAAAACTCTATAAATTAATAAAGTTGGGACTTTGATATTTTATTAATTTATAGAGTTATAAAATTATCGATCTTGAATAAAATAGTTTTTTTTTAATCTAAACAATAATTAAAATAAATATTAAATTAAATAAAAATAAGAAATTTTAAAAGTTTTTATATTTTGTATAGGTTCATTCTAAAATTAGGGATGAATCCTAAATATATTTGAGTTTTAGTAGAAAAGAAGTGAAAATTATACTTATATTTTAGTATATTATCATAGATATGTATTTACATAAAATTATTTATGGTAATTATTAATTTATGATATTAATGGGACCATATATTTACATAGGAGTTTCAAAAATATTATTATCTTATTATTTTATCGAATTTTGCTAATTTTTACACTGGCCCGACTTGGGACTGGGAAAATTATTATTTTATAGAGTTTATTAATTTATCGAGTATCAATTTATAAAGTTTCTACTGTAGTTAGAAGATAAGATAATATTGCTTCATATTTTACATCAAAAGATAGAGTTTGGGGCATTACATATTACACAACAAAGGAACTAGTTTGGGGTTGGCGTTTCAAACTATACAAGACTAGCAAAGCTATATATAAAGTGGGCATTAAGGTTTCTTTTCCTAGTCTAAATACTTAGGTATGTCATTTATGCATATACCTCTGTAGTTAGATCACTTCCTCCCATGAAATAGCTAGTCTACCATCAACACATCCTATAATGATGTGGATATTCATTATTCTGCCTACTTACAAAAGCTATAGCTTCCCCAGCTAGTTAGCTCCATTTAGATAAGGTTACTTCATTCGTCTGACGGCAAGACGCCTTGTTGTGTCCTTGGCGTCTACATGTAGTGCATCTACGTCCACCTTTCCTTCCCGATCGCTAATGGATAAGAGATACACAGGATTTCGGAGGAGAAATAGTGAGGAAATTTAATAGATTAGAAACATAGATAGCATTAGTTATTACCTTAAACTCTCCTCTGGACAGAATACAAATTTTCTTTGGTCTCCCTGGAGGTCGCTTAACATCTGGTGGAAGCAATTCGCCATTAAATGCTCCTCCTAGTGCACCATCTCCTACAGATGGCACATGGTAGATCTTCAAATCAAAACCGTTTTCCATGTAGCTCCGTAGAAAGTTGTCGAAACCATTGCGTGTGTTGGTAGTTTGACACTTCCATCGGCTGCAATTGCATGAGGACAGGGAATGCTGAGTTGCTGAAACTCCATACAAGTACATGTTCCCTCCACCAACCTTACGGTGAAACATTCACCGTCTTGTGCTTATACTTGGAATTCAAACTGACTTATTTCCCTCACAGCAAGACCCGTTGATTTTTAAAAGTTTTCTTCCACAAGTTGTCTCACATGAGGCGTAAGCATCTGTTGATTTGTTGTAGCTTTGCTCCGTCTAATAGAAAACCAACTCATAACTGCTGTACGAATGTACTCTAACATGCAAATCAGAGGATACTCTCTCGCTTCCTTCAATACGGCATTCCATGACTCTGCAATGTTTGAATCCATAATGTTGTACCTCTTCCCTTTATAGTGGACCCTAGTCCAGTGTTCGAAATCTGAATCAATGTTAAATTTCAGTGTAAATAAATCAACGGTAGTAAATATACTGTATGTATACGAAATCTACATATATTAACAAGAAAGATGAGATTAGTATTTACCAATATCGACAAGGTAAGCTGCACAACCGGGACTTAGCTTCTGTATTTGAAAAAAAAATTTGTTAAATTCTGCAACTGTGAAAGCTCTAGCTGCAGCAGAGACTACGTTCGTCACACGCCTAGGTTTGTAATCTCTTCTTATGTTTCTCCAAAGATGCACAATACATGCTGCATGGTGTGAAAGGGGAAATACCTATTACCTATTAAAACATATGTTGCAGGCATTTATAAATCAGAGTTTGAATTCAATATTTAGTTAATGAATATTGAGAAGATGTAGGTGATGATTCTTACTCTCTCTAGTCCCGTGTAGATGCTATGATGACGATCAGAAACAAACACCAAATCCGGTGAGTCAGGAAAAAACGACTCACCAGATTAAGATTGGCAAAACCCTGATTAAGATTGATCAGGGTTTTGCCACTGTTGTCCTGAAAGATGGCCTCAACTTTCGAGATCTAATCGATGACCCGCGTAACAAATTACAAATCAAAAACACCAACATCACTCTCAAACTCGCCTACCAGTATCCTCCGTGGATGACTATAGACGACGGTGATGGATCTACTCCTCAGTACATCACCGACGATACAGAAGTCCTGTCTTTGATAAACTAGAAATAGATCATTTTCTCTACTGCAAATTAACAGTGATGAAATTGTAATATAAAGGATTCGAAATCCAGAGGACCAGCGTTACACTGTGAAACTAGGAGATTTAAAACAGAGCTAAGACAAAGATGATTGGTTTTAGTAACAGGTAACGAATGTAAACGATGATGTAATTCAATTAAACAGGGACTAGACCAAGGCAATTCGCAGAGATTCACAGTTAACAACCGAACAACTATTCAGGGCACAGATGATGAACAGGTCTCGAACTCAAACATGAAAATATGTCAATTCACTTTCGCGATAATGACAACTTTATCTAACAACCTAGATGTCTAAACTGTCGTTTGAATCTAGCAATTGATGACAAGCAGTAAACTCAGGTTCGATAAGTTCACGAATCGCCTAGCATCAACTTTCGCAGGCTAAGGACGATTCGCTCACCACAGTTCGTTCTAACAACCTATAACACTTTTGATGAACAGGTAATCTGAGATCAGAGATCGAATGATCAGATCGATCTAAGCAGTAAGTGCAACAATGGCGAAGACAGTATTAAAGCCCTATCTGTATTCAGTCAATTTAACACATGAATCCCTTTGAAAAGCCTAGATCTAGCAGGGTGACTACTCAGACATAACGAAACAGCAAACAATGACTGAAACTGAATGTCATTGAATCAAATATGAAAATAGAAAAACAAGGGTTCAGAAATCTTCTCCAAACTGTGAAAACAGAGGTTTGATCTCTTCTCCCTCGGAAACAATGAAAACAGTGTAAACTCTGAAAAACGGCGTAGCCTAAACAATGGCTAAAGATAGGTCTAAATAGCTCCGGGGTCGACTTCGGTTCAATCCGGTTCGCTGTGGTTCGATCAAGTCGGTTTGCACCAAGTAGATCGAACGGCTGTGATATCATCTGACCGGGATTGATCGAACGGCTGAAACAGGGAGATCGATCGAGCTGCTGCTCTGCATGGGATCGATCGAGCTCGTCTTGATGATGATCGATCGAACTGCTGTATGGGTTCGATCGAGCTTGTCGTCGTGTACAAGTCGATCGATTCGTCCAGTACGAGTCGATCGAAATCTGTGTGGGATCGATCGAGCTTTGTTGCATAGCTCCGTTTTGCCTGCTTTTCCTGTTGTTGGTCCATGTGACCAAAGCTCTCCCTGGAACGTCTTTAGACCTGAAAAGACTCGATAAAGACTAGAAAGACTCGATAAAACTCGTGAAAACAAGTGTTAGAATGCGTCAAATACGCAAGATATCAACTCCCCCGGACTTGGTCTTTTGCTTGCCCTCAAGCAAACATAAATTCCAAGAATAGGGAAGAAGTTTGAAAACGCGGGAACTCACAAATCATCAGCAACCATACCCCGAAGGATCATCAGTAGACCTCAAAGGACAAGGTTCGGTCAGTGCATAATCACTGTAGTCCCCTTGAAGTCTCGCATTCCTGATCCCGTGATGAACCTCCATCCTGCAGAAACTCAAGCTACACATGGTTAACTCTCTACATTCATTAAGATTTGGCGTGGACCTCTCATCAAGAACATCATACAGGGTCGACGGTGTTGGGTATCAAAAGGCCTGTTTTTGGTGAGGTTAAAGTGTTTAAGGGTTACCAGATACGCCGGAGGATGCATGATATCGCGCAAAACAGCAAGAGAGAATGGTTCTGTTGATAGCCACATTTCCCAACCACTTCACTCTTCAACTCCTTGTATGTTGGATTTTATCCAGAACAGCTCTAACTCCCAATTCGCCTTGATCGGTGGTGTTCCTTGGAGGTATTCGGTCGAGCTTGACATTTTATTGAACCACTAGTTCCTTTCCTCAAGTTTTTCTGATGATTAGTGTCAATGGCTCGTAAATGTTACCGTGTATTCGTGCTTCTCCAAGGAACGACCATCAGTTCGATCGATTCAGGCTCCATACTCCACCATCACTTCCCATTCTCAGTGTTGTAGATGAACACTCGTCTTGAATGTGGTTGGGAAGCTGTGTCGAACCTTTCTCTCCGACGTTTTTGCACATATCTGCATATATGACAAAAAGAACAGAGTGCATGAAGTCAGAAAGGAGGTAAGGCTCAAGGTGGGGTACCAACCAAAAATGGGCTGGCCACTCAGGATCAACAGAGAGTGGTAAAATGAATAAGAAGTCCTGAGTGTATGGTCCGTTTCCCTGCTATGACATTCCGAATGAGAGGTAATTGATGTCAGATTAGTGGTCCAATAGCATTAGAGTCAACCAAATGTTTCACCAAAATCTCTGCAAAACGAAAATTCCTGGGGGAAGTCTGACCAAAAGGGTAATCCAGCTTTTTACACATAACAAACCCTGCAAAATTGGTCACTAGATAGAAAGAATTCAAGAGCACAAATGGTTTCATCAGATAAGTTTATTCCCAACAAGTTTTTGACTCAATAAAACCTGACTCAAAGAAAACATCAAAATGACTCAAGGTGAAACAAAAACAAAAGAAAGAAAAAGACGTTAGTAAACACAAAGACCCTCCCCCGGACTTACTTCACACCGACCCGGTGTGAAAAGAAACCAAGGAGAGAGTTAAACAGACTCAATAAAAGAAAAAGAAAAGGGAAAATGGAATGATACAGTGGTGGTGGTCGAGTGGCGTCAGGAGAGAGCATCAGCGGCGTCCGTAGATGAAGTCGTCGAGATCCTCCTGCATGCTCTCCTGCGTGTAAGTAGGGACGGTGGTAGGCGCAGCTCGCTCGTGGTGTAAGGCACGTACTGGTCCGGCGGAGCTCTCGTCGGCGGTGTGTGGTCTGTCGGCGCTGTCGGCCTCGAAGTGGAGCTGCATCGCCTGAATGGCAAGTCTGCGCAGCTCCTGCGCCTGATGGTCTCGCTGTCTGCGGCTCTCCAAAGCGCCTCTTCCGCTGCTGTCGCGGCTCGAAGGAAGAGTGTCGTGGTGGCTCAGGAGGTAGTGGTCGTCCGCCGGTGGTGTCGTGGTCTGGCTCGTCGTCGTCCTCAGAGGGGATCGCCTGGCGTGGACCGACTGCGGTCCTGTGGACACCTCCTGAAGCTGAGGCAACACAGCTCAGCTTGTCCTGCATGGCACGGATCTGATCGGCCATCTTCTTCACCTTGCTCTTGAGCTTGCTGGTGATCTTGTCCTGCGCCTTGTTCCACCGCTGAAGAATGCCGATGTGCTGGTGAGCCGCCTTCAGCCCGGCGGTCTGTCTGGCGGTGGTGGCGTAGCCGGCGAAGTGCAAGTGCTCGAGCTCGTCCGTCTGCGTGGAGTCGAGCTCGTGAGATGGATCGCCGCGGTGTGTGGTCGCCTGAGGTGTGGCGTAGTCCCTAGCGGTCGGTCGATCTCCGGTGTAGAGAGCGGAGCAACATGCGGGAAGCGCCGAGCTGAACGTGGGAACTGGTACAGGAGTCGGCTGGCGTCTGACGTCTTCTGCAAGAAGACGCTGTTCCTCAGGTACTCGAGATCGAGCCTCTCGGGTGGTGCGACCTCGTCCTCTCTGTCAGGTGTGAAGCCGACGGCGCGTAGAAGAGGTGTGACCAAGCCACCCATCCGCAGTGTGCACTTGTGCCGGATGGTCCTGTTCCTCGAAGCCCAGTCCCTGTAAGAGCGGAGCTGGCTAGCAAGGGCGACCGTGATGCCTCCGTGGGACCTGCTGCCTCGGAGCTGGTCCCGTTGATCAGTCTCAACGGGATGCCTGTGAGTGCCACGTCGATCATGGCCATCTCTGTCTCTGTGACGTTCCCGGTGGCCTGTCGGGAAAAGAGCGTGTTGGCGATCGCCTTGTGGAAGTAGCGGACCGGCGGGCTCCTGATCTGAGCGGACTTCGCACTTGAGGAGAAGTACTCCCCAAACGCGATCGTCCCCCAAAGTGCGGACATCTCGTCGCGGTCGACGTCGAGGCCTAGACGGTTGCCTGGCGGCAGGAAAAGTGCTCGGTCGATCTCTCTGTATGAGAGATAGTGTCGCCGTCCAGTGGCCCAGAATGTGATGTACCCGTCACTGCCGTCGGGTGTGGTCTGGCCTGGCACGCAGGGCTCGTGCTCGAGAGTGGCAAGGAAAAGGCAAGTCGCCTTCCGGTAAGCCTCGTGCTGCTGGAACATGACTCGGTGGATCCCTAGGTTGTGGAACATCTCGTCGATGAGGAGCGTCTGCATCGTGCCTCTGTCGGCATATCGCGTCCCGGCAAACTTCATGTCGAGGAGGGTGCGGAGCGCTGCATCTCGACCGCCGTGACAGTGTCCTCGGCTCGTCGTCTCCCGGTGTCTCAGGAAAAGGTGCGTCCGGCATCGTCGAGTCCTCCACGAAGTCGTCATCGGGCTCGACGATGGGTCTCTTCCTCGCGCTATCTCCTCTCGCCGTCGTGAGGGTCCGGCATCTCCGCGGTTCCTGAAATCAGTGAAATTTAGAACAAGTTAGCTCAGCACAAGTAACTCGACAGGACTCGATCGATTACACCCAATTTCAATAGTTCAATCAATCGAGCGAAGATCAAGGTGATGATGAGTCTACAGCCGCCTAACTTCTGTCAAGGGAATCCGCAGCTTTCTGGGGCATGCAGGGTTCTACAGGCGGTTCATCAAGGACTTCTCCAAGATCACCAGACCTTTGACGCTGTTGTGTAAGGAGGTCAAGTTCGACTTTGACAGTACATGTTTGGAGGCCTTTCACACGATCAAGGGAGCTCTGGTGAGTGCTCCAATTGTCCAACCTCCTGACTGGAGCCTTCCTTTCGAGGTGATGACAGATGCTAGTGACTATGCTGTCGGAGCGGTTCTGGGCCAGAGAAAGGAGAAGAAGCTGCACGTGATCTACTACGCCAGTCGCACACTTGATGAAGCTCAGTGCAAGTACGCTACGACTGAGAAGGAACTATTGGCGGTGGTGTTTGCATTTGAGAAGTTTCGGTCCTATCTTGTTGGATCGAAGGTGATTGTCCATACCTGATCACGCTGCATTGAAGTACTTGCTGACGAAGAAGGATGCGAAGCCGAGACTCTTGAGATGGATTCTTTTGCTTCAGGAGTTCGATCTGGAGATCAAGGATAAGAAAGGGATTGACAATGGTGTAGCTGATCACCTGTCAAGGATGAAGATCGATGATGACGTCCCTCTAGACGACAGTCTACCTGATGAGCACGTCTACGCTGTTGAGGTGATCGATTACGGCTCGCTGATGATGGAGTTCGATCGAGTACATGAAGGAGATCGATCGAATGGAGATGACGGAGATCGTGCTTTGAGCTGTAACGCCGTTAACCGTTCCAGTTTCCCATGGTTTGGAGAGATAGCCAATTACCTCGCTGCTGAGCACGAACCTACTGGTTTTGTGGGGAACAAGAAGAAGAAGTTCTTGAGAGACATCCGGCGCTATTTCTGGGATGAGCCTGTACAAGCACTGCACCGATGGAGTCTACAGGAGATGTGTAGCTGATGAGGAGATACCTGGGATCTTGTTCCACTGTCATAGCTCGTCTTATGCTGGACACTTCGCGACGTACAAGACTGTATCCAAGGCGCTGCAAGCTGGCTACTGGTGGCCCACCATGTTCCGAGATGCTCACAGATTCGTGTCTAAGTGTGATGTGTGCCAGAGACAGGGGAACATCAGTAAGAGAAACGAGATGCCACAGAACTTCATTCTGGAAGTAGAGGTTTTCGACGTGTGGGGAGTTGACTTCATGGGACCCTTCCCATCTTCCTATGGAAACCTGTACATTTTGGTGGCTGCACATGGAGATCCTCAAGTATACCAACAGGGAACTTGGTCGACCTATCAGGGAACACCAAGGAGACTTTCGTGGGTTGGAACTTTGTGTATCCCAGTCGCTTGGCCACAGAATACGGCATCAGGTTCACGCTCGAGCCAAGATCGCAAAGAGAGAACGCGAAGGTCATATGGCCAATCTGCACTGACAAGACAAATCTTCCTGGATCGCTCCTCTTCTTGATCACCTTGTTCTGCAGCACAGCGCTGCACTCCTCTGACACTAGCATGACATTCTAATCCTCAGCTACTTTCCCAGATATCAGCTCCTTCATGTACTTCTTCAGCGAAGGAATCATCTGAACAGCATCAGAGAGAGGCAGCTTCACAGTCAAGTCCTTCAGCATCTCCTTACACTTTGCATCCTCCAAGTCTTTTCTGGACTTTTTCCGTGGAACAGGGTAAGGCACCTTAGGTGTGTAAGCTCTTGCTGGAGCAGTCTCTACAGCTACAGGAGTAGGTGAGTCAGCTACGGGATCCTGAGATGACGATGCGTCATCACCAGCTCGATCGACTCCGCTAGAGGCAGCTCAATCGACTTCGTTCTCATCTTCCTGATTCACGTCGGCTTTCTCCTTGCCTGCCCTCTTCGGAGGAATCGCAGCAAGTAATAGCTTTCTTCCACTTCTCAGCTCAACTTGTGCAACATACTCGTTCATGGGGTTTTGCTCTCCTTTCCCAGGAAGTGTTCCCTGAGGTCTTTTCACAGCTTCAGCGGTTTGAGATACTTGGACATCCAGCTTTTTCACGTGAGTCCACACTGCTTCATACTTCCCATTCAGATCGTTGTACATGGTGTCTATCTTCAGGTGTGTCTCCGCAGTGGACTTCTGCTGGTTCATCAACATTTGCTGCATCATACCCTTAAGCTCATCGTTCGAGTTGCTCGATGACCCTGAGGGTTGTTGCTGACTGCTGAACTGCGCCTTCTGCTGATTACCACCTTGAGAACGGTTCTGGTTAGGGGCAAAGGTCTTCTCCTGGAAGTTGTTCGGATAGCTCTTCTGCTAGCTCTGCTGGTTCTGGTTTGATCGAGGCGGATAGACCTGATCCTGGGGGTTCTCGACGTTGGTGCTCCTGTAGGACATGTTCGGATGGTTTTGATGTACTTGCATTTTACATAGTTTTAGCACATCTTTTATGCATCTTTTGCATAGTTTTAGCTTTCCATTTGCATCATATCTTGTTCCTTTTCTCTTCTTATGCATTCATGTTAGTTTTAGGTTGCATTTGCATACATATGCATGTTTGGTCCTTTGAAATAGGTCTTTTGGAGCATTCTGGAGCATATGGGACACAAGGAGCATGGAGGGACTTGGCACATGGAAGCAGCTCAACTGGATACGCAAAGGAAGAAGGGAGAAGCCATCTTGAAGACCAGCTCGACCGTCCACTCGACCAACCGGTCGAGTTCCTCAACTCGACCGGCCAAGCTTCAACTCGATCGAGCTGGGGAGTCAAAGTCAAACCCGAAAAATGTTGCTTCCCCCTTGACTTCCCTTTGACCCTAAACCTAATCCTCTTTGTATTTAAAGGCTCTAGCCACGAAAAAACCACCAAGCTTTAGATTACTTTTGTTTTAGCTTCTTTTAATTTATTGTACTTTTACTTTTTAGAGATCTAATCCCATCTTTGTGTTCTTGAAGCTCTTGCTTCTTGAATCTTAGATCCTGGATAATCTCTCTTGTATTTGCACTTGCTTATTTCAATAAAAGTTGTTTAATTTCATCTCCTCTTTCTTATGATGTCTCTTTTATTGCATTTGCTTGTGTTTACATTCATGTGTAGTGAGTAGTTACCCATTGGGGTTTGAGATGGGATAGATTAGAGGTTTCATATGCTTAATCCTTCTAGCTTATGGTCTTAATCTAGATTCTCTCTCTTTTGGATAGATCTTAAGGCTACATGACCACTACCCCTGGCTTGTAAGTCCTTAGGCGACTCCCCACACGAAAGTGATGGCATTCGCTGGAAAAGATCCACTAAGAGCTCCAATATCTCTTGCTCTAGACAATAGAGGTCTAAGGGGTTGGATGGATTAGTTTGGGCAATGATCCTATAGCCTCCAAGGTTTGATTCTCACTGGCTAACCCCCTGTTTCTGAGATCATTCCTTGGTTGATAGCCTCCACCTTGGGAAAGGGTTGGCTAGGCATTGAGAAGCCCAATATCAAGAGAAGCCTTGATACAAGGAGTTTTAAGAGCTAGATTGATTAAGTGTAGATTCCTTTGATTGCAAAACCCTGTCTTGAACCCTAATTCTCTCTTTATCTTGTTAAAGTCGTCACCTTTAGCTTTGTTTGTCTCAACTCGTCCCTAAACTCGATCGAGCTGGTACTTTGCTCTAGCTCGACTCGAGCTCTTGGTCGAGCTGACACTTCACTGCTTTGTTTACTTTTATTGCACTGCTTTTCATTATTTTTAGGTTGTTAGTGTTACTTCAAATCTATAACTGCTTTGACCAAGGATTCTTCAGAGGGATATGTGAGCTCAGAAACTGATGAGTACAAGAAGCTCCTTGACACCTTCAGACCAGTTCCAAACATTCTGAGCATTGAGAGATTGGACAGGCCAGTTTGCGAAGTCATGGCAGTGAGCTCGATCAAGAACTCGATCGAGTCGAGTTTCGAACAAACGAACTCGATCGAGCTGGGGGCTGAGAGCAAGGAGCAAGCTCAAGGAGATTGGTCTGAGCTTAAGGCGCCTAAAGTCGACCTCAAACCTTTGCCTGAGGGCCTCAGGTATGCATTTCTGGGTGAAAACTCAACTTACCCTGTCATTGTGAACTCTGATTTGGAACCTGAACAGTTGAGTGCCTTGCTTGTTGAATTGAGAAAGTACAGAAAGGCAATAGGTTACACTCTAGATGATATCAAGGGGATCTCCCCTGACCTATGCATCCATAGGATTCATCTAGAGGATGAAAGTAAGTCAAGCATTGAACCTCAGAGAAGGTTGAACCCCAATCTAAAGGAAGTAGTGAAGAAAGAGATACTCAAGTTGCTTGATGCTGGGATAATCTATCCCATCAGTGATAGCACTTGGATATCTCCAGTTCATTGCGTCCCAAAGAAAGGGGGGATCACTGTCATTAAAAACGACAAAGAGGAGCTGATTCCCACTAGAACAATAGTGGGGCATCGCATGTGTATTGACTATAGGAAGCTAAATTCAGCATCTAGAAAGGATCATTTCCCTCTCCCTTTCATTGATCAGATGTTAGAAAGATTGGCAAACCACCCTTTTATTGTTTTCTTGATGGCTACAGTGGTTTCTTCCAAATCCCGATCCACCCTAATGATCAGGAGAAGACCACTTTCACATGCCCTTATGGCACCTTTGCTTATCGAAGGATGCCATTTGGGCTGTGCAATGCTCCAGCTACTTTCCAGAGGTGCATGACCTCCATTTTTTCAGATCTGATAGAGGAGATGGTAGAAGTCTTCATGGACGATTTCTCAGTCTATGGAGCATCCTTCTCCTCATGTTTGTCTAACTTGTGCAGGGTGTTGCAGAGGTGTGAGGAGACCAATCTAGTACTCAACTGGGAGAAGTGCCACTTCATGGTTCGAGAGGGATTGTGCTTGGACACAAGATTTCCGAGAAAGGGATCGAGCTCGATCGAGCTAAGGTGGATGTCATGTTGCAGCTCCCTGTTCCCAAGACTGTGAAGGACATAAGGAGTTTTCTGGGTCATGCAGGGTTCTACAGAAGATTCATCAAGGATTTCTCAAAGATAGCAAGACCCTTGACAAGGCTTCTATGCAAGGAGACAGATTTTGAGTTTGATGAAGAATGCCACAAGTCTTGGACCTTGCTGAAGGATGCTCTGGTGTCTGCGCCAATAGTACAAGCTCCAAACTGGGATCACCCATTTGAGATTATGTGTGATGCATCTGACTATGCAGTAGGAGCAGTGCTTGGCCAAAAGATAGACAAGAAACTCAATGTCATCTACTATGCAAGCAAGACTATGGATGATGCTCAGTGCAAGTATGCAACCACAGAGAAGGAGCTCCTTGCCATAGTCTTTGCCTTTGAGAAGTTTCGAAGCTATATAGTTGGATCCAAGGTGATTGTGCACACTGACCATGCTGCCCTTAGACACATCTTTGCTAAAAAGATACAAAGCCAAGACTTCTCAGATGGATCCTTTTGCTTCAAGAGTTTGACATAGAAGTTGTGGACAAAAAGGGAGTAGAAAATGGAGTTGCTGATCATCTCTCTAGGATGCGAGTTGAAGACATGATCCCCATCAATGATTCTATGCCTGAAGAACAGCTTATGGCAATCATGATCTTGAAGGAGAGTTTTGATGAGAAAGCCAGGCTGGAAGAAGTTAAGGCTCTGCGTGATGAGAATTTGCCATGGTATGCTGATATAGTGAACTTCATGGTGTCCGGAGAAGTCCCTAGTAGCTTTGATGCTTACAAGAAAGAAATTCTTCAAGGATGCTAGGCATTACTATTGGGATGAGCCCTACCTGTACAAGAGAGGACCAGACAGCATTTACAGGAGATGCATTGCTGAAGAGGATGTGCAAGGAGTTCTAGAGCATTGCCATGGGTCAGTTTACGGAGGTCACTTTGCTACATTCAAAACAGCAACTAAGGTTTTGCAATCGGGTTTATGGTGGCCTACTTTGTTTAAGGATGCAGCAGACTACATTGCCAAGTGTGATCCGTGCCAAAGGAAAGGAGGGATCACCAAGAGGGACGAGATGCCACTAAACCCAATTCTAGAGGTTGAGATCTTTGATGTATGGGGAATAGACTTCATGGGACCTTTCAAACCTCTTCAAACGGGCACAACTACATTTTGGTTGCTGTAGACTATGTATCCAAATGGATTGAAGCCATTCCCTGCCCAACCTGTGACGCCAAGGTGGTTGTCAAGCTTTTCAGAACCATCATCTTTCCAAGGTTCGGCATCCCAAGGGTTGTTATTTCGGATGGAGGCTCCCATTTCATCAACAAGGTGTTTGAAAAGTTGATGAGAAGCCATGGAGTCAACACAAGGTCGCCACGCCTTATCACCCTCAAACCAGTGGGCAAGTTGAAGTCTCCAACAGACAGATCAAGGCCATATTGGAGAAGACTGTGAGCTTCACTAGGAAAGACTGGGCAGCAAGGCTTGATGAGGCACTTTGGGCTTATAGGACAGCCTACAAAACCCCCATTGGAAGGTCTCCTTTCAATTTGCTGTATGGGAAGGACTGCCACTTACCTGTGGAGGTCGAATATAAGGCTTTATGGGCAGTAAAGATGCTGAACTTTGATATAAAGGCAGCACAAGAAAGGAGGGTAATGAACTTGTTTGAGCTGGAGGAGATAAGAATGAATGCCTATGAGAACTCTAGGATTTACAAGATGAGAACCAAGGCAGCCCACGACAAACTGATTCGCCTTAAGGACTTCAAGGTTGGGGACAGTGTGCTCTTGTATAACTCCAAGCTAAGGTTGTTTCCCGGGAAGCTGAGGTCAAAGTGGGCGGGACCATTCAAGATTCACGAAGTTCTACCCTATGGGTCCCTCACTTTGCTCAATCAAGAGGGGAAGGAATTCACAGTGAATGGACATAGATGCAAGCCATATCTAGGAATGACCCCCACAGAGGAGATCATCACTCCTCTAGAAGATCCAACCCCGGCCTAAAAGGGGTAAGGTCAAGCTAAGAGACCTAAAACAAGCTCACTTGGGAGGAATTCCCATGTCTATCTTATGCATTTACACTTTATCCTTTTATTTTTATGATTTTTCTTGGCTGAGTCTCACAGGAGCAGGTTTTAGGAAGGACGAGTGGCCAACTCGAGCACAACTCGATCGAGTCAAGAGCAAGCTCGATCGAGTGAGCCGCAAGAGGCAACCCCAGTTGCAGTGGAGCGCTCCTGATGGCCGTCTCCCATCTCCAGACCACGACCTAGTCTCCCAGTTCTTTGGGGGACACTGAGGTATCCAAACACCAACCCTTGTATATACCATTTCATATTTTCTTTGCATTTGTTCTTGTTTTTCTTGGTTTTGCCCTCTTGAATCTTTCACTAAATTTTTCTCACACAAGGGACTGTGTGATTTAAGTTTGGGGGAGGGTTCAAGAGATGATTTAACCTTGTTTTCTTTGTTCTTAGTTTTTCATTTATCTTTTGCATAGAAAAACCAAAAAAATCATAAAATTTTCAAAAAATCCAAAAATATTTTCATCTTTTTGCATTCATATTTGTTAGACTTGTTTAGGATTGCATTTTTCACTTGCATTGTTGATTTGACTTTGAAAACTTGTCCATCTTTTGCGATTTCTTGAGTGCCCTGTTTTTAGATTCTTTTGTGCATTAGGGTGAGATTGATTGAGCAGCAAGAACCATGTTTATCTTGATCATATCACTGCATGCACATCTCATTCAACCATTGCTGTGATTTGATGCATTTCCCTATCTATTTGAACCATAACTTGATCTTTAATTACCAATGCTTGCATTTGATTTCAACTCATGGCTACCACATACATATCTGGACATTCTTTACCATTTTCATATCCCTTTTGCTTGTCCAGATAGCTGATCTCTATCTTTGAGACAGTTACCACACCTTAAACCTAAGCCTTTTCATTTCAAACCCCTTATTATCTCTTGTGCGAATGTGAGAACCTTTCTTGGCTTTGCTTAGCATAAGGTGTTGTGTTTAAACCGGCAGGGGCAGTAGTTCTAGTTGTCTAGTTCTCTTGGGATTGTTTTCAGGCTAAGTTTGGGGGTGCCAACTCGAGCTCGATCGAGTTGGGTGTAAAAACCAGAAAAGTGGTAAAAGTTGGGAAAAACCCAAAGGAAAAAGAGTTTAGTTAAGTCCAGGGAGTTGGCAGTGTTAAAAAGGGTCTAGTAAAGGTTTGGGAAGTTAAAAAAGGAAAGTAAAAAGGGTTCTAAGTAGAATGAAAAGAAGGCAAAGCCTCAAGTGTCAAAAAGGAAAGAAAAGTTCCCTAAGTGTTTAGAAAATCCCAAACCGCTAGATGTTACCTCAAGAAGCCTCTCCCTAGGAAGTTCTTAAAAGAAAAGTGAGCAAAGCTCCTCAGTTTCAAAGGCGAAATGCCAAAAAGGGTAGTTAGGATTTTGTTCTAAAAAGCTCTAAGTGTTGAACTCGATCGAGTTAGGATTAGGCGGCTCGAGCTGCTGTTCTTGCATCATCTTTGGTTCTAACACTTAGCCTTCTGCCAAAGCAAAGCCACTTTCTTGAGAGATCCCTGTTACTAAACCACCATACAAAAGAGACCCTCTTTGTCTCTTAACCCATAAACCCTTGAAACCAAATGAGTTGATTGATCTTGCATGTTTTTGGTTCACTGTTTTTGCTTAATGAATGTTAAAGGGATTTGCTGATTTGAATGCATTGTTTGAGTGACTGTGAAGTGGGATTGATGTTGATAAGCATGGTTAAATCTTAATGAATATCTCTCACCTTGTTGCATTCTAGAATCTCTAAGTTGGACATTTAGCAAATCGCTTTTGAGGACATGTTTTTAAGTGTTGAATCAGCTTTTTCAAACCTCATCTCTTTCTTGTTCTATTTGTTTGCTTGAGGGCAAGCAAAGTTCAAGTTTGGGGGTGTTGATGTACTTGCATTTTACATAGTTTTAGCACATCTTTTATGCATCTTTTGCATAGTTTTAGCATCCATTTGCATCATATCTTGTTCCTTTTCTCTTCTTATGCATTCATGTTAGTTTTAGGTTGCATTTGCATACATATGCATGTTTGGTCCTTTGAAATAGGTCTTTTGGAGCATTCTGGAGCATATGGGACAAGGAGCATGGAGGGACTTGGCACATGGAGCAGCTCAACTGGATACGCAAAGGAAGAAGGGAGAAGCCATCTTGAAGACCAGCTCGACCGTCCACTCGACCAACCGGTCGAGTTCCTCAACTCGACCGGCCAAGCTTCAACTCGATCGAGCTGGAAGTCAAAGTCAAACCCGAAAAATGTTGCTTCCCCCTTGACTTTCCTTTGACCCTAAACCTAATCCTCTTGTATTTAAAGGCTCTAAGCCACGAAAAAACCACCAAGCTTTAGATTACTTTTGTTTTAGTTTCTTTTAATTTATTGTCTTTTACTTTTTAGAGATCTAATCCCATCTTTGTGTTCTTGAAGCTCTTGCTTCTTGAATCCTTAGATCCTGGATAATCTCTCTTTGTATTTGCACTTGCTTATTTCAATAAAAGTTGTTTAATTTCATCTCCTCTTTCTTATGATGTCTCTTTTATTGCATTTGCTTGTGTTTACATTCATGTGTAGTGAGTAGTTACCCATTAGGGTTTGAGATGGGATAGATTAGAGGTTTCATATGCTTAATTTCTAGCTTATGGTCTTAATCTAGATTCTCTCTCTTTTGGATAGATCTTAAGGCTACATGACCACTACCCCTGGCTTGTAAGTCCTTAGGCGACTCCCCACACGAAAGTGATGGCATTCGCTGGAAAAGATCCACTAAGAGCTCCAATATCTCTTGCTCTAGAAATAGAGGTCTAAGGGGTTGGATGGATTAGTTTGGGCAATGATCCTATAGCCTCCAAGGTTTGATTCTCACTGGCTAACCCCCTGTTTCTGAGATCATTCCTTGGTTGATAGCCTCACCTTGGGAAAGGGTTGGCTAGGCATTGAGAAGCCCAATATCAAGGAAAGCATTGATAGCCTCCACTTCTTGGACTTCGTGTAGAAGTGGTCCAGGAAAGCTGCTCTAACTTGGTCCCATGAAGTCAGAGAACCAGGTGGTAATGACTTCAGCCAGCGAGATGCTTTGTTGGCAAGTGAGAACGGGAATAGCTTGCACTTCAGAAAGTCAGCCGGTACTCCATTCGAACCAGTCGTACTGCATATCTCCTCAAAGTTCTGGATATGGTCCGCAGGGATCTCAGCAGGAAGTCCATGGAAGATGTGATCCTTGACTAGTTTGATCATGCCTAGCTTGATCTCAAAGTCTTGCCTCTGGACGTTTGGAGGGACAATCGCAGACCGGTTTTGATAGAAGGTATGCGGATTGTCCTTGTCTCCAATAGCAGGACGAGGTTGCGGTTCTCGATCTTGTTGAGCCTTCCGCATCTGCTCGATCTGCTGCTGAAGCTGCTGCAACTGAGCAGCCATGTTCGGATTGCCGTTATCGCCCATGTCGGCTGGATTCGGCCTTCGTTGTCTATTTGCTGTTCTGCTCTTGCAAGTTCTGCGTTGGACAGGATGATAAGCTCTTCGTTGCGGTTGCTCCGTCGAGATCTAGTGATCATGCACCTGAAACATACGCAAGAAAACAAGAGAAAACAAGTTAGTAAATCTTAGACTAGATTTCAAATCAAGAATCAAAGGTAACGAATTGGTCCCCGTCGCAACGGCGCCAAATTTGATAAATTAGAAATAGTCATTTTCTCTACTGCAAATTAACAGTGATGAAGATTGTAATATAAAGGATTCGAAATCCAGAGGACCAGCGTTACACTGTGAAACTAGGAGATTTAAAACAGAGCTAAGACAAAGATGATTGGTTTTAGTAACAGGTAACGAATGTAAACGTTGATGTAATTCAATTAAACATGGACTAGACCAAGGCAATTCGCAGGGATACACAGTTAACAACCGAACAACTATTCAGGGCACAGATGACGAACAGGTCTCGAACTCAAACATGAAAATATGTCAATTCACTTTCGCGATAATAACAACTTTATCTAACAACCTAGATGTCTAAACTGTCGTTTGAATCTAGCAATTGATGACAAGCAGTAAACTCAGGTTCGATAAGTTCACGAATCGCCTCAGCATCAACTTTCGCAGGCTAAGGACGATTCGCTCACCACAGTTCGTTCTAACAACCTATAACACTTTTGATGAACAGGTAATCTGAGATCAGAGATCGAATGATCAGATCGATCTAAGCAGTAAGTGCAACAATGGCGAAGACAGTATTAAAGCCCTATCTGTATTCAGTCAATTAACACATGAATCCCTTTGAAAAGCCTAGATCTAGCAGGGTGACTACTCAGACATAACGAAACAGCAAACAATGACTGAAACTGAATTCATTGAAATCAAAATATGAAATAATAGAAAGAACAAGGGTTCAGAAATCTTCTCCAAACTGTGAATAACAATGGTTTGATCTCTTCTCCCTCAGAAACAATGAAAACAGTCTAAACTCTGAAAAACGGCGTAGCCTAAACAATGGCAAAGATAGGTCTAAATAGCTCCGGGGTCGACTTCGGTTCAATCCGGTTCGCTGTGGTTCGATCAAGTCGGTTTGCACCAAGTAGATCGAACGGCTGTGATATCATCTGACCGGGATTGATCGAACGGCTGAAACAGGGCAGAGATCGATCGAGCTGCATGGCATGGCGCGTGAGGTCGATCGACTCGTCTATGAGTGATGAGCTCGATCAAACCCCCTCCTGCTGTATGGGTTCGATCGAGCTTGTCGTCGTGTACAAGTTCGATCGATTCGCCTCCAGTACGAGCTCGATCGAACCCCATCCTGTTGTATGGGATCGATCGAGCTGTTGTTCGCGCATAGCTCCGTTTTGCCTGCTTTCGCATGTTGTTGGTCCATGTGACCAAAGCTCTCCCTGGAACGTCTTTAGACCTGAAAAGACTCGATAAAGACTAGAAAGACTCGATAAAACTCGTGAAAACAAGGGTTAGAATGCGTCAAATACGCAAGATATCAGTCTTTCATCCAGATGAGACGCCATATCGAAGAAGTAAACCTCTGTGTAACAATAACAGACCATGTCAACGGCGTGCCTGCTAAAGCCACATTTGATCCTCCAGCGGTTACTAAGGCAAGAGATACGGAAGATATACATTCATCTGAGGCCTCGGAGACAGAAGAAACCAACAATGACGAATGGCACCAGTTTGCTATGTCGGAGACGCCAATGACATTCCCATCTTTCGGAAACACTGAAGAGTGTCTTGCTCTTCAACTTCCGCACCAGTAGGTCGTCCCCAACATTCATGGTCATGAAGTGTGTTTCTTCCTCAAGCCGTTGGCGCATTTACGCAGTTGTCGTTGATAACACGGGTAATTTTCAAATACGCCAAACTACTTTGAAGCACACTTGCTCTGTTGACGCTACGAGAAATTACCACCGGCTAGCCACTACTCAGGTCATAGGCGAGTTAATGCAAAGTAAGTTTGTTGGCTTTAAGAGAGGTCCAACTCTAGCTGGAATAAGAAAAATAATGCTTGATGAGTTTCACGTTAATGTGTCATACTGGAAAGCATGGCGTGCTCGTGAAATAGCTATGGAAAAAGCACATGGTTCAATGGCTAGGTACATGGAGGACTTATTCCAGCTTATCTTGCTTTGTTACAAAACGCAAACCCTGGAACTATATGCTCTCTCGAAACTGTGACATCTTATTTTTGGCCGACCTTGGCAGTAGGATAGAAAGACCATGCATGATGGAAAACGCAATACTTATCATTTCTTGTTAGAAAACAGAACAATCACGTTACTTCCTAAGGATCCATCAATACCACAGCCATCACTTCCTATGACACCAAGCGAAGCTAAACCTCCGGTGTCTTTGTTCTGTTCTCGAGTGGCATTTGAAGAAGAACTACGCCAAACTGGTTTTGCCTTTTGATATCACCATATTTTACATGATTTTACTATATAACTATTTATGTTTTCAAACGGTTTTTGCAAGATTCTTTGCCTTTAGAGGTAGTTTTCTTGTATTTGTGGGATTTGAAGTCTTTGTAGGTGAAACCATCAAAAAGGATGCAAAAAGGAGTAAAAGAGCCCTAAATCAAGATCCATGCAAGTTTCCAAGTCAAGAAGATCATTTTATCTCCAAGTGTTAGTTCTCGCTAGCGCGCAGAACGAAGCTTCGGAAGTTTGGCCGCGCGCGGAGGAGTTCCCGACGTCCAAAAGTTACGATCTTGATATGGAAAGATAGATACTTGAGTCATGCATCACGTCGAAGTGGAATGAAGCCATTTGGATCAACTATGAGGCCGGAACTTATTTTCTACCGAGACATGTCCGGTAAGCGAGCAAACGAAGCCCATGGAGGATTTGGAGTGTCTAATGGCCCGAGCAGCAGCGCCAAAGGCCTTGATCGAATAGAGAAGAGGCCTGGCTAATGTTTGGAGCTTTCCTTGGTACAATGTCGGCCCATACACGACGTGGAGAAGAAGGCTCGGCTCATGGGAAACTTTCCTTTTCCGGCATGAAGAAAACCCTACGCGACTTCGCCCATATATACATGTTTTTAGCCGCTGAAGAAGAGAGGATCAGCGTGTGAGTTTGTGAGAAGAGAGTCAGAGAAGAGAGAGAGAGAAGCCCTAGGAGATCGTCCAAGAAGAAGGAGGCGCCGCTCAACTCTTGTTCTTTCTTTTTCATTGTTTCCATTTCTATAAACTTGATCTTAAGAGTTTTCAAGGGAGAATCCGACTTTGTTCATCAATAGAGAAGCTTTCTTCATCCCTTTATCTCTTTTAATACTTGCATAATGTTTACAATCATGCTTTGCTTGCTTGTTTGCATCATGGCCGAGTAGATCTCTTAGTTAGGCCGAGGAGATCTATGGTGGCCGTGATGATTTGATTGTGTTGCAACTTATTGGGATTTATCTTATGGATCTTCACCTTTACTTGAGCTTAATGCATGATTACTCTACCGTACATCTAGTAATCTGATCTTAGAGAAATAGAACCACGACAGTGCTGAATCTAGATCTCAAAACTAGTATTTGGTGAGCAATAGATCATAGCCAACGAAAGCTGAGTTATGGTTTATTGTGAACAATTGAATCTTGATCACCTTTAATGCATGTTTGCAATTCTAATAGCCAACGAAAGCTGAGTATATTAGGTTGTTTTAAACATAGTGGTTGGAGCCACGACAGTGGAAAGACCATACACTAGTGATTCATGTTCAAGACGGCTCTACACACATCCCATGCAACTATCTTTTCATCATTGCTCCATATGATTGTCCTTTGCCTAACTCTTGTTTTAAATTGTTTACAACCTCACTCACATTCTCTTTGTTTTGTTTCTCATTCTAGGTCCAAAACCATCCATATTGCGAGCTAGCTACAAACCAATCTCACAAGGTGTTAAGCGAGAACACTTCCTCCTCGTGTTCGACCCCGACTACAACACGGCTGTGCACTTGCAGCTCATTAGTTGGGTTTATAAATTGTGAAAATTTGAGGCAATCTAAACCCGCATCACCTTTGCAGTGATTACTGCACCAGCCTTGACGACATCTGTGAGTACTATAGCTACTCCTTTTGATAAGCTTTTAAAAGATTTCGATGATGTTTTTCCCGATGACTTACCTATTGAGCTCCCACCTCTTTGCAATATGCAACATCAAATTGATTTGGTTCCGGGAGCATATTTACCAAATAGACCTCACTATCGGATGAGCCCATAAGAGCACGATGAACTTCGCCGACATGTCGAAAGTCTTCTACATAAAGGACATGTGCGTGAGAGCCTTAGTCCTTGTGATGTGCCTGCATTTCTAATTACCAAGAAAGACAGCTTTTGTAGTTGAGGTATTAATTGGTACACCTAAAAAGTTGGGGTAGGGATTGGTGCCTATAATTCTAGTTTGGGTAGGAATCGGCCGTTTTCCCGCCGGGCTATTAACAAAATGCTACCATTTTCCAATACCGAGATTGGATGATCTTCTTGACCAGATTGGAGCCGCCTTCGTCTTTTCTAAGATTGATTTGAAAAGCGGATATCAGCAAATTTGCATCCGCCCCAAAGATGAATGGAAAACAACTTTCAAGACGCGAGAAGGGTTGTTTGAGTGGCTCGTAATGCCATTTGGTCATTGGTAAATATGTGGTGGTTTATTTTGATGATCCAAGGACATTCATGAGAGTTATGAATCAAGAATTAAGACCGTTCATTGGTAAATATGTGGTGGTTTATTTTGATGATATACTCATCTTTAGTACGTCATTGGAGACTCATTCATCTCACCTTCGAGAGGTTCTCCACGTTTTATGCAAGGAACGCTTGTTCGGAGCTCGACAAAAATGTCAATTTGGTACTGATCATGTCTTGTTTATAGCCTACATTTTTTCCCGTGAAGGTCTAGCTGTAGATTAATCTAAAGTTGCCGCTATGCAAGGAACGCTTGTTCGGAGCTGGACAAAAATGTCAATTTGGTACTGATCATGTCTTGTTTCTAGCCTACATTGTTTCCCGTGAAGGTCTAGCTGTAGATCAATCTAAAGTTGCCGCTATACAATCATGGCCGACTCCTAAGACGAGTACTGATGTTTGAAGCTTTCATGGGTTGGCATCGTTTTATAGAAGGTTTGTGTCTCCAAATTAGTAGCATCATGGCACCAATCACTAACTGTATGTGATGTGTCATGTTTTACCAAAATCTTTAGACCTCTGGAAGTGCACAGATCGTAAAAGTATGGGTCTCGAACACAAGGACTGGCTATTGAGTACACTTTGAAGATATAGATTTCGGATCAAGCTAAACCAATAGTATGGGTTTTTGAGGTTGTAATTGTAACTAAAACTAAACAAATTGATGAGGTTGTGAATTCAATGGGAAGAAAGCGCTAGGTCAATAGGGGCTAAGATCAAGATTCAATGATAGATAATATGATTTAGGGATATTGGGATGATAAAACCGTCAAGAACACAAAACATGAATATAAAACCTTTCCACTGTCGTGGCTGATATACCTCTATTTTACATTCTTTTTATACTATTTTAGTATGGTTTTCTAATGGTTTTAAGCAGTTTTCTCTCTAAAAAGGTAGCTTTATTGGATTTATAGGAGAAAGAGTCTAAGCAGGTTGAATGATGCATTTTGGAGGAAAACTACAAGATTTGGACTTCATCCCGCTCCATACCGAAGCATCAACTTTGAGAAGACCTTAAAAATAATCTACTCAATGCATTTCATCAAGACCACTTCGCCGCGTGCCCTGAGTTGAGTTAACTCTCCAACGCAAGTGGATTCGCATCATTTGGATGAGTAGAAACAGAGTTATGATCGTTTTAGTGAAGACTAGTCCAGACAGCCGGAACCGCGCAAGAAGTCACTCGCCGCCCAAGACCGCTGATGTACTCAATATTTTCATGCATTTAGCATCATATTCTGAATAGCTTTGTATATCTTTGAGTCCCATTTCATAACATTTAGTGTAGGATTTATCTTGTTAGAGATATTTAGCTTTTAGAATAGCATTTTGCTTTTCCATTGCATTTAGAGTGCAATTATCAGGAGATTGGAGCTAGAAGCTGATGGGAGCAGAAGGGGATGATGACTGGAGACAAGCCGGAGGTTAATCAGAGTTCAAAGGCGTCTTGAGGAATTTGGCGGAACAGAGTCTTGAGCACGAAAAACAGAGCACTTGAAGAGTTTGCTCAAGACACGTGCAGCTGCAAAGTCAAGGCTAAAAACGTTGACCAAGGCTCCTTCCTCTCACTTACTATATAAACCATAAAGACTTAATTTTTTAGGCAGCCTCTATCTTGTAATTTATTGTTCTTAGACAAAAAACCTTTTGAAACACATTTTTGCAAGATCCTTTGAAGAGATTTTGAATTTATAGATTTCTTTCATTGATCTTCTCTCAACTTGCTAATCATGTTTATCAACTTTCCTCTTTTTGGGTTTGTTGATTTAAGCATGATTAGTGAGTAGATCTTTTAGGGTTTAGGGATGGGTAAGATTTAGAGAGATTCAATGATTGATCTTGATGCTTAGGCTTAGATTGTTTGTATCTTTCTTGATTTAGTGATCCTAATGCTAGATTAGCTTTGAGAAAAGTGATTTAGATCAAAGGGCATTTCACACCCACAAGGTGTTTGATGAAATGTTTCAACCAACTAAATCAAGAGATTTATATTCTTAACTCATGAGAATGATTGTTTAAGAAGTTTATTGGCTTAATAGAACTTGTTTATAATGCTTGCTAAATTCGAATTTCACTAATGATGATTAGTCTTGAAATTTGTAATTAGCAAAGTGATTAATATCATGAGAATGGATTAGTCTTGTTTAAGAGTTCTATGCCTAAGGATTAGCTTTCTTTTGGTTGTTTTTGGTTGTTTGAGCATCATTGATTAGTCAAAGAGTCTCTCTAGTTCAATGACCACATCCTAAGACCCATTTGCCTATTTTCGTTTTTGTATTTGTCTCTTGATTTTGACTTCTTGTTTTAAATTTTATGTGTGATTATCACTTAGGTTGCTAGATAAAAACCCTCTTTGATTTGGCTTGGATTAAATAGTTTCTTGCATTCCTATTGTCTTAATCTTAACCCCTATGGATTGATACCTCAAATGCTACAATGACATGAGTAGTAGGCTTGAGTAATTGATAGCAAAAATCCTACTATCAATTTGGCGCCGTTGCCATTGGGGTTTAGCATTAAGCATTAGGATTTGGAATCCATTTAAGACTAAGCTTTTATTTTTCCTTGCTTGTTCATCTCTCTTGGAGATGATGAACTTTTTCTTTTTTGTTGTTACTAACTTATGTTCTCTTATTCTCTTATGCTTTCCAAGGTACCAAACTAAGAAGAAAAAAAATGGGAAGACAATATCATGTGAGGTGTTGGAGATGGACAGTCACCAGAGTGTTCCTCATGCTCCACAACCTCAAGACTTGGGACCAACTCCTGATCAAGCTCAAGTGGTCACGCCTACAATTGGAACTTGTGATGTTCCTCACTGTAATGGGCTTAGTTATGGAATCCATCCACCTCCCATTGAAGCCCACGCCTATGAGATCAAGCCAAGCTTGATAAGGTTGATTCAAAGCTCTAAGTTCTTGGGAAAAGGATTCGAGAATCCTTATGATCACTTGAACTACTTTAAGAGGTTGTGTGGTACATTTAGGCTTGCTGGTGTTCCTGAAGATAGTATCAAGCTCCTTTTGTTTCCATTTTCACTTGGAGAAAAGGCAAGCAAATGGGAAAGAGCTATACCATCTCATTTGGTCAAGTCTTGGGATGATTGCAAGAGGGTCTTTCTTTTAAAGTTCTATCCCACACAAAGAACCCACCAAATGAGGAGAAACATCTTGAACTTCCAACAAGACAGCCATGAGACCTTTCATGAGGCATGGGAAAGGTTGAGAGGATACACTAGGGATTGTCCACATCATGGGTTTACAAGAGAAGTTATACTTAGCCATTTCTATTGGGGAGTTGCTAAGGAGCAGAAATGGACATTGGATGTAGCTAGCCAAGGGAGTTTGCTAAACCTGACCATAGAGCAAGGAGAGCTACTGGTTGAAAAATTGGCCAAGAGTGAGGAAAGCTACAATGAAAGCCATGATGTAACCCCCAGAGAAAGTTCATATGAAGACTCCACGTGGACAGCTTTGCAAGATATGTTGGATAGACTAGAAAAGCTCCTAAATGTGCAAAACAGAGGAGTTTGTTTGGATCTTGAGCAGTGCCAAGAGGAAGCCAAATTCATGGTCAAGAATGGGATCTCCAACCAAGAGAGAATGCTCCTCAATAATTGGTATAACCATGGAGTTCAAGGAATCCAACAAAGCTACCAACAGAACCATGAGCCTTCTCAAGTTTCTAACAATGTTGCTGTTGAGGTTAATGAGGAAAAGATACCATTTGGTTTTGATGGACAAATTGGTGAACCCCAGCATGAAGAAGAGGCTAAGGACGTGGGCACAGCTCAAGAATATGGTTTGGAATCCATCCAGTGGGCTGATGAGGAAGAAAGTGTTCTTAAGGAAGAAAGTGTGCTTGAGGAGACCCAAGAGGATGCATTGGCTCCCAAAGGAAAATGTCTAAACTCTTTCTTCCTTCCTTCATTAGAAACTAAGGAGATTGTGAGTAATTTTGAGAGCAAGGATTTAGCTTCACACCCAAAAGCTTGTAAGAAGAAGAACCAATCTCATGAGGAAAATGGCTTGGATTATGGTAACATTGAAGAAGCTTTAGCATTGGATGGAGCTTGTTTGGAAATTCTTTTCTCTACCACATAAGTGAAAGAGGTTAAGAATATCAAGGAGAAAGAGGAGGTTAAAACCAAAGAGTCCAAAAAGCCATATGAATTCCACTTGACCAACCATGCTCCATCTTCTCACACTATGAGCTTACACCCTTTGAGGCACATAAATGGAACCATTGAGTACAAGGTGAAGTGCAAGGGTACTTCTAAGCCATTTTCACGTGTTAAAGCCATTCTCCATCCCAAGATGCTGGAAAACAACCATTGCAAGCTCCAAGAGCTACTCTCCACAATCCTCCTGGTCAACCTCACAAAGAGCACAAGTCTGGATTCATCAACTCATCTTGCCATCAGCAGATCAACAAGGATTTCTGCTACTCCTTCTCTCCAGTTCCCTAAGGACAAAGGCTAGGGCTAAGGTATGATCCTCTCTCCAATTCCATTGTACATATCACTCATCTCTTTCCTTTATTTTGATTGTCTTTTGCTTTGATTTCTCTTCTCTACCTTTTTATCACACAAGGGACTGTGTGAATTAAGTGTGGGGGAGAGGGTCAATGGTACTTGACGAAGTGTTTTGTGTTCTTATTTTCTTTTAGCATCATTGAGTCTCATGCATTTGCATCATATAGAAAATCATATAAAATTTTCAAAAATTGCATAAAAACTACAAAAACAGAGCATGTAGTTTAGGATCATTTAGCTTTGCATTTGAGCATTATTTGGTTGAGCAGATTGATTGAGTTGAGAAATTGATTCACTTCCCTAGTTCTAAATTGTTTGGCGCATGTGATTGAACTTGAAGTTAAGATAGAACCACACCAATAAAGAGCATCATGATCATCTTGGTAAAACCGAATGCATTGCTTTGATCTGAATCCACTCCTTGCTCAAGAGAACCTAAATTTGAATTTAAATTATCATGCTCATGCTGGTTAAGTCTGCTTGTGGATTATACATACTTGAATCATCTTAGCATAATGTTTATCCATCTTTGTTGATTCAAGTAGAACTCCTCTCCCTTGACCAATCCTTTCCTTCAAGCCAAATGCTATTTTTGTGTGTTGTGAGGCCTCTTGGTGAATTCTTGGCATAAAGTGTTAGGTCTTGAACCGACAAGGATAGGTGATCATGTAGACTATAGTCCACGCCTTTTTGGACTAGACTAGGCTAGGATGGGGTTTGGGAACTCATCTTGGGTTGGGGTCTTGAGGAAGAAAAAGAAAGTCTTGAGCAGAGAGAGAGGCAGCAAGAGTGAAAGAGGTTATAAGGGCTTGGTCTTAGTGTGTATAAGTGTAGCCCCCATCTAAAAAAAAAGAAGAAGAAAGAAAACAGAAAAGAAAAAAAAAATGAGTAAAAGAAAGATGGGTTGGGACAGAAAAGAAAAGATCTAGACCAAGTCTTGTGAGTAAAATTAAAAGCTCAGGAAAATTCGTCTTAGCTATCCAAGCGAAAATCTCTAAAAGAAAGTAAGAAAAAGAAAGTCAAAAACCAAAGAGAAAAGGGTAGAAATAGGAGGGCTTTGAGTTGTTCTTCATTTGGGGTCTGGGATTCAGTTGAGGTGCAAAGGGTAGATGGTCATTTATCCTTGTACACATCAGTTGGTTCTAGCCTTTAGCATTATGTCAAAGCTCTTTCACATTATTTTGAGAGAACCCCTTTTCCTGATCTTGATTGACTTGAGCGCATATTATTCATACTTGCTCATTCTTTTCTCAGCCAAACAAGCATCCTTGACCTGCATGAGTTTTGATCCATGGTTACATGTTTTTAATGAATGTTAAAAGGAGTGGAGGATTTGAATGCATGTTTAGGTTGAGCTAGATCTTATTGATTGCAATTGAAGGGTGTGGCTAAGATTTTTGAAGTAGAGCATTTCACTTGCGTTTTAGACCTTGGAACTAGGTTGTCTTGATTTCTCTTCTCTGCATTCGCTTGACCAATTTGCTCAAGTCGGCATCTCTTCATTTTATTTTCTGTTTGCTTGAGGGCAAGCAAAGAGTCCCATTCCATAACATGTAGTGTAGGATTTATCTTGTTAGAGAAATTTAGCTTTTAGAATAGCATTTTGCATTTCCATTGCATTTAGAGTACATTTATCAGGAGATTGGAGCTAGAAGCTGATGGGAGCAGAAGGGGATGATGACTGGAGACAAGCCGGAGGTTAATCAGAGTTCAAAGGCGTCTTGAGGAATTTGGCGGAACAGAGTCTTGAGCACGAAAAACAGAGCACTTGAGGAGTTTGCTCAAGACACGTGCTGCTGCAAAGTCAAGGCTAAAAACGTTGACCAAGGCTCCTTCCTCTCACTTACTATATAAACCATAAAGACCTGATTTTTTAGGCAGCCTCTATCTTGTAATTTATTGTTCTTAGACAAAAACACCTTTTGAAACACATTTTTGCAAGATCCTTTGAAGAGATTTTGAATTTATAGATTTCTTTCATTGATCTTAGTTCTCTCAACTTGCTAATCATGTTTATCAACTTCCCTCTTTTTGGGTTTGTTGATTTAAGCATGATTAGTGAGTAGATCACCCAGAGCTGAAGGTGATACTTGATGATGGAAACTACACGTACTGGAAGGCAAGGACGAGAGCAAATATTCAATGTATTGATGAGGCCGCCTGGTACTTGACTGAGCATGGATGGAAACCACCTACAGTCACGATTGAAGGAGTAACTACAGCCGTGCCTCGAGAACGCTGGACTACAGCCCAACGTGATGATTACAAGTTCAATGCTAGAGCACTGGCACAGATCAATGGTAGTTGCTCAAAGAAACAGTTTGAGCTGATTCAGGGCTGTACTAGTCAAAGGAGGCGTGGGATATCCTCCAGATCCACTTTGAAGGGACAAGTCAAGTTCAAAGCTCAAGGAAGGATCTATTGGCAACTAAGTTTGAGAATATGAGGATGGAGGAACATGAGTCAATTGCTGACTTTAGCTCGAAACTTAGCTCACTCGTTCAGGAGTCTCGTACCCTGGGAAAGGTATACAAGGATGCTAAGTTAGTGAAGAAACTTCTTCGGTGTCTTCCAGACAAATTCACAGCATACAAGGCTGGACTAAGTGCAAACCCTATCTTTGGGACGATCTCCTACGACGAGATGGTGGGAAAACTGCAGCTACACGAACTGGAACTAGGAGGTGTCAAAAAGGCTAAGGGTATTGCACTCATATCAACGGAGAAACAGTGGAAGAAGAGCCTGAAGAAGACAGTATCAGTCTCTTGGTACGTCGCTTTGACAGAGTCTGAAGAAGTATGAAACTGGAAAAACAGCCTCGTGTCAACAATGGAAGGAAGCCTATGACAAGAACGAGGGGACGAGTAAAACCGAGTCACAGTGTCATGAATGCAAGGGATATGGACACTTCAAGACCGACTGCCCCACTGTCAAGAGGAGAAGCATTACTTGCTACAAGTGCAAAGGAATAGGTCATACACAACAAGAATGTGAGTATGATGAGAAGATGGGGAAGTCGATGATGGGCGTTGCTGATGAAGATTCTGAAGGAGAGTCTGAAGATGAGGAAGAAGTCAGTAACTTTGTCGCATTTGCTGGAATTGCTGAAATAGAAGATACAAAGATCTCTGAATCTGACCAAGAGGATACTCACAGATGATGAATCTGAAGTTGATATCCATGAAAGCTATAAGGAAGTTCGAAATGCCTTGGTAGAAGTTGGGAAGGAAAACATTGAGCTCAAGAAGGAGAATACTCGTCTTACTGCACGAGTTGACGAACTTCAGAAAGCACTTCAAGCCGAGAAGGATCTCAACATGGATAATCTTAACATCGTGCTTGAAAAGATGGATGCAGTTAAACGAGCAGACGACATTACCAAGGAGTACTTTCTGGAAAAGGAGAATTCCAGAAATCTACAAGCTGAATTGGATCAACACAGAAAGCAACTCAAGATGCTGACTGGTACTAAGGAACTCGACAAGATTCTGAGCATTGGCCGTGTAGGGAAGTCAAATCTTGGTCTAGGATACACACCAGCAGTGTTACAACTGGCAAGAATGTCAAGTTTGTTCTGGAGGGTTGGCTCAGGATGTCCATCAAGCAGATACTAAGACACCAGCTCAGAAACTTGATTCCATTCTCAAAACTGGGAATCGAGGGAAGAGCACCATGGGACTGGGATATGATCTTCTCCAACTCGCAATCCGAAAGGATTTCAGAGTCCAAGAGGAAAACATCAAGGAAAGGAGTGCTATTTCTGTGGGTCCTTAGGACATATCAGGGCTTTCTGCAACAAGTACTGGGCTAGAGTCGACTATGCATGGAAACGAGGACGCTATCATTGGAATCGTCATCTAAACCAGTTCTTCATCAGAAAATCGGATCTATATCAGAATCCTGCCCGACGTACATCAACTGGTGGTTCAAGACAGCGTGTCTACTCCAACATGGCCTTACTTGAAGAAATCGACGAAGCGACAACACTGGACCATGGTACTTCGATAGTGGATGCTCCAGACACATGACAGGAGTCAAAGAAAATCTTCAAGAAGTGAAGAAGCTAAAAGGAGGGAAGGTCACTTTTGGATGTGGAACCAAAGGAATGATTCAAGGCAAGGGACGAACCTCTGATGAGCAACCACAGCTTATGAACGTCTATCTCGTCAAGGTCTAAAGTCAAACCTGATCAGTGTCAGCCAGCTTTGTGATGAAGGTTTAACGGTCTGGTTTAACAAATAGAGTGCAAAGCCATTGACTCTGACGGAAAGACAGTCTACGAGGAGTTCGTTCAGGCAACAACTGCTACATGTGGGATCAATCTGCAAGTGCCTAAGTGTCCGAGATGATGTTGAACTATGGCACAAACGATTGGGTCACATGAATGTTCGACATCTCACCGACTTGGTGAATAAGGAGATTGTTCGTGGTGTTCCGAAGCTGAAGGGAACTGAGAAACTTGTATGTGGTCCTTGCAATCAAGGAAAGCAAATCAAGGTCCAGCACAAGAAGGTGGCAGATGTACAATCCAAGACTGTTTTGGACTTAGTACACATGGATTTGATGGGACCAATGCAAGTGGAGAGCATTGGAGGAAAGCGCTATGTCTTTGTTCTAGTGGATGATTACTCGCGATACACTTGGGTCCGCTTCATTCGTGACAAATCTGACACCATGGCGAGTTTCAAGATTTGGGCTCTTCAAGTTATCACTGAGAAAGGAAGCCTCAAGCGCATACGCAGTGATCATGGGGGAGAATTTCAGAATGAGGTCATGACTAAGTTCTGCAATGAACAAGGCATAGCTCACCAATTTTCGGCACCTAGAACACCACAGATGAATGGAGTAGTGGAGCGAAAGAACAGAACACTTCAAGAAATGGCGAGCAATGATCCATGGAGGAAACATTCCTGTGAAGTTTTGGGCTGAAGCAATCAACACCGCATGCTACATCATCAACCGTGTTCTACATGAGAAAGGCTTTACTCAAAACTCCTTATGAGTTGTGGAAAGGAAAGACACCTAACTTAAGTTACTTTCGTGTCTTTGGATGCAGGTGTTTCATTCTGAATGACAAGGATCAACTTGGAAAGTTCGACTCAAGGAGTGATGAAGGCATATTTCTGGGTTATTCAGGCAATAGTTCAGCTACAGAGTCTTCAATCTTCGGTCCAAGATGATTATGGAGTCGGTCAATGTTGTTTTGATGATCGATCAATTGCGGCCATGGGAGACTCTCCAATGTTTCATGAACCAGAAGTCAGCGAAGCAGAAACAGAAGCAGAGGAGGTTCGTGAAGAAGAAGAAAAGGTTCATGAGGAAGTCTCTGACACAGCTCCTGATGTAGGTCTCCCACTGACACAAGTTCACAGAAACCATTCCTCGAACGATCTGATTGGAGACATCACTGAGCCACGAAGGACGAGAGGAATCAAGATGAACTATAAGCAGATGGTCAGCATGGCAATTATCCAATTTGAATGCTTTGTCTCTGCCATAGACCACGAAATCATCGTGAAGCACTGGAAGATGCAGATTGGATCATCTCCATGGAAGAGGAACTAGAGGAGTTCGTGAGAAACGATGTATGGGAGTTAGTGCCACTACCTGATGGTGTGAATGTGGTCGGTACAAAGTGGATCTTCAAGAACAAGACAGATGATGCTGGAAGCATTGTACGAAACAAGTCAAGACTTGTTGCGCAAGGTTACTCACAAGTTGAAGGAGTCGACTTTGATGAAACCTTTGCCCCTGTAGCTCGTCTTGAGTCTATCAGACTGTTTCTAGGGATGGCATGCATATTGAACTTCAAGGTGTATCAGATGGATGTGAAGAGTGCTTTCTTGAATGGCATTCTACAAGAGGAAGTATATGTAGCCAACCGAAGGGTTTGAAGATCCTACACATCCTGAGTATGTGTATAAGCTCAAGAAAGCTCTCTACGGACTGAAACAGGCTCCAAGAGCTTGGTATGAGCACCTGACGAAGTTTCTGATTGACACAGGCTACGTCAGAGGAACTGTGGACAAAACTTGTTCACACTTGAGAAGAAGAATGAGATGATGATGGTGCAGATCTATGTAGATGATATCATCTTTGGAGGAACTTCAGAGAAGCTGGTGGAAAACTTTGTGAAGAGTATGACTAAGGAGTTCAAGATGAGCATGGTGGGAGATTGAAGTACTTTCTTGGACTTCAAGTGAATCAGACTGAGAAAGGAATTTTTATTTCTCAAAGCACCTATGCCAAGAATCTACTGGTGAAGTTTGGTCTTGACAAATGCAAGGAGGCAAGAACACCAATGAGCACCACGACAAAGATTGGAAAGGATGAACAAGGAGAAGACGTTGATGTGAAGCTTACAGAGGAATGATTGGAAGCTTGCTTTACCTTACAGCAAGTCGACCTGACTTAAGCTTCAGCGTTGGAGTTTGTGCCCGCTATCAGGCCAAACCAAAACAGTCCCATCTTCAAGCGGTGAAGAAGATCTTGAGGTATGTCAAGGGAACTGTCAATCTGGGGATCTTTTACTCCAAAGGATCCAACAGAAATCTTGCTGGATATTGTGACGCCGATTGGGCAGGATGCGCAGATGATCGGAAAAGCACAAGTGGAGGTTGTTTCTTCCTTGGGAACAATCTTATTGCTTGGCTTAGCAAGAAGCAGAATTCTGTGTCACTATCTACTGCAGAGGCTGAGTACATTGCATTGGGAAGCTGCTGCACACAGCTTATATGGATGAGACAGATGTCAGCCGATTATGGGATGGAGTCTGGACCCTTCTTGGTCTACTGTGACAACAAAAGCGCCATTGACATATCAAAGAATCCGGTGCAGCACTCAAGGACTAAGCACATTGACATAAGACACCACTTTGTTCGTGAATTGGTGGAAGAAAAACAGGTAGTACTTGAACATGTTGTCACAGATTTACAGCTCGCTGATTTATTCACAAAACCATTGGACTTTAACCGTTTTGTCACCTTAAGAAATTCCATTGGAATTTGCACAAGTGGTTTTGAATGATGCAGGGGCTGATACAGGCACTGGCTCGGGGTGTATAACAAGTTCAGATTTTGTTTGGAGTCAAAGGTGCCAATGAGGATCAGCTACTTTGTCATGCCGTCATGTCACCTCAACATAAGAAAAGTGAAAAGTAAGTGATTCTAAAAGCATGTTCAAGGTCAAAAAGCAGCTGAGCCAACTCCAAATGAATGCAATATGATGGAGATGGCTTGCTGCTTCAAGAACCAAAAAGTGATTCAATGAGCATAACAGGAAATGTGATGAACTGACAACAATAGCTCACAAGGCTAAGTTGGTTCATGTGATTTCTCGAAAGACAATGTTTCACAAGAACAAAGTCTGACGATAGAAATAAGAGCTTAATTGGAAAGGGGATGGATTGACAACAATAGCTCACAAGGCTAAGTTGGTCCATGAGCTTTCTCGAAGGGTAATGTTTCACAAGAACAACATCCAACGACAGAGAATGATCACATGTTCTGCCTTGAACAAAATAAAGAGTTTCACTTTGCACATCATTGGAATTAGAGGTGGTGATATGATCTGGGTATGACAAAGTGAAAGCTGCAGGTTGGAATCAGGATGGCCAAGCGCTATGAATCTGTTGAGAATTTGTAATACATCCTGATGCAAGTGCCGACTCAGTCAATGTCTCCTTCACTAAAATGAAAGGTATTTAATTTGAGATAAACTGAGTAAAAATGTTTTTAAGCTGAAAAGATGTGACACATGGGATGGTATTGCTTGTTTGGATTCTACTTTGAATCGAATTTTATGTGGATGTCACAATTTTATCCTAAGTGTTGTACTGCTGATATTGGTGCTGAATGTTGCAGGAAGTCAAGCAGGAGCTCTGGATTTCTAAACCAATTAATCCGGCTGATTTATGTTTTAATTCCTAATCGGTTTGGTTTAAGTGGTTTCTCGATGCAGTGAGATATAAAAGGGAAAAAGAAGCGAAAAAGGAAAGTCAAAGGTCTTCGATTCGAAAACCCTAATTTTTCCCAAATCGATTGAAGGAGTCAATCTTGATTCAATGGTGACCGCGACTAGACGAGGCTTAATCCGTCCAAGTCAAGACCGATCCGAGACACATCGACGGATCCGCCTCTACGCCGGTCCAAATCGACGAACCAACCCCCAAACGACGATTCAAGATCCACCACCGCCGATTATCACGATGATCGACGAAGCCGTCAATGGAGGAGCTGTACCATCCATGGAGATGGTTCTCTTTGAAGGAGTAGTCGAGGCCGAGTCTTTCGCTACGGCGGAAGATGAACCGATGGCGGATGAAGAAGCCACGGCGGAGAAACCCGAGGAGCCGGAGATTCCTCGAGAATGCACAGACGACGGCGCCGATCCCAAACTGCCGAAACCCTAGCTCCACCCAACGACGGAGCACTGAAGCAGCGGTCACTACACCGCCGGAGACGAGCTCAACGCCGCCGCAACCAGATGACGGAGCCCGACGCTTCGATTCCTCCGAGAGATCCAACTCCGTCGCTTCTCGATCTCACGACGACGAGATCCTGACAAACTTCCCGGCACCTTTCGATCTGAGCAGAAGGAGCCACGCCTGATTCCCCCTGCTCCATCCGAGATCCCTCACCGGCGCTCAATCGAACTCGATATGCTCTCTCGGATGAAGAGCCAAGCGATAATGAGGCCATCTTGTGCCCCGGAAAGCGAAAATTCTCAAAGAACCGGACTTCCGCCGTCGAAGAAGTGAAGGAGAAGGTACATGCATCGCCTTCATCTCCAAAGCCAAGCTCAAAGACTCGATCTACTCCGGTGAAGAAAGCTCCGGCTCGAGCTAGTTCACGAGCTAAAGGCAAGGGAAAGCAAACCGGGCTCCAAACCAAGAAGAACCATCTTTGGACAGGTTTGTGATCTTTAGCTCTCGTGGAATCATTGATGAGCGAATTGTGGATCTTAAGCTGAAGCTAAGTGGGGATATCCTGATATTATCATCAAAGGAGGGTTTAGGTCTACGGTTGAGGGTTTAGGAAGCTATGTTAGGTCGCAGATTGTTGAGTTCTATGCTCGTTGCCTCAACCAGGAGATGATAGTGTTAGGTGATGATTAGAGGCAGGAGTATGAGTTCTCACCCACGATTGTCAACGAGTTTCTCAACTTGCAGCCTCTAGTGAAGAAGAGAAGAAGCTTGAAGCAGATGCAGACTCTGTCAGTCTGCAGACATTGGCTCAGCTGTTCACTGCGAATGAGAAGGCTGAGTGGTCTGAGATCTACTCGATTGGGATGAGTCCGTGTTATGCATCCTTGGTCATTGTAGCGTCTCACAATTGGATGCCTTCGAACTCATAGCAACCATGTGTCTGAGCCGCGAGCTAAGCTTATCTACAAGCTATCCAGGAGTCGAGTTGATTTTGGTCAGTTGGTGTATGATCAAGTGATGGGGATGAGCAAAATCCAACACAAAGACTCTCGTTGGTTGATCTTTCCAAGGATCATCTATGGATCATTCAGATGCAAGCGCCTCTCCCTCTCCTTGATGATGATGTCCTCATTCGTCCTCTTCACTATCAAAAGGATAAGCGCTCTGGGAAGGAGTACATCAAGAGAGAAGATGAGAAGAAGAAGAAGATGAAGCAAGAGCAATCTTCCTCATCTCAGGTCAGACCTCCAGCAGCAGCTCCATCAGAGCTACATCAGAGGCCTACATCACTGTGGATCTTGGCTCTGTCCGCTTCCCAACTCCACCGATTCACCGCAGCTGCGATTCAGGCACTCGGCGACATCGTCTACACTCTCCAGACCTTCACGGAGACAGTTCAGGGCTTCTCGCCAACCTCCAAGGTAAGTTGAAACTCTGCACAATCTTGTTCCATATGATTTACATCTTGTGTTTTTAACTTGTGTGGTCTCACAAGCAGGGGGAGAACAGGATGAACCAGGGGACGAAAACTAGGACTTATGCTAGAATTGTGGGGGAGCAAAGCTTTTGTTTTTTTTTGCTCTGTTTTAAGTAGTTTTCGGTTCTAGAATTCTGGGGGAGTTGAGAGTTTTTGCTTTGGATCTAACTCTTTTGTTTTTGGATGTTTAAACTCATAACTCTCATGTTCTGAATGATTTGAATATTTTGAATGTCTAATGATGAAGTATTCAGAACATCCCTGTTTTCTGGTTATCTCTGGTATGTGCATTGTGGATTTGAGTTTTACAGGTGCTTGTAAGACACAAAGCTAAAAAGGGGGAGATTGAAGATGCAACTGGTTTGACGCAGATCGTGAATCAGTCAGGAAGTGCATCAGGACGTATGGACGGACATGTAGCGGAGCTAAGCGGAGCTTAACGGAGCTAAAGGATTGATGCTGAGCTGGATGCGAGCTTGTAGCGGTTAAGGACGAATCCAGAAGAGGCGGTAGCTGAGCTGGATGAGGAGATTTGGAATTATCAAGACAAAAGGGAATATTTCCTATTCTTAGAGAAAAATAAGGAAAGGAAATATTCCTTGGAGATTTGGAGTAATCACCAAGACACAAACCTTGTAGGGTTTGGCGGTTCGTCTATTGAGGATAAATAGAGGACCTTGGCTGCTTGGAAGCGGCTATCACAAATATTGAGAGCTTTAGACTTTGGGTTTAGATCATCTTGTAAGAGAGCTAGGACAAAGGGTTAGGGCTTGAGAGGTTCGAAGATCGTGGATAGATCTGAGAACAGAGTGTTACTAGAGCAATCAAATCGTGGATAGATTGTGGTTGTCAATTCGTTTAAGCAATACTTGTAAGTTACACTTAAAGAATTTCTAGTAATATATTTCTTTGTAGAGAAATCCCTTGTGCCAATTTGTGATCTTCTTCCATATCAATAGCCCCTGGTTTTTCAGATCTTTTAGGGTTTAGAGATGGGTAAGATTTAGAGAGATTCAATGATTGATCTTGATGCTTAGGCTTAGATTGCTTGTATCCTTTCTTGATTTAGTGATCCTAATGCTAGATTAGCTTTGAGAAAAGTGATTTAGATCAAAGGGCATTTCACACCCACAAGGTGTTTGATGAAATGTTTCAACCAACTAAATCAAGAGATTTATATTCTTAACTCATGAGAATGATTGTTTAAGAAGTTTATTGGCTTGATAGAACTTGTTTATAATGCTTGCTAAATTCGAATATCACTAATGATGATTAGTCTTGAAATTTGTAATTAGCAAAATGATTAATATCATGAGAATGGATTAGTCTTGTTTAAGAGTTCTATGCCTAAGGATTAGCTTTCTTTTGGTTGTTTTTGGTTGTTTGAGCATCATTGATTAGTCAAAGAGTCTCTCTAGTTCAATGACCACATCCTAAGACCCATTTGCCTATTTTCGTTTTTGTATTTGTCTCTTGATTTTGACTTCTTGTTTTAAGTTTTATGTGTGATTATCACTTAGGTTGCTAGATAAAAACCCCTCTTTGATTTGGCTTGGATTAAATAGTTTCTTGCATTCCTATTGTCTTAATCTTAACCCCTATGGATTGATACCTCAAATGCTACAATGACATGAGTAGTAGATTTGAGTAATTGATAGCAAAAATCCTACTATCAACCGCGCACATCGGCCGATCGAAGAACCATCATCCCAAGGTCGACCCACGCAGCGCACCATCACTCATCTAGTATTATGCGCGGCCGAGCACACAAACTGAACCAGGAGGCGAAGTCCCGCACTCAACCTGCCTGTTTTCCACAGTCCATAGACCACGCACGACAGCACTGTCCGACCAGAGGAACATCGTCCCGCATCCGGCCCGAACGTTCAACCAAACTTATCCACCCGGCCGACCCCGATGACCGAACGTACAATCATCCGGCCATGATCGTTCCGACCGTACCGAAGCCCGATCATGACCCGATAGCCGGCTGAACGTCCCGACCGACCGTCCGAACGGTCTGGTCGACCTAAGCCCATTTTTTAAGCTTGTTTCATGCGTTTTCACGGTCCAACTAAACCTAATGCTGCCTCCAAAGACCTAGCACTATAAACACAACTTTTTAGCCTCTTGAGAAAGAGAGCCGCATATTGTATCACTTTTTACACTTAGAGTTTTGTTTTAGAGATTTCAAGGAGATGATCTCTCCTCCTTACTTCAATTTGGAGAAGTTTTCTAAACCTTTATCTATCTATGATAGTTTTCTTTATCTCTTTGCGTTATTGCCTTGATCATGTCCGAGTAATCCACTAGTTAGGTTGCTAGGGTTACTAATCAATGAGTTGCTTGGATGATCAATGATTTCGATGATTAACTAGGGATTTCTTTAGAGTCTTTTTCTCGTCTTGTTCACTTAATTAATGTTGATTACTTTACCGCGCATCTACTAATCCGAACTTAGGTTGATTTGAGCCACGACAGTGCTGTATCATTCGCCGGACATATTCTTTGACAAGCTAGGTTTCTTAGACTGCGGCAGTTGATTTACTTAACCTAGTGAACTGAATCGGAACTTGCTCGATCTAATGCTTGAATAACCATCAAAGGACATACCAAAAGTTTAGCGATTAGATAGGTTATCATAGGAGCCGGAGCCACAACAGTGTAAATGTTTTATATTCGGGTTATGTGTTCTAGACGGTTTTATCATCCCAATATCCCTAAATCATATCATTTGTTGTCCCTTTTGAAGTAATAACCCCCTTTCTTCTCTCCTTCTTCCTTATCTTATTTTCTCATTCCTACACAACAGAGAGTTGTTCATCAGACCAGTGGCATATTCTTAGAGTCTTTGAATCATTCGAAATTTGATTTGGATCAAGAAAAGTTACCTTCTCATTCTTCTGCTTTCTTTTGCCTTCTCCTCTCTCATTGCCTCTTTCACTTTCGCAATCTCCTCAACCGATGCTGCTCCTTTAATTTTGCAGCTTTCTTTTGTTTTCTCTGCTCCTCTTTTTTCTTAATCTACTCCTCTTCCTTGGCAATTGGTGGAGGCTTAGTTGGCTGACTCTTCTGCTCCGCGGGTTTTGCAACAGCCTAACCATTGTTTTCAACTTTTGAACCTTCATGTTTTACGACTTTCTCTTCTTGTGCTAAAAGTGGTGGACCTGTCTGAAGCTTCGCTGCTCTCAATTAAAGTTCGAAGTTTGTCTGTTCTTGTAGCATAATTGATCCGAGGTGGTTCCTCGTCAGAGCCAAGGGATCGTCCATCTAGGGTTTCCTAATGTAGTCCTGTGTTGCATCTTACATGGTAGCTACAGAACTCATCGTCACTATTCAACTTATGTATGAAGTTCGCCACCTGTTAAAAGACTATAATGAGTGCCAAACCGACATATAGGGGTTAAAACTATTGTTGAAAATTTGGCTTTTGCTTACATACCTGGTCAGAACAAAGGCTTTGCAGGGATGCTGTCTTTCTTCAAAGCCATCTCACTCGCTCCCTTGAATCATCTCTATACTTAAAGAAATAGTTGTTCTGCAATACGGGAAAAAATAGTAAAAAATGAAGGACCATTCTAAACATAAACAGATGCAAATATTTTTAAGTTTATGTGCGGTTCCAGATGATCTTTGGGTACCTTTCGTCGTTGTTGTTTCTTAAAATCATGTAGGTGCGCAAACGCTTCCTGGCGAACAGCATCAGTAGCTCTCAACTGTTCTTACAGTTTACTCTGCACTTCCCACTTCTCATTACACTTTGTTTAGCAGCTTTTGTGATTGATTCACACTAAGTTTGTGATTTGAAATCATCCAAAAAATCTTCCTAAAGTCAATGTCAGTGTCTTCCCTCTCTTTTCTTTCCGTTACCTAAACACAAAGAAAGAGAACCATAGAAAATAATTAATCACACAGAATCACCTCAATACATGTAGGATAACTACATGATACGAAATCAAGTTACCGACACCATCTATCGCTTATCTAAAATATATGGATTATATGCGTCTAGCTCAATTCTCTTGAAACACATTCAGTTTCCCTCTCCATTATCTATTCTGGACACATAGATTTACTATTAATCTTCTATTGTTGGTGAAAAGTTCAGTGAAAGCCTCAGAATTTGGTACTGGTAATAGTCCCTTTCTCTACCAAACAGAGACGTTGACTTACCCATATCAAGTCATAGAGATTGAGCTTCGATGTTCTTGGAGTACATGGATTATTCGATTGAACCGCCTCTCACCGTTATCTCTTGTAGCTCGGGTCTGTCTAGAGTTTTTGACATGACACATACTTTTCCCAAGGAAATTAGTCATAAACTGGTATACCTACAACAAATGCACAGCAGAGATGTTGGAAAGTTATATTAAAATATGCTTCAAAGAATAACAAAACTTCAAGCAAAGTGTTAGAGTGAATGAAGGATATAAGGAGTTGGTACATGAATCCAAGAGAGATATTAACTTATGCAAGCCCAAAATTAGTAACATCATATTTTAGAGAAGCCGTTTGATCTGCGATCGTAAGGCAACGTGTCCTCTAACTAACTCGAAGGATAACTACTTAAACCAAAACGAAAAGAATTGCTGAATGATGGGGCCTCGTAATTGCTTAAGGTACAGAGTCTCAGTAGCATTATAGGAACTATACCACAGTGTATTTGAAAATGGAAGGGGCGCATATTACCTCTGGGTCAAGGAGGAGAAGTTCAAAACCCATGAGGATGTTCCCTTTCTTAAAGTTGCGAGCTTCCCAAAAATGAATGAGCCGCACCAATACCGGGTCATTGCAAAATTGACCCTCAATTTGCTCGAGAATCTTGAAAGTCGGTGTGGCAACAGCAGTGGAGAAAGCATTGGATGCAGGTGAGGCGACAGCGGCAGAGGAAGCGGCGAAGGGATCAGCGGAGGGAGCATTGGATGCCATTTTAGCTTTTGGATTTGCTCTGATGTGGAAGAGGGTGGATGTTCTCTGAAAATCGCATATCCCCTGGTTTTATAGTGGCGTATTGGCGGTGCCATTAACAACCATTGATGTCGGGGCATTGAAGAAGAAGCCGTTTCACGGTGTAATGCCAATCGATTAAGATAGGAGACGAATCGATTCGACATTGCTGCTACGACGGAGAAGACGACATCTCTGTCGTCGTTTAACTGGTTTTCATTTTTTTTATTGCAGATGGGCTTATATACATATAATGGGCTTCTAAAGATTATATGTGGTTTATGCGAAGGTGGCAGTTTTTTAAAATGGAGGTGACGTGGCAGCGTGTGGGAAAGAAGGCAAAAATGCTGACGTGGACACACTATAAGACCCAGACAGCTCCTATAATATACTAGATTTTGACCCGCGCTCCGCTGCGGTGATATTTTGTTGCTCTTTTTATAACTTAAATTTTACTTTGGACACTAATGATCATAATTAAAACTAAAAGTCAGAAAAATGTAGTATCTTTTGAAAACAGTTATTTTATGTTTATGAATTATTGTTATTAATTTATTAGTACACAATAGATTTGAAGTACCCTTTCAACATTTATTTGTCACTATCTCCTCCGAAGCTGGCCTTTTAGATGCACAAACCCACTTAAGACCACATGCCGCATGAAACAATCATGCACCGAAAACGAATTGTCGAATTCTATCTTAAAGCCAAATTTGTTCAATCAAGAATAAGTCAATTTAATTTTATCAGCCAATTCAATTTAATTTTATCAGCCAAATTTGTTTCTACAAGTCATGCCACATGTCAAAAACATTTTTAATCGAATTCGTCAAACATTCCTTCTACATTTACTATTGGTGAAATTATTTGTAGGTTTCAAATACTATGTAGTCAGTGTTGGATTTACATTATGGAATCCAAATTGAGAAAATATGTGTATTTTGTGTATGATCCAAGATCACAAATATTAATATATATATATATATTATATATATATAACGTTCATGTGATTCTCTTCTCAAGATGTCACCTCAGCAAAAGAGGGTGTCTCTAAATTCATCATTTCAGCACAAACATTTAATATATCATATTTTCTCTTTTTAATATTTTTGTAATAGTTATCATTCATTAAATATGTTTAACAAGAATATGAACAGTCATTTACAAAATGGAGAAAGATTTTATATAAATCTACAAAAAATATTATTTAATAATAATAATAAAAATAAAAATATATTATACAAAAAACAGTGTTTTTTCTATAGTATTTTTAAATGAAAAGAGACGAGATTGAATATGACCAGACGAAAAATAGAGAATCGGAAAATAGATGAATTTTGTTTACTTCTTATGATATTAAGTGACGAGATGAGATCTAAAGGAACGGAAAAGAACGGAATAGGACAAGACGGAAATTTCGCCTACCTCTAATTATATTTAGGGGTGGAATGGAAAAAACGAAAAAAAATATGATGAGAGAGGACAAGACAGAAATGTTAGACGGGACAAAATGAAAAGAAATGGAATGTGACGGAATTTTTCCTACCCCTAATTATATTTAGAGACGAGACAGAGATAAAACAAAATGAAAATGAGCATAAAATATGATGGGACTGGATGGAGCGGACAGAACAAACAGGATAGGAAAGAACATGACAAGATGAAAAGGAACAAAATGAGATAGAATTATGTCTACCCCTAATTATATTTAGGGAGCGAGACAATAATGAACAAAATGGAAATAATCATAATGGGATAGGATAAGACTGAACGGGACGGTACATACAGGACGAACGGGACGGGAAAAAACGTACATGATGAAAATGAACGAAATGGGATGAGATAGAATACGTTGATACAAATTGTTTTGCCTAACTCTAATTATATTTAAGTAATATGTGTATAATATCTTTGAAACAATATTAAATTTGCGGAAAAACAATAAAACTAACACAATCCGTGCGTAGCGCGGGTCACCCCTAGTATTATATAAAATTTCACAATAAAACTTAATTAAACAACCGAACTTCATAAGCTTTATCTGCAAAATTATCATTAAACTCTTCTAGTCGAGTTTTTCAATCATTTTTATCAAAGAAAGTTTCACAAACATATCTTAAAAAGCCTTACAAATAATATTTGCAAATATATGAACAATATATTTGGTGAATTTGGAGGGATCCTCCACAAAAATAGTCGTCGGATTTCTTGATTTCTTCTAAATCATATCTTGCATCTTGAAAATGATACAATATATATCACATTTCTCATGGGCTGAATGAATTAGCTTGATATAATTTTCCTTATCTTCTCTTATCCTCCAAAGATAATCATAATTCAGCAAGGTAGCATAATTCAGCAATTCATGTAACATTCAACGAAAATCTGATCTCATTCTTTTTTCTCTTAGGTCCTTTGGTTCCATGAGGCTTTGCCCTTCCTTTTTTAATTACTCTCCGGTCCGGTTTTCACTCGGTGCTTTGTAGTGCCAATTAATTGCCACGATTTTGAGCATTTCTCTGTTTTCTGCAATTTTCCTTTTCGACTGGTACTTTCCCCTTTTTCATCTCTTTCTTTCCTTATTGATCCCTCTACTCCTAGTCAACCATGATTTCGGTGAAAATCATCTCCGAATATTGCAATATTAATTGCAAATTTTCCTTTTGCTGTGTTGATTTATTACCCACGCACCCGATAATTGCTCATACAAGAAGGATTAGGTTTAGAGTCAAAGGGGAGTCAAAAGGGAAGCAACATTTTTCGGGTTTGACCATTGACTCTGCAGCTCGATCGAGTTGGACCTTGGCCGGTCGAGTAGATGGGTCGAGCTGACTTCCTTCTTCATCCTAAGCTTGTGCGGTTGAGCTGAATCCATCCACCAAGTCCTTCTTTGCTCCTCACGTCCCAATTGTTCCAAAGTGCCCAAAAAGACCTATTCAAGGATCAAACATGCACATGTATGCAAATGCAACCTAAAACTACTATGAATGCAAAAGAAGGGAAAATGAACAAGATATGATGCTAATGGATGCTAAAACTATGCAAAAGATGCATAAAAGATGTACTAAAACTATGCAAAATGCAAGTACATCAACGCATCCCTGATAGAGCTCTCCAACTTGTGCGATGACCTTCCACAGGTCCATCGGTTCCTCCCGGTTTTCCACCTCTGTTTACTGAACTACCACTGCCAGAGAGACAAGCTGATCTACAATATGTTTCTCACAGTGACGCTACTGTAGAGCCCGTATTGAGAGAGTTCACCAGTCCATTGAGCAATCAAAGCAAGACTCTTCCACCAAGATGCCAAGGATCTCTCACGATCTGGAAAAGGGAAAGGGCCACGTTTTTGGGTTTGAAGATCACAGTCGATCTCTAAGGAGAGATAACACGAGGAAGGGTAATTTCTGAACCTCACCCTAACCCATTTCTCCTGTCCGGGGTTCCAAAGTCCAGTGTACGAGGAAGGAAACGACCTAACAAGTGAAGCGCCTAGCTAGAGCAACTGCCCACAGGTCTCAGGTGACTGCTTTACCCCTCCCTGATATTGATAGAGAAGACTCAGGGAAGACTGTCACAAGCGATAATTCACAACAATATACGCACATACTAAATTAAGATAAGGCACAAACATCACTCAACCTAACATGCCTAATAACAATCAACCTACTATCTATTCACATAAACATCTTAACCGTACTTCACATACTCATCACATCACATATCATAATACTCATAACACTTTCACATGACAACTAGGCTGGTCGGGCACCTCGAAAGGTCTTCCACCACCTTCTGGCTCGTCAGCCGTTAACGGGCTTCGACGGGATCGCCATGTCCTCGTCCTCAGTCCGACTTCACCAAAACAAACGGCTTCGACGGGATCGCCATGTCCTCGCCCTCAGACCGAATGCGCACAAACAATCTTACACTATTCAACATACTAATATATCATCATTCTATTTTCACATTCACAATGCATGCCTACCTCAAACAATCCATCTCTTAACCTAGCATATAACGGATATGGAAGCGAATTACTACGCAATGCGAGTCCACAAGTCACATATCCTCACCTTAGCCACTTTGAAAATTAACCCCGGAAAAATAGCTATTGCGCTTCGGAGTCGCAGCAAAATAGCGGTTGAAGCGGTTGGGAAAAATAGCGGTTAAAGCGGTTGCGGTTGAAACGCGATTTCTGATATCTGCGTTTGCGTTCTGAGAAATTGCGTTTGGCAGATTCGCGATCCAAAACTGCGTTTGCGTTTCCAAAACGGATTAGGGTTTTTCTGAAATTTTCCAGAAACACAGAAATTCTGATCCACAAAGAACCGCCGATAACTTACTGGTTACATGTCCGATTCGCGCGATCTCGACAGATCTGGAAAGATGAGAGTCTCCTCTTTCCAACGACACCAAGTATGGCTTCTGGGTCCTTCTGGATCGTTCGAAATCCAGCCCGCAAAACAGCACAAAGAAAACTGTTCGGATTAGAATTCTATTTTTTACAGATGTGAAACCTTCCAAAGAAAAGATCATAACTCTCTCGATATACCTCTGAATTCCACGATTCTGAATTATATAGAAAGCTGAGAAATAGACATTTCCAAAGAGACCAATATCACACAGTGATTCCCTCTATATAGACGGAAAATTGTCCCGTAAGTTGACGGCTCGGAACTGCTTTGGTTGCTAAGGCTGGAGAGATTTTGGCAGAGCTTCGCTTTAGATTTCTCTTGAATCTCTTTGTCTCTTGACGTGGTGTATAAATAGGAGGAGGCCGGGGGTTTAGGTTAGGGTTTTAGGACGTGGGCCTTACGTCACGGGCTTTTAATTAGGTTTTTGGAAATATCGGGATTGGGCCGTGACAATTCTCCCCCACTTTAATGGGATTCGTCCTCGAATCTATGGTATGAACCTCGCTCTCATCCTTAGAGATCTTTGAATGGTTTGTCCTTAATTTTTATTCCGATCTCCATGTCTTTACATGATGACCTCTAATTCTTTTGGTTCTGACTCTCACTCAACTTGATAATTTTCATTCAAGTGATATTGTCTTGTAGGTTTTCTAAATTCTCTTCAGTTCCAAAACTTTCTTGTTTCAAGGTATACCACACCTAAGACATCAAACTCTAAGCTATTCTTCTTTGTGTCAGTATGTTCTATTTGGTGATTGCAATGGACACCTTTTCAGCATAACCAAAAGCACTTTTACTTATTTTATTGTCTCTCGAACCAACTCCGACTCTATCTCTCAACGCTCCTCCAATTTTGCTTTTGTTAACCTCACTTTGGTGTGTCCTTCTCCTCACTTCCTTACCGACATCAAATTCCAACATGACTCAAGAATCACCTCGTACCTCCCATTATCTAATATGGGTAAATGGCTTCTTTATGTTTCACTTGATACTCTGAGGTCCCCTTTCTCTTGACCTATCAAGTTTTCATGCGTTTTTCTTTCGAATTACGTTCTCTAGTGTCACTGAAAATCTTCTTTACTATAGGAAAAAGTCCAATATGAGTGGCATCTCCTCATAGTCTTTGGTAAATCGATCCATTTCTACACGTTCTAGTATATCCACCTTCACCGTCCTTAGTAAAGTTCTCGCACTTTCTCTAGCAAAGTCTTTCCCAGTTTCGATAGTGAATTTGTTTCACTCTCCTTAGCTATCCAATTTAGCTGGGATTAGTATGAGCTCTGACATTTCCATATCTTCCCATATGCAAAAGTGTTCAAAAACCCAAGCACTCTCTTGACTCACGTAACCAGCTTTATGTTTAGACACGTTAATCAATATTTCTCATCTCGGCTCTTCCAACATCTACAAACTCTTCATAGCTGATCCACTAGCCCATTGATTCAACATAACATGTATTTATCCTTTCAAATAACATGTCCCCAAATTCTTGGGTATACTCCCGTACAACCTCTCTTATAACTTCACTGCCTAGAGTCCTATTCCCTTAAAAAGTTTCAAAAGCATTTCTCATTTCCTTAGCAGATCTTCTACAAGTTGATGACAGTAACTCCGACTCGCTTCCTTGTCGTTTATCACTAATGACGTGTAGTATTCAAACCCAACAACAATATTTTGAAATACTTCATAACTGCTTCGCCACATACACTTCCAAAAATATTTCTCATGTCCCTTAGTAGATCATCAACAGGTTGATAACAATAACTTCAGCTTGTTTCCATGGTTTTGTGGATCTCTTTCTCCCCCACTTTTTCTCTAAACCACACTTTCAAAAGTCCTGCTCCATGCTATACCAATTTCCCTAATTTTGATAAAATCAGAACGAAGCCTTCCTACATACCCAATGTACTAGCAATTTGCTACAACTCATCATCTTGTATGGTTGACTCACAAAATTCCATCAATTTTGGAGTTCTTCTTTACATTCCTTCTCAGTTGGCTAACTTGGCCCTCATATTGAACTTTAACACGGTCTTGGGGTCTTACTTGCTCAATATCCAAACGTTAGACAATGATTTTATTTTGGGAATCCAAAATATGTTTCCATGACCAAACGCATTTTATGACATTAAGGATTAACTACATGCTCCCACATTCCCAATGTGTTACTTCCTTTTTCTTCAACGCTTGAATGAATCCTCATTCACTATGCATGTGGTACCTTCCATGACGTGGGTCGCTTTTCCTTTATGACTTACACTTATACAAACTTCATTTCTTACAACATGCTTCTGTATGAGGATTTTCATGCTCTCTTGGTTCCCGGAGGTCCATCATATGTTTTTCAACATTTTCGTTGAGAACTCGTCCTTGCTAGACCAATGCAGTGCTTTCCTAACACTTCACTAGAGTTTCCTTTCTCTAGAGTTTCTCACCTCCTTGTGTCAACCTTAACATGGAATTACCTCTAGTTATCCTGCAGCACTCCAAGTAAGGGTGTCCCTTACAGCTCTTACAAATCCTAGTTAAAATTAATCTCCCAAACCTTCCAAAGTTTTTCCAAAATTCATCTTCCTCACATGCTTCCATTTCCCTTAACAGTAGCATCACCAAGCTCTCATGTCCTTTTAAAGTAGCATCACCTTACTTGTATAAATGACTTTACCCTTAAATGATCTTCCATTGATCCTTAAGTCGTTCCTCCAACCATTCCACTACATGCTTTTCTCTTCTCTGATAATCTTGATATACTTATAATATTCTCCACTTTAGTAAATCCAGCCATGACTAACTCCTTGTCTTCTTGCCTTTTAGTTCATCAAGCTTGACCAAAACCAAGGATTTTTCTTCCGATAAATCAAGAGCTAGAGATTTCAAGAAATCAATAATAACAACCTTTCCTCTCTTCCCTTCACTCATCATCATCTCAATTGGTTTTCAATCCATGTCCATGCAACTCTGATGCCTCTCTATCTTTTACAGCTTCCACACTCTGCCTTGTAGGTTTTCAAGATTACAACACCACTACTTGCATGTCTTTAACTCTTCCTTGCCTCTTAACACTTGCTTTTAGAACCTCCACACTTGCCCATTTGAAACTCACAACTAGGTGTGATCTCAATACTGAACAAAGTGTCAAGCTGTAATGTCCCAAAAGGACAGACTAACAAACTTTCTTAGCCAAACAATTAAACAAAACTACCAAACACACTACTCAATCAATATACCATATTCAATGAGACCAAATAATTCTAGCGCGAGACCGCAAACACTAAGTGACCCTTTTTCCCAAACCATTTTTCTCAATCCATTTGGAACGTTCCGAAAACCTTTTTAAATCATTTTTAAACATTATTTTATTTTTTTTTAAAAGGTGACCCTCCGGGTCAGAACCGGAGTGGCCTTAACCTAGGCTCTGATACCAATTGTAATACCCATTTCCCGATCAACTTGTGCCCTAGGTCTCGTGCCCTAACTTGAAACACAAGCAACACACCTGCACACTAGAAAGGGAGAAAAAGAGGGGTGAGTAATGAATTACTCAGTGAGGAATGATCATCCCTGCCCACATGAAACACATTACAATGATAATTCACAACAATATACGCATATACTAAATTAAGATAAGGCACAAACATCACTCAACCTAACATGCCTAATAACAATCAACCTACTATCTATTCACATAAACATCTTAACCGTACTTCACATACTCATCACATCACATATCATATACTCATAACACTTTCACATGACAACTAGGCTGGTCGGGCACCTCGAAAGGTCTTCCACCACCTTCTGGCTCGTCAGCCGTTAACGGGCTTCGACGGGATCGCCATGTCCTCGTCCTCAGTCCGACTTCACCAAAACAAACGGCTTCGACGGGATCGCCATGTCCTCGCCCTCAGACCGAATGCGCACAAACAATCTTACACTATTCAACATGCTAATATATCATCATTCTACTTTCACATTCACAATGCATGCCTACCTCAAACAATCCATCTCTTAACCTAGCATATAAGGGATATGGAAGCGAATTACTACGCAATGCGAGTCCACAAGTCACATATCCTCACCTTAGCCACTTTGAAAATTAACCCCGGAAAAATAGCGATTGCGCTTCGGAGTCGCAGCAAAATAGCGGTTGAAGCGGTTGGGAAAATAGCGGTTAAAGCGGTTGCGGTTGAAACGCGATTTCTGACTATCTGCGTTTGCGTTCTGAGAAATTGCGTTTGGCAGATTCGCGATCCAAAACTGCGTTTGCGTTTCCAAAACGGATTAGGGTTTTTCTGAAATTTTCCAGAAACACAGAAATTCTGATCCACAAAGAACCGCCGATAACTTACTGGTTACATGTCCGATCGGCGCGATCTCGACAGATCTGGAAAGATGAGAGTCTCCTCTTTCCAACGACACCAAGTTGGCTTCTGGGTCCTTCTGGATCGTCCGAAATCCAGCCCGCAAAACAGCACAAAGAAAACTGTTCGGATTAGAATTCTATTTTTTACAGATCTGAAACCTTCCAAAGAAACGATCATAACTCTCTCGATATACCTCTGAATTCACGATTCTGAATTCTATAGAAAGCTGAGAGATAGACCTTTCCAAAGAGACCAATATCACACTCTGATTCCCTCTATATAGACGGAAAATGTCCCGTAAGTTGACGGCTCGGAACTGCTTTGGTTGCTAAGGCTGGAGAGATTTTGGCAGAGCTTCGCTTTAGATTTCTCTTGAATCTCTTTGTCTCTTGACGTGGTGTATAAATAGGAGGAGGCAGGGGGTTTAGGTTAGGGTTTTAGGACGTGGGCCTTACGTCACGGGCTTTTAATTAGGTTTTTGGAAAAATCTGGATTGGGCCGTGACATTATTGCTATCAGTGTCAGTTGTGAGTATAGGTATCAATCGTATGTACATTGTACTTTTGAACCCAGCGTTAGAAAAAAAAAAAAAGTTTTAATTGAAATACATTTCAGTCCATGCATACATAATCATTCTTCGATAGGCCTATAGGAAAAAGCCCACTACATTGTCGACGACGTCGTTTCCAATCTAAGAATAAGCAGCAAATCTGAAAGTATCTTTGAGAGCGAGAGCAGCACAGAGAAAGCCTTCTAGGTTTCGTTGCTTCTTCTTCTTCTTCTTCTGCAACTCAACGATGGCGGCGAGAAATGCTCTTCTGCGATACGTTAGAGTCAACGTCAATCCGTCACTCGTAAACTCTTACATCGGTGCTCGAGAATCTGCACTCCCTTTTACCGTGCTTCTTCGCCGTTTCTCCGAAGAAGTCCGAGGATCGTTTCTAGACAAATCTGATGTCACAGATCGCGTTATCACCGTCGTCAAAAACTTCCAAAGAGTCGATCCTTCAAAGGTTCCTTCGATTCCGAGCCATTTCTACTTTTTCATTTTCGTTTGCGATGCGTTGAAATTGATATTCGTAGATGAGTAGACTTTAGGAGTAATTGCATTGCTGTGTATGATTTTGAATCTGAGATTTAGTGTTCTTTGGTTATGATTTTTCAATTTATTTGTACTTACAAGATCAAAGGAGAAATTTTTATCGTTTTGAGGAATTTGGATTAGCTGTTTTCTTGCCTTTTTGGGTGGCTTTGTGATGTAGATTTCGGCCATTGTGCTCGTATATTGAGTATCTTCATTGTGACAATCTGAAAACATAGGATTTTAAAATCCATCTTTATATTTCTGTTGTATCAATCTAATTGGATCAGTTTGCCTTTTGACTTCATCATATATTAAGTATCTACATTGTGACAATCTAATTGCATCAGTTTGCATTAGCCCTCTCTGCTCTCCACATATGTGGCTTTTACAGAGATTTTTGTTTTTCTATTTTTATCAGCAATGCGTATTTTGTGTATTATTCTTAAAAATGGCTCTTTCTCTTATATATCTCTATGAACTCCATTTTTGTTCATGCCATGTTCTGGTGTTTCTAGCTGATGAAATATACATTTGACTGAATGAATTATCTTTTTCTCTCTTCCTAAGCTGGTACTAGTGATAGCGGCTTTTCATTTCACTATCTTTGATTAAGTTGAGCTTTCCTAAATTTCAATATCTTATGAAATGCTTCTTCCGTCTTTGAAGTAGCTCAAAACCAAACAAGAAAGTGATTTGCATTTGTTGCAGCTTAATCTAATCAAATTTCAGTGCTTTCTTGTTTTACATGTTGCAGGTAACACCAAAGTCCCATTTCCAAAACGATCTCGGGTTGGACAGTTTGGACAGTGTTGAAGTTGTGATGGCACTTGAGGAGGAATTTAAATTTGAGATCCCTGATGGCGAAGCAGACAAGATTCAGTCCATCGATCTTGCGGTTGATTTTATTGCTTCTCATCCTCAGGCTACCTAGACACAAATTTCTTGAGCATCATGCTCATGCGTCTACAAGATTTGGTTAGCTCAATAAGAAAAACAATAAGCAAAACATGTTTGTCTTCATGTTGGTTTCCTTGAGAAATGGAGATGTGTTTGTGCTCTACTTTGTTGGTTTTTTTAAATAAAGTATTAGTTGTGTCCATGCATGATTTGGTTACAGTCTTTGCATTGTGAACGATCCAGGTCTTAAAATTAATTTCAGTGGGCAAAGAAATGTGTTGAATTTTTTTGAACTTTTCTGTTCTCCATGTGGGTGAAGTTGGAGTTGTATATCCAAGTCTTTTTGATTGCTTCTCCTCTCAGCCCTGTTAAGTTGAATTCCTGATGGTAACTTTGCGTCTCCTATTTTAGTTTAGAAGATTGAAATATGAGGCACTTCTTTCTTAATCTGAATAGTCTTTCTGCTGGAAATCGATAGAGTTTCAAATATTAAATAATTGTGGATAGAACTGATATATATCAGTGGGTTTCCTATTGTGAAATTTTAAGAAATACACTATTTGGTTCAGGTATTTTGGGTACATGAAATTGATACCATATAAGACCCGATTTTGTAAAGACATGTATAAATATTTGGGTATCATTCGGTTTGGGTCGGTCCAGGTCCATTTCATCATATTGTATGACTAAAGAATCCAAAATCTACTTCAAAATTATATTTAGAGAGGGAATAGAAAAAAAATAAAAGGAACATGAGACAAGATAAAATGGAAAGAAATAAAACGGGATAAGACAGACAAATTAGACATGACGAAATGAAAAAAACGGAATGAGACAGGATTGGACGGGACGGGATGAAAGGGACATAATGGAGCGAGAAGGGACAAGACAAAAATTTCACCTACCCCTAACTATATTAAGGGACATGACAGAGACACGAGAAAACGAAAAAAAAAAACATAACAGGATGGGATAAGACTCAATAGGGCGGATAAGACGGAACAGGACGGGGAAAGAACGGGACAAAATGACAAGGAATGAAATGGGACGTGATGGGACTGTACGGGAATTTTGCCTATCCTTAGTTATATTTAGGGAACGGGACGAGAAGAAATGTAAGGAACATGATGGGACATAACAAAATGGAAAGAATATAATGGGATAGGGACGGGATAGACAGGACGGATGGGACGTGAAAGAACATACATGATGAAAATGAACGAAATGGGATACAATGGGACAAGACAGTACGTTAATTTTGCCTAACCCTAATTATTTTTGAATAATATCTATATATATAAAGTTCATGTCATTCTATTATGGTGCTCCCACCTCAACAGAAGAGGTGTCTCTAAATTCAGCATATCAATTTATTTATTATATTTTTTTTTTCTATTTTAATTTTTATAATAATTATCATTTATTACTATAGTAACTTAATAAGAATATGAAAAGTCATTTAAAAAATGTTATATATAGATCTATAAAAACTATTATTTATTAATAATAATAATAGAAATAACACTTTTTATAGTATTTTGGAATGAAATGAGACGAGATCGAACATGACGAGACGAAAAAAATAGAACTTAAGAATAGGGGAATTTTGTTTACTTTCTATTATATTAAGTGACAAGACGAGATATAAATGAATAGAAAATAACAGGATAAGACAAGACATAAATTCCACCTACCTCTAAAAATATAATAATTATATTTAGGGGAAGACATAAAATTCCACCTACCTCTAAATATTATATTTAGGGGCGGAATGGAAAAAACAAAAAAAAAACATGATGAGAGAGGACAAGAAATAAAGGTTGAACAGGACAGAATGAAAAGAAATAGAATGTGGCAGGATTGGACAGGATGTGAGATGAAAATGTATATAATGGGATGGAAAGGGACAGGACAAGAATTTTGCCTAATCCTAATTATATTTAGAGACGAGGGAGAGACAAGATAAAATGGAAAAAAACATAATAGGATAGGATCCAATTGGATGGGGTGGACAAAACGAACATAACGGGAAAGAACGAGACAAGATGAAAAGGAATAGAGTTAAACAGAATTATATCTAACCCTAATTATATTTAGTGAATAAGACAAGAAGAAACGAAATGGGACATAACAAAATGAGATTGGATGAGACTGGACGGGACGGGACATATAGGATGGATGGGATGGAAAAGAACGTACATGATGAAAATGAACAAAATAGGACGAGATGGAGCAAGACGGTATATTTTTTTCGCCTAACTTTATTTATATTTAAGTAATATGTGTATAATATTTTTGAAAAAATATCTAATTATGGAAAACAATAAAAATAACATAACCCGCGCGAAGTGCGGGTCACCCCCTAATATATAATAATATTTGAACATATTCCAACTTTAAAATCTGACTCAAAGAATTTTAACAGCGTTTCTCGTTCAAAGTACTTTCAAACTTCAAAGTTCAAAGTTTCAAACTGTAAACAAGAAATCTGACAACCAAAGTATACTCAACTTCAAAAGTCAAGAAAATTTAACAAAATGCAAGAGTTTGTACGTCAAATAAAGGACTGAAAGTTCAAGAAACCTTACAAAAAGAAGAAAGCTTATATGCTTTGATGAGGACAGCATTAGCATTACACAGCTGGTGACCCATGAATATACCTTAAGTCTTCCACTTCCTATACATGAAAAAACTAGATCTCAGAGATTGTAATATATAAGGGTTTTTACTCTTTGCCTTTGCTTTGCTATGAATCTTCTTATTGTTTAAGAAAAGTAAAAGACACAAAGTAGCTGATTAACAGATAATTACCGGCCTCTAACCAAGACCGTCTCGGGTGGGATCCTTCCCACTACTTTATTATCAACCAAAGAGTAACAAACAATCTCTAGAAAAGAATAAAAGAAGAAGACCTTAACTAAGAAGTAAGAACACTCTCTTTTCTCTCATACTAGGACTTTCACCCGCGTGCGGGTCTGTATCTTAAATCGGTTTAAAATATATTCTTGAAGAATATTTTTTTTAAACTGCAAAAATCAACAATTAAAATTTAATAATATTTCAATACCAAATTCTCTGGAAAACAAAAGTTTTTAGATATATAATATCGTGTTGAGATCAAATCTTGACATACAAAAATATTGTTTAGATCATATCCCGGTAACAAAAATGTTTGTGTATGTCTAATGACCAAAACTTACTTGAAGATATTCAAATCATTATAATAGGACAAACTTTATAGTTATATATATATATATATATATATATGTAAAATGTAATGTTAATTTATGAACTATTGTGACGTGTTAATCATTTTCTAAACAGAAATATATTTTTAAATATGTATAGTGAAATTCTTAAAATTAGATGTCAACAGTATTTGTATGTAACACGATGTTTATTTAAAATAACTTCAATTCGTTATGTTAGAACTTAAAATGCTATAAACAACATATAATTTATTTTTCAGTACATTTAACTTACACATCGTGTTATTAGTTTATAAACTTTGATCATAATAGTATATATTTAGCTTTTATATAATATAAATTATGTATATTCTTTTTATGGCTTAAAGAAAATCTTAAATCATTGTTTGTTCAATGTTGATTTTTTGTTAGTAATTTTGTCACGTTTTTATGCGTTATGGTATACATTTCTTTTTAGAAGTAGTTTTATATTAATGTTTACTTGAATATTTCCGCCTTAAATCTGTTTATAAATACATTCTTGTTCAAAAAAGTTACATATTTGTTTAGAAATTGCAAAATTCAGTTAGTGTTTATTTAATTGCAAAAATGGTTATTAACTCACCTCATATCATGTTTCTAATCAAATCGAGTAATCATATTTGGCAAGTTTATACTACACCAAAAATGAAATATTTCCTCTTGAATTTGATGGCAAAAGCTTTGTCTTGACCGATCAAACTCTGGCTGCTCATGGAATTGATACACCTCCTGCAATCATTGTGATCATCAAAGAAACAGTCTCCATATCTTCTTCATATGTCTTTCTACAGTATGAGTCTTGGATCAAGCCTGCTTCTCAATAAACTTATGGCAAACTCACACATTTTTCAGGAACTCTTTGAAGATGTAGAAAAACTGATTATTCTACCCCTAATAGGTTTATTGCCTATATCTCTTTATCCTTATATATTTTGCCATTTTTGGAAGGTTCATGTGATTTTCTCTTATTTGAAAATCGTTATTTACATGGAGATGAAATCTTCTTAAAGGATGTGAAGGATGCCAGACATCAACCTCTTCTTTCCCTCTCCGTCTGACCTCCATTATCCTCCCGAATATGAACTCTTATTTTGTTGATGTAGGGTGGAATGCTTTCTCGAAAATTTGTTGTATGGTTGCACTATTAAATCTCCTTTGAATTCTTCTGCTCCATAGTAATCCAAACAAACTATTTACTTTTTCGACCATTTTTTTGAAGCTACGATGAACTAAATATTATATAGTATGCTATTGTTTTCTTGATTTTTTGTTTTAGCTCCCAAAGCTTGATCTCTCTCATCACCTAAAAAAACTGCAAATGAACTCATATGTCTTCTATACGACATTACGCATTTTTGTTTCTATCTCCATTTTTTTTTTTTTTTTTTTTTTGTCGACAGCCTTTGTTTCTACACCAACTCAGACATCCAAGCCGGGGAAACAGAGTTTACATAAAACACATCTGTAGGTAGAGCTCTAGCACTCCGTGCTAACTTGTCCGCCTTCGTGTTCTTCGTTCTTGGAATATGCACTATGGAGAGGGAGGTGAACTCCGTCCAACATCTGCAGAATTCTTCTAGTCTTGTTGCAAAAGCTGCCACTCCTCGGGTTTAGACACCATCTTTACCACATCGGAACAGTCCGTTTGAAACACTATTGTTAACTTCTTCTGCCGTAACATGCACTGCATGGCCCATACCAGCGCTTCAAGCTTTGCCTGGAGTGGTGATATACCCCGCCTTAAGTTACATGTACCCATGAGCTTTTCGCCCGTTTCCGTATTAAAATTATACCAACCTAGACCCGCTCGGGGATCTGTGGCTTTCCATGATCCATCAATCTGACAAATTTCACCTTTGACAGATAACTCAGCCGGATCCCCCACCAGGGCCGGGGTTACCTCCTGTTTTTCTTGTGCCGTTCTGCACGCTACCGCCTCACTTGCCGCATGATTAATAATATCATTAGGATCTGAGTCATCATTGGAGAAAACCTTATCGTTTCAGGCTTTCCAGATAAACCAAATCAACCAGGGATACATGCCCATTCTTTCATCATTTGGTAGATTCCAAAACAGATGAGCAATGTTTGTGAACAAACCTCCTGTTGGGAAATGGTCCAATGCTGTAGGAATAGGGGATAAAGCCCACACCTGTAACGCTGGTGGACATTCAAATAACATATGATTAACCGTTTCCGGAGCCATACCACACCGCACGCACTGTGGGTCGATTTGAATGCCGCGACTCCGTAGCCGTGCCCCTACAGAAACACTCCCCGTTAACACTTGCCAAATGAAGTGTTGTATCTACTGCGTACATTTCACTTTCCACGTGTATGCTTGTAGTGGACTTATATCCGGACCATACTTGATCGGATTAGCCTCATCAAGACTTTGTTGCGCCAAAATGTACCCTGATTTTACCGTATAGGTTCCCGATTTTGTAAAAAACCATCCCATCGAGTCCGGCCTAGTGGTGCTGGATGTCGGAATCCCTAAAATGATGGGAACATCCTCGCTATCAAAAAGCTGATGTAATAGTGGTAAATTCCACGTTGATGTGCCGGGTGTCATCAATTCACTCACCCAAAGATGAGGGTAAAAATTAGCCCCGTGTCCTGTGGCTGGCCTCGGGCGAGAAGCTGGGATCCAGGGATCTTCCCAAACCGAGATAGAATTCCCTGAACCAACTCTTTTAATTAGCCCTTTATTTACCAGAGGTCGAGCCGAGACCATACTTCGCCATCTATAGGACGGGGAGTAGGATCTAATGGGTTCCAAAGGATCTGAGTTCCTATAATACCGTCCTTTAAAAACCCGTGAAAATAATGAATCTGGAGTTATCCAGTAGCCGCCATAATTTTTTTGCCAATAAGGCCGTATTGAAGTCTTCTATCACC